ATAAAACAGGCAACAATGATTCGACCTAATCGCTAAGACAACTTCCGCCCCCCTAAAGATGTTGCTAAAAATAAACATCCTTAGCCAAAAACTTTTGTTATGTGACACCCTGTATTATATATCTGTTCTGGAAGCACACGCCGTCGCGAGGAATGCGGTATGTTCTCGTTGTTCTCCAGAAATCCTCTCACTGCTTGTCTCGTCACGTGTACACGCATTACATATATTATGTACATGCACATCATGCGGAGGCGTGTGCTTCCAGAACACCTCTGATTGGAAACATTCCATTTTTTGTGCATGAATAAAAGAGATACGAGACGCCAGAGAGTCCGGACATTGGGAGGCCCAGAGTTCAAATCATGGCTCCTCCGTTTATTTTGGCTTTCGGCGGTTTCGTAAAACAGTGATCTATTCGCTCGAGTACTGTTCATTCATCTGCCTATATTCGATTACTTCCTCTTCGGAGACCACGTACTATGATGAAAAGTGCCCGCGACATATATATATCCTTTTGCGCCCGCGCTTTTTTTTTTTTTTTTTTTTTTTTTTTTCATAGCGTCACAGAATCGAACAACGAGAAACGTGCGCTTCTATAACTACATGCATTTGCTTGGAAATAGCAAACATGACGTAAGTATAACAGTGCACAACAACTAGGGAAAGGAACGAACAACAGAGGACGTATTTTTACAGCATTCTGTGTGGTTCGTTCCCCTCCTAGTCGTCCGTGTTTTGCGCTATTGCATTTATATTGTTTGACTTTCAGCAACTATTCCAGCTCTTAATTGTATTACTTCATCCCACTTAGCAGTATTTTATTAGAGGACGGCTATAGTTCCGCCCCTTCCTTCAGTGTGGGCGAAGACTCGCCTGAATATCTGAGGTTTGGTTCTTCCAGCACCCAATGGAAACTTTCTGAGGGTTGTTTTTACGAACGCTGCCGAACAACAAAGTAGCGATGCTTATTTTTATTATATAGAATGGCACGATCACCGAGTGGCGGGGCTAGCATGCATGCTTGCGTATCAAACCCTATAATACAAATAGATGTAGCGAACAAGCGTTCGAGCTAGAAACGTGTGCAACTTTTGACCAAATAGAAGTACTCAGATGTTGTTGACTTCCTTGCTATTGTAAATGTCCCGTTGTTGGATATCTGGGACTACTTTAAAGAGTTTGTTATAAAACGATTGTCTAGTATTTCAATAAAACAAATTATTAAAAAAAACGAAAAAAAAAAAAAGGTTTTAGGGAACGCGTAACTGGTAACCTAAACCGTACAAATTAAAATCGAAACCGAAACGAAACTGATATCAACAGGAAACGGGAACCGTACCCGAAACGTTATAGAAGTTTCGGTTCCCTGGTAAATAGTACATCTTTCTGTGCCAGGGACGGTATGAAAAGGTGCGAGATTAAGCCAGAGCGGAAAATGTCAGAAAGATCTCCACACACACTTACAAACATAAAAGAAAAGGGAGGGGAGAAGATGTAAGGCTTTTTTCTGACATGCCACTCTAATTTATTTATTCATTTAGTACACATCAGTTCTATTTAGAACTTTAGTAATGTGGTCACGGAGTTTCGAAAATCATACGTAAGTTATAGGCACCAAAATGGCGAGGGCTGGCGCCATCGCTGGATTTTATGCGAAGCGCAGGCTCGTCTGCTTCTTTTGTAGGTGTTCTGGCGACGTCACAAAGATGCCGAGCTCTGATTGGCTCTGATCGAAGGACAGTGCGTGGACCTCGAGACATGCTGCCTCGAGGTCAGGGTGTAAGATAGACAGGTGGGGAAACGGCCCATAGAAGCCTACCGCAGCGCCGTGACCGGATTGTGTACTCGTCTGCTTGCGGGTACCCCCGATTTGCGACAGATGGCGCTGCGGCGAGAGGAAAAAAAAGTCGGAATCGAATTTGTATGGAACTTTATGGGAGCGTGCGCAAAATAAACCGAGAGCACAACATATTGAAAATCCACGAGAAATCACCTCCGTCAGTTTAGCCGGTCGCCACCGGTCGCCCACCCGGAGTGAGAGTTCACGGTGCTCCACATAGATGGCGCCACAGAAAAAGAGAAACCCGAGGGGGACACAATCCGGTCGCTCATTTGGCTCTTGTTTCCCCACCTGTCTATCTTACACCCTGCTCGAGGTCTACCCGCCATCATCATCCAATCAGAGCTCGGCGTTCTGACGTCACCACAACCCCCTGCAAAAGAAGCAGACGAACTTGCGCTCCGCATACACAATTAATTACCCTCTGACGCCACGCTACTGCCGGTGGCGCTGGTGTCGGCACTGCGCAGACGCTTCAGCTCAAGCGAATCGGGTTTCGGCAGACGCGCAGTCTTGATCTGGGCAAACGCGGGCTTGTTTGTAAAAAGATCATGTTGATGTGTGTAGCCGGTGAACATGCCAAATAACAAACAATCGAAACGTCTATCAGATTTCCATCGCCATTTTGGCAAGAAACTACCTGGTCACTATTTATAAGCCCGTCGTCGGCTATCCGTTCTCTCCACGCGATCGCCGCATTTTGTAACTTCCACGAGAGATCAGAAAGCACGCAAGTTTGAGGTTGTTTTGACCCAGTAGCCACGGTTGCCAAACCAGCTCGTAATGTATCCTTTTTTTTTTTTTTTCTATTAAGCGATTTTATTTTAACCATCGGTGTACAGCATCAAGCTATTCCTTTCCAAGGTCGAAAAACATCAAAAACATATTTTGTTTTTCGCTTGCGCAACAAACTCAATTTAATCTCACCCCAAAAAGCGGGGGAAAAAAAAACTTTCCTAAAAAAAAAAAAACGCGGTAACACGAGATTTTTCTAAGAGCTACCCGCATCTCACGTTGGGCGGGGGGCCCTCTGGCAAACCTCATAAATTAAAAACAAAACCGCCATTACAAAATATGAAATTGATTTCGTCCCACTCGTAGTGCGTAGCACGTGGCAATTGACACACGAATACCGTGGATTCCAAGATATCCACTATATGCGTGGTTCTGCTGGATTCTTTATGTCAGGCGATACAAAGGCGGCAGAGCTCGCTTTCCGCTGCCCCTCCTGTATATATATATGAATCTATCCCTCTTTCCGTCAATATTTACGCAAGATACTTCCAAAAGAACGAAAGAAAGGAATAAAACAAAAATAGCGCGCTCGCTTTTGAAAGAGAAGGAACGAGCGCCCATCACCATCCCGCATATTTTAAAACTGTATCGATCCGACAAACCAACCAGCGGAAATGCGCTCCAAAACCCGAGCTCCGTACTTCCCCCATTCCCTTTTTTCAAACTGCGGAAACGAAAAAGAAAAAAAGGTAAATATTGAGTTCCGCGTATTGTCCTTTCCAACAATAATAATAAAAATAAAAAAAATAAAAATAAACGCCTACGTTCTTTTTGGTATTGGGACGTCGTAGTTTGTGGCTACAAATTCAGCAAGCGCATTTTCACCGATGTCGTACTACAGCACAAATGTATCACGAAGAACAAGTCCGGACATTGCGCTTATAAACAAACAAACCTGGCGGAACCGAGGTAGCGCAGAGCTCAGAAGGCCGAGCAGACGACACTCTGTTGCAAAGCAGACGACATTTTGTTGCAAAGCAGAACGGGACAGATACTCGGAGCAGACGCCAATTTATTACAAAAGGACGAGGTTTGAAATTAGACGACGCCGCATAATCGTAAAAGAACAGTAGTGAGAGAGAGAGAGAGAAAAAAAAAAAAATTCACGGAAATGGGAGAACCGGCAAGCAGCTTCAACAACGCGCTATAAATGAGCTGGAGCATCGATCGCCAGAAACGTGACGCTATCTATCTACTACGACGACGGAGCACGCCAACCGACCGTTAAAAAGAGAATCGACAAAAAGGAAGTCGACTGGAGTAGTACTACTAATAACGACATATGACGACAGCAGCAACGAGGGACGCGACCCGCAGCTAGCACGGTCCACGCCTCTCGTCTCAACATGGAAGTGACGGGCAAAAAGGGAATACGTCCTTCTGTAAACCGCCACCATCACCCCATGAGCATGTTTATAACGGTAGCCGCATAAATAGCACACAGAAAGAGCGAGAAACCAGTGCAAGTTGAGTACAGGGTGCGAGTAAGCCGCCAATGTTGGACTAACATCGGTATCGAGAGGTACGTCGTAAGGTCACCTCAGCCACCGGCACGGCGAACTTCCTTGATCTCGCGGTAGTACGCTACGAGCGGCCGAAGTCGTCGCAACAACGACACGGGCACGGCACACCAGCGAACGGGCACGGCGGCAGCAGCCCTTTCGCAATGTGCGCGAAGGAAGCCAGGGGCCCCCCACTCCCGTCGGCGACGAAATTTTCTTTGCTGCTTCCGCGGTAAAGGAAAAAAAAAAAAATCCGGACGCCTTTTTTCAAACGTGACAGCTCCCCCGTGAAGACCGACGACGAACGGCGTTTTCGGCCGTCGCCGATCGTGGCATCGGCCGCTGTCAATGTGACGATCAAGGCCGGATCTTTCGGGTTCGGCCGAACTCGCCAGTTGCCACAGCGAAGAAAACTAGTATCAACTTCCGTTTCCTAACTCGTGAGGGGTACCGCAACCAGCGAGCGAGCGATGCCCGAGCAGCAGCAGCAAAAATAAAAATCTGATCGCGGTGTGTGTGTGCGTGTGTGTGTGTTGGGGGAGCAACGAAGCAGCAAAAAAAAAGAGCGGAGGCGAATGTGCTCTCCGTAACGTGCCGAAATCCGGCAGTCGTAGTACAACCGGACTGCCCCACGTACCGAGAAAAGTGTGTAAGCACAGATAAAAATAAACATCGGGACAGCCTAGTCAAAATCGCGTAAACCAGTTTGCATAATGGCAGAAAGAAGAAGATGGCTCGCGCGCTAACCCAACCCCCCTTCCACGCACCGCCCGAATAAAAACCGATTACTAAAAATGGAGTAACCAAAATACTCGCGAGGGGGGGAATAAAAAAAAAAGAGGAGGCGTACTGGACGCACTCACCGTGTTCGGCATCACCGACCGATGACTGGGGGGACTGGCGCCGCCGACTCGGACATTTGGGATGAAACTAAGGCATGGCGAACCACGAAAACGGGTGGAATTATCCGACCTCGCTAACGCAAACCTTAATAATGGATGCCGCCATCTTTAAACAACGTCGACGAGCGGGCTCGGCGGACGCGCCGAAACGGAGTGCAACGAAACAAGAAAAAGAGTAGTTTTGTGTGTGTGTTTACTTTTTCCGCGTCTGTCTTCTGCTAAACTTTACGCGTCCAACCTGGCAAAACTTCGCTTTGGGGAAGATATTTTTACGTCGCTAAAATTGCAATACCTCGAGGGGCGACAGGAGCGTTCCACTGGGGGGGAATTACAATCGGAATAATGTTCGGCACCGGAGTTTTCTTGATGTGCGACGTGATCACGCAAGCAGTGCTAGGGAGGTTTTAGTTTCGGTTCTGATTTCCGCGCCATTTTCTTTTTGCTCTTGCGTAAAAAGAAAAGATTTTGGCGCGCAAATTGCACGGTGTGAACTTATCGTGACAGGAAACTGTTACAACATTAGTGGCATCGTGGAATAAACAAGAGGCAGTACATAATATCTGTGCGCGTAACAATAGTGGAAAAGAAGTTGCAGGTTTCACCGACACAAACCGATTTCAGAATAGATATGTTTCTTGAAAATTAAGCTTCGTTTCTGTATTAAGCTAATCAACAGGTTACAGTATAATACTACCCTGAAAATGACGAAAAAAATGAAAGTAAAACTAAAAATAACGTGCACTTTATTTGTAAGAGGTCAAGATATTTTACAACTGTGTTGCCAGGTGGTCTTGTTTGCATACAACCTAATATGATCAAATATGGACAGCTTGAAATAATTGGTTTCACTCAGCAGCTCAAATGTTGAGCTCAGACAGATTTGTAGTACTTTTTTTTTTTTACAAACTTTTAGTTGGCAATAAAAATGGTAGACCATACAAACGTTTTTATCTTAAGTTGAAAATCTAAGGTTCCCGAGTTATAAACAACTTAAAATTTGTTTTTGATAAAAGTAAGAAAAAGTGTTAGCAAGTCATGCACACATGCAGAAGTGACCCAAAAGTTCAATATCTCAAAAACCTAATAAATGCACATTAAAAAAAAAAAAGTGTTACGAGTATAATTTTATATAAAACTTTGTGGTATAGCAGTTCCAAAGGAAAGTTGTAGATCACCTCCTCTTTTGGATGTTAATAGCACAACATAACATCATCATTCTTCATTGAATAAATTTGGTTCAGTTCTTTAGTGGCAACACAACATTCATAACGTTTAAGTTAGTACAGTAGTGTGCATTAACTGGTTCACTTATTCAACACCACCAGCAAACTGCATAAAAATTTTTTTTTTGTTTCAGTGTTATTGCAGGAGCATTTTATAAAATCTTAACTGATGTCCAGTACAGAGGCTGTGCTTCCTATTCCTATTCTAAAAAGAAAAAAAAACAACAAAAAAACAGGCACCTAAATCACTCAAATCAGGTCAGTTAAAATCAATTACTCAATAGATGGTCAATTCCTGATTAAAGGGGCGATGCAACGATTTTTATATTTTGCGCAAATACCGCTTAGAATGGATCCCCGACGTTAATGACCTGTGAACTACCCATTAGTTTCTCACCACACGCAATCGAAGTCTCAAAAAAAAAAAAAAAAAGGAACACGAGCAGAGTTTACTTTCTCAACTCGCAGCCAGAACAAGCGGCCACGTGATCTAGAGCCGATTATAAGCCGCCAATGTTGATCATAGCCATGCGCTGAGGTTGGCAAGGCACAGGACACGCACTGAGTTCCAGACATTTTTATGGTTCGGCTGTTGTCGTCATTTCAGCGATTGGGCACAGGACAATACCCGAGTGCGTCTCGAGCTATAGATTATCACGAGCCCAAATTGAGTGTCCACGCCATGTTCGGGTCCAGTCTATGAGCCGCATTCAAATATCGTCACTGGGCGGTACAACTACTGCCCAGCTACGTCATCAGGTTCTGCGAAGGAGAGATTGAATGCAAACACTCGGTTTTGTCCTCGATATTACAGCGCAACAAAGGAGTTTCTTGGTCAATGGCGTTGCGTGCGAGTATCCTCGAGTCCCACTAGTGCCAGTAAGCTCGTGTAAAATGAAAAACATTCCAATTTATTATCGTTGCACCGCCCCTTTAATGCTCCAGTACCAGATCAATTTCTGCTGAATGGCCAGGCACCAGTGGGCCCGATAAATTCCTAACGAATGTTCACATACCTGGGGGCCACATCAATTCCCGATGATTGCTCAGGCATCAGAACAATTTCTGATGAGCACTCAGATACAAGGGAGCCAGATCTTTTAATGAGCCCCGCATAATATGGGCAACACGACATTGCCATTGTGCGCTCTGAAACGAATATGTTCAGAAAAGTTGCCAGGGGGAGGAAGAGACGAGAGTGCACAGGGACGTCAGAACGCCGTGCTCCGATTGGAATGTTTAGTGGGTAGACCTAAAGCTAGAGTCCTCTGTCTGCACTGCACTCGCCAAACACGTTCGAACGCGAGAGCCAAACGCCGGAATTCCAGGCTCTAACGCATTCGGTGAGTGCAGTGGAGGCGGCTAGCTTTAGGTTTACCCACTAATCATTCCAATCAGAGCTCAGCATTCTGACGTCCCGGCGGGTTCTCGTCTCCTCCTCTCTCCTACAAGTTCTTGGCGTATAGAAGTATGGACATTTCCATTAGGATTTCCAAACACACTTGATCTCTTTCCCTTCTCAAACACAATACAATTTTGCTTTAAAGATAATGATGAAGGCTCTGTCAAAACTTAGGCTAGTCTCAATTCCATGTAGCCGTCTCCCCTCAGAATTGGTTTATACACCACTGCGAAGACAATTTGATCGAATGAATGAGGGCTGGCAGGAGTTAGAGAAACAGGCGTGCTGTGCACTTCCATGGAACTTTGCTACGAGTGCCTCTGATGATGACATTCCAGTGCAATGTTCTACTGGTCGTTTGATCTGAATAACTGGCAACGCAGCAAGAAACGTCTGCCCCGGAGCTTCAATGATGCATGCGGGTGTTGCATTAGGAGGCGAGACCAGTCGACTTAAGATATTCTTTCTTGACGACATTCCCTCGAAGGTAACTTGAACCTTGCGACAAAAAGGACAAAATGTGTTCGTAAGACAGGTTTAAACCACACCATTTATACACTACCAAGAGCACCTCAAATTCGATTGCACGTCATACTCGAACACTGTTGGAGTGCTCCAAGCTCCACTATGGCTGTTGGCCACAACAAACAAACAAACAAACCAACAATAGATGTTCCTCTGCTCATTCAACAACAAAGAAAAATCACTCGGAAAAATAAAAATAAATCACCAGAGGAATTTTTTCAACATTGATTCCTATCCATACCACTTCTTTTGAACTCTGTCCTTCACACTCAGAGACAAAACAGCACCCGTCGCGATGACAAAGACCGTGCAGCGGTCCCACCAAAAGCATACTGCACAGTTTCTTCAAACCCAAAAGAGCTGCAGGACACCTCAACATCGGAACCCCGCTTCACAACTTACCTTTGAACCTCGTCGATGCAACCTACACCTCGCCGGGTTGTAGCAGCAATGCTACCACCTATACTTCGTTTCACTTTACAACGGACCGCAGCAGGCGGTATGTATCGTCCTAGCTAATCCAACATTGCACGAATGTCATGTGACCTTCGGGAAGGGTGCAATGACACGCAGGGCGCAAAGTCACGCAACACATTCACAGCGCAGGATCAGCTTCGACGGCTCGTAGCGTCCATGTTAAGGCGAAACGAAGTATATAAGCGAGCCAACAACAAACGTGAAACTTCACGTTCGCCTGCTACCTCCAGTCGAGCTGAAGGTTGCCAGGCGGCAGCTGCCACCTGTCCTCTTCCGTCTTCACCGGATACGGACCTGTTTCCGTGCCCATGGACATCACTCCGTGTCCGTTCAACGCTCCGTTCCCAACGCATCCGTTGGGAATGACGCCGCCCCTGCCATCCAGCTCGATGTTCCACGACATTCCTCCGTTTTCTGGAAGAACCTCCTGGTCGTACGGAGTGGCCTCGTAGTCTGGTGGCTCTTCCTTCACCATCCCGATTCTGCCGTGCCCCCCAAGCGAAAGATCCGCGTTCCACAGAGAGTGACTCGCAGCGTTGTTGTTGCCGTTGTTGTTCCCGACGACCGAAGGCGACGACATGTCTGCAACGACGCCGAGGCAAGCTTTACGTCGGTGTCTAGCCTCCCATAAATGTGAGGCATGGTACCTGCTCTGTGATGGACAAACGAGTTGCCACATCTAAATGAGGCACAACTTCCTGCTGCACAAACACCCGTTCGAAAAATTTGGTTTTACGGAGGCATGAAGCGCTATAATCCGGTTCTGGTCGTTAGTTTCGTCGACTTCTCCGAAGTGCTTTAAACCTCCGAGCAAACAAACAAAAAAGATGTGCATGGCAACTAATACATACAGTTGTGCTAACGAACCGCACGGAGTGCCTCCCTTTTGCTTTGGCTCTTAACAACTTAGATTTAGCAATGTAACAAAAATTAGGCTGCATGCCTTATTAAAACTGACGAGTTATATCCGTAACCCGGAGCGAACCGCGATAATAGCAACATTAGAACAGGTACGACACACTTTCTCATCTGTTGCAAGCCTGCGAAGAGCCAGCTGACAATGGAACAGAGAACGCTCCGGCGTGAGGAAAGAGCGAAATGCCATTTCCATACCGACTCGGTGGAAGTCCCGCTTGCGCCGGTTGGCGAACCAGTAGTTGACATTGGTCGCTGTCATCGGTCCACACCGGTCAAGGCCTGCAATTAAAAACACCGCCTTCCTCTCAAATGGGGCATTACGGCTCCTCACCCCCGTAGTTAATGTCTGCTTAATCTCAACAGTAAGGAAACCACCTGCACTCAAAACACGATGCTGCCGCAATAGTAAAATTTGGGAGCTACTTGTTGCTGAAAGTCAACAGAAGTAAAATAACAATAAAACTAGCAGACAAAAACAGATGCAGAAAGCTTCTTGAAGATCTCCAGTCCCTATCTCCATATTTCACTAATGACCGCCTTTTGGTTAACCTACCACACATACAAAGGCGACGGTCGACTGCTATTGAGGATTCAAAACCTCTGGAAATAGTTTTCAGCAGAAACCCGATTTTTTCGGTAAGACAACAAATATGATCCCCGCGTAACGGGTTTGTTTCACTCAAACAAGAATGAGACATTGGTCCGTGCCTACAAAGCGCCGAATCCTCACCATGGGCCCCAGTGTAGGCATTGCATTCCTCTGCAATTGCTTCCTTCTCAACCTGGTTTGGGTAGCTGTTCCGCTGGTAGTGCCCTTCCAGGATGCCAAGGTGTCCCCTGTCAAAGCTGAAGCGCTCGCGCTGACGCGTCAACCGCCGCAAAGCCTCGTGCGGCAGCAGAGACACCGTCATTGGCAGAGCTGCACAAAAAGATGGCCACCAGAATCAATTAGAGGACAAAACCGCTGTTTTGTTTAATAAAAGACCAGTGATTAATCTCTCCTAAACTAATTAATGTTGGTGTAAAAAAAAAAGTTACCAGCAATCTTTATTTTTAAAGTTCTATAAATGTGTGAAATGTAGGATTTAGAGAGGATGCACCATTTAGAGTTTAAATTTGTACAAAAGTATAAACAGTTGCTTTGGGCAGCAAAGAAGAACCTATTGTTTGTTCCGTGGCATCACGGTGTCACGTGACTTGACGTCAGGTCCCCCCATGTGACGTCAACTTCCCCGCTAAACTTAGCGGAAAAATGGACATCACAGTTTCACGTAGCACTGTCATCCGACAGCAAGACATCACAAGACGTAAACTTGTTTATTAGATCTAACGAGGAAATGCACAGACGCATGGACAGACGAATTTCCGGGATTGGAGGCTTTTGTCAAAAGGCATTCCACGCTCCACAACAGACGCCAAACGTTTAAAAAAAAAAACCCGAATTTTACACTAGGAGAGGCAGCACAAACTTCGACCTCCCCAATGCCGAGAACAGCGATTGACGAGGACGGCAATTTCCAGGAATCCCCGTTCTCGGTTGCAACTATCTGCAGTGCTTCTCCCATTGGCTGGAAGCGCAACGCGTGCGACTCGGGCGACTGTCGTAAACTTTAGAGCCGCAGTCACGCCGCGCCGACGTGTTGTACAAGAAACAGTCGGCAGACGCCGTCCGAGGCGCATTTGTTCCTCATACAACCGTCCCATCGTATCGGTCATACAAAAGCCGTAACCAGACACGTCCAAATCATATGCACGCACAAGGCAAACATGCTTCGAGCGTGCCCGAGGCACGTCCGCCAATAATTTTGTCGTCTCGTCTGCAGCGAGCGTCACATCTTTTGTGCGACGTGCGACATACGGGCAGCGTGACTGCGGCTTTAGGAGCGCATCGGCGTCTGCCACTACTGAAGTCCACTCGCCTGCTCCCGAACCCCGTTACTATAATGTCGAACAGCTCCTCCATGTCACGGGTCTTCGTCGCCACCTACCGGCATTCTGACCCCAGTTATGAAAAACGAGTGGTGCATCTCTTCTTACGAGGAGCTGATTCTCCCGTGCTGACGTACCGTAAAATCCCAGGCAAGCACCCACTAAAGATTTGAAGGTGGTCGTGTAAAACTGGGGGATGGGCGCTCCTTAGCTCTGCAACGTATAAAGATGCGTCCTTTGCGTACCTCTTGAATGTTACGGAACCGAGGAGCGGGCACCTAAAAAAGCGAAGTGACAATTTCAGCTTTAAAAGAATCTGCACTTTTTTTTAAATTTTACATTGTTTAGCTCACCAAAAGGAACGGCGAGACCGCCTCATTCTTTTGGAATGTCGCGATTTCGTTGTGTAATAGCAAAGCAAAGAACGGGAATATTTTGTGATTTGCAGCCGCAGGGTAGTGGCCATGGAAACTAAGGTGCGGTGCCAACCTGGGTGCATCGTAATGAGTTGGTAAGATGTGCTACTATGATCTCAATCTAACGCTATATTTTATAGATATTGTCGTTTGAACAGGAGTAAACGCTTCGAAAGCGTCATATCATCGACAAAGTTGTTCTACATTCAGTTTCAGTGGCGCCATCTGCCCACAATGACAAAACCCGTTCCTCCCTCAAGCCTCCCCCCATTGCTACATCAGTCCAACTTCCTTAGCAAAAGGCAAGCGCTTTGCCCCCGCTCTTTACGTCGCTCAGACCAACCTTCAAGGTAGCCATGTGAATCTCCAACAGAGACTACACGCACTGAAGGCACTGAAAGAGAACCCAACCGGATACTCTGTGTCCCCAGTGCACTCGGCAACACGTCACTGCGCACACGAGTCGGAAGACGGCGAGAGGGTTGAGTGGTTTGGAGGTACCCAAAACATCAATCGTCTGACAATTTTCTTAAAAAAAAGAAGTAACGCGCGCAGGCAAAATTGGTTTCGAGTTCTTTAATCCAGACGTGACAGCGAATAACACCCACAGTTATCTGACCGAATGGGGGCATTGTTGCATGCCCCCATTATTGCAGAATGGGCAGATGCTCGGTATTTTACAGCACTACAAAATAATTGGCACTTTACGTCGGCTGATGGGATCGGGGACTCGACTGCAACTTGCCGTCCCCAGCTGAAAGCTCAACACGACAGCGTCTACCAAAGCTAAAAGGTACCGTGAAAGTATCCTAGAGTCTTAGTGCAGAACACACATCAGTTCTCGATTCTGGAATGTAGTTTCGCGTGAAAAGTAAGAAGTGTGATAAACCAATCTCTGCAAGCTTCCAAGGGCTTCCCGACGTAGCGAGGGTTGCTGCCAGCGGAGAAACATTTGCACTAATGGTACTCTAGAGCCTACAAAGTGAAATTAAAAACATCCATGTTTAAATGCAGGCAGAAGTCAGTCTGTCCCAACACAGCCTTCTAGCTGGACAAAATCATCCGTTTGTGGTACCGTGACGTCAGGCGGACGTTAGGCCCACTTTAAAAATGATTGGGTAAGCGCAGTACGACAGCAAACGCAAAAAAAACACAGGCCTGTGTTGAGAACTAGCATGTTTTAAAAGGTTCATGTCACGCTCTGTGGGATACACCTCTCCGTGAAAACTGCGCTTCAAAACTAAACCATTTCGTAGGCCTTTAGGACACCCCAAGCACACAATGTAACCTGAGACTGGACTGCCATTTTATGGGCCCCCGACTTACAGTTCTTCATGATGCGGTTCGACTTGAGCATCCGGGTGGCATCCTTCCTGCGGTTCGAGAACCATGTGTGCACCATGACAGATGTGACGTTCGTGTGTGCAAAGTCGCCTGCACAAGAGGCAGCAAAACATGCTTGAGCGCACCGGATCCTGAGCGAATCCTCCAGTCTGGACGGCATGGTAAAACGCAGCCTCCTAGCTGGACGACGTAATTCGACTGTGCCTCAATAAAGCAGAATTTTGTTGACCACTGTGCCATTGACAGCCGTCGTGCAAACCACTGTCGCGTCAAAAATAGCTCACACATTTCCTAGACAAAAACTTCCATGGGGCTCCACACCCCGATAGAAATTTGCAAGGTACTAGGAAATTACCACCTTTGAGCCAAAAGATAACCCTTTTACCAAATAGACAAGGTGCTCACTTGAACCAGACTGAGGAACAGAATATCTGTTCTAGGCAACTTCTAACATTTTTGAAGAAATATTATAGGTTCACAATGGTTTAGGAAAAATATTATCTTCACAGTGTTTCTTAAAGGGGTACTCCACCGATTTTTTGAGCTACCTTAACTAACTATATTTTCAGACACCCCGGCCTTTACTCTCTCCGGTATGCTATTTAGAATCACGAAATTCATAATAGGTATTGTGAAATCGGCAAATGAAAATGATCCAAAAACCAACATTCAAATATTCGCACAATTTTCAGTGCTGTGACGTCAGTGGCAGGCAGACTTGCCAGTCGAGCAAGCAGCCAAAAAATAGAATATGCCAATCATTTGCTCCGTGCTGGAGCGCGGGTACTGCAGCGAGCTTCCCAAGCATTCATTTGACACCATGAAACTGCTTCGAATCAGTTTAAAACAAAATCTACAGCCCAAACAGTGAACCCCTGCCTTCCACTGACGTCACTTTTTCATTGTTGCCAGTAGAGACTTCGAGCTTGAAAAACACGGTGAGGACCAAAACTGTAAATTCAATAACTTTGCAAAAAAACAATATTTTGACCTAATATTTGGGATACTATTTTCACGATATTTGTTGGTTAGTTTAGCAAAATTTCAAGCAAATCGGAGACAATGAAAAAACCAGTGGAGTATCCCTTTAAGTCTAACCGAAACAAATAGGTAAAAAAAGATGTGGCAGCATGTGCATGGCACAAGCACCTGTGTTCAAGTTCAGTGCAAACTAAAACTAAAAAAAGTAGGCCGAGATAGGCAGTCTTGCTTTTACTGGCATGGTATCGGCTGTATGCATACGGAGTTAGGTACTGCAGACATCTTTGTTGCTTTCGTTAAGTCAGAGACCAGACAAATCATACCGTGTCATTTAGGAAGTTAAACAGACCTACCGGCATTGATGGCAGCTATATTGCAAGTGTCGGCAATTGCCTCCTTTTCCTCGTCTTCGGGGTAGGGATTGGATGCAAATGCACGTCTTAGCACCGACAGTTGGGGCTCCGTGAAGCGGAACTGAAAACGTCTTGAAGGATGCTGCGTGCCTGCGAGTGATGAGAAACGCTGGTGAAGAAATATGTCGAAGGAAGGCAGAAGCACGCAGAGAAATTCGCATACGGATTTTGTGCAGATACAAAAAAGAGCCGAATATCTATGCGAGCTAAATAGCTGAATGCTGGCCATCGATAACATGTAGGACACAACTTCAGAGCGTTGATGCTAGCTGTCATGGGCTGGGTATTTGTGAAGTTGTATTGAAAACACTTTGGTAATCAATTGGTCATATGTGCCATGATGAACAATCCACTACTATAGACCATTCCATTTAGCGCTCTCTGGGCGGCACCATTTTGTGCGACCGCAGCGCCCTCTGCATACATCCGGGAAGTTCAGCGGGTTCGGCGGGGTAAAACGAGAGAGAGGGCACGCGCGCGACTCCGCTAGCAGACGACAAACCGGGAGGTTGCCGTTCTCAATCTTTGGGCTGTATCGGCGGGCTTTACCGAACATCGAACTCTCGCTCGTGGCTGCCGTTGTGAAGTGGCTCGCGTTCTTAGAATAGTTGGGGCTACTCCAAAATCAGCCTATAGCTCTCCGTTGTTCCATTTCGCTAAATGATCAACTAGCATATCTTTTTTCCGTTACTTAAATAGCAGTTGAGTCAGCCGGCAGTACTACCCTCAACTACTGCGTGTATTGCGGCAGGAGAGCACGTTTTTATTTATTATTTCAGACTTCCACTCATGGTCGCTAAAGGCCTACACCAGTACAAACTTTTGTATAGTAAAAAAGGTACAGCAACCGGATTTACTTTTCGCCAAAGAGATTGGCCATTGTGACACAGCATTTCCTATTCTTTTTTTTTTTATTTGCACGCAGGTAACAGCGCAATTGGATCCTGTGAGTCGTTTTATCTAACATAGTATTACACGACAACTGGCATACCAAAATCTGCGCATCTGCGCTTGAAAGTTCCAAAATGACGCGATTTTAAACAGAGTTTGCACGCCAGCCAGACGCTACCTACAGCCCACTCGGCGAAGCGGACGTCATGCGGGGTGAGAGGAGGAGTGCATTTTTTTCTCTTTTACCCTCTCTGCTATGACCCTAATGGAATGGTCTATACAGTTAGTATCATCAACATATTTAGATGAAAGGGAACAACCTCAACAAAAGCATACAGTACCACTAAGGTAGTAATTTCACGGAGTAGAGCTGAACAAGTAAATGTGGTGGACTCAGCAAAACATACAACTCATTTGCAATAAATGTGTGTGACTATGTGCCTCACTGCACTTCTCCTGGAGGTCAAGTGACACTCACTCTGCATTGGATGGACTTCAATGGCTCACAGCATCTGCTGCGTCCATCATAAGATGAAACGGAACATAGCGAGGTGATCAGAGCGTCAGAGCAAGGCCCGTAGAGACATACCGTCGGTGAGCGCTCCTCCCATAAAAAGCTGTCATGTACTTTACTTCATCTCCCGATTGGCTTATGGGAGCCATATTACTTGACGGTTGCCAAGTTACGCTGAGACAAGGTACAGCAGGTGCACAAGCGCAGACAGGGCCTTTTCGTCCCAACATTGCAAGTCACGTAGCTACCCCTCTCACATGTAAAGATTATTACTTAATTTTTTTTTTCTTATTTGCTTTGGGCAGTGATAGGATGGGAAGCACCTCCCACACTCACAAATTTCACTTCCGGCCACCAAGTGTCCCCACCGTCCAACACCACAAAATGGTCACGTGACTAGTTTCCCTCGAACCGCGACAGCCGCACACCGCCGGCTTCATCTAATAAGCTTTGGTCACTAAATACCCCCCTTTAAAGATTCCTAAGCTTAACTCACCTTCCGGGGAACTAGCGCCTCCGACGGTCGTGCAGTCGGCACCGGGAGTCCCGTTCAAGGGCGTGCCTATCCCCGTGTTGGTCCCAAAAGTCGTATTCGCCGGCATCGGCGATGAAGGCGTCGAGCTGTCCGAACTCGACGAGGAGTAGTCTTCGTCCTCGACAGAATTGTCAACTTCGCGTGCTGTCAGCTGCGGCTCTCGTGCTCGCTCCGACGGAGGCGGTCCGTCGCAAGTCTTTCTCAAACTTGCCTCGAGGTCCGCCAACTTGTTGAATATGATCTCGATATCTTTCACTCCGATGCCGGTGTCTCGCAGCCGGCGTACCAGGTCCACCTGTTCCACCGTGAACTTCAACACCATTTTCGGAGACCTGCTCACCTAGCGGAGCCGTGATGCTTGCACGAAACCAATCGATGCATAGAGTACGAACAAGACGTGTTACGAAGAAACGGTGAGCAGCCGGCGCGTCGGGTCCGCTTGTTCCACCGTGACCTCGGAGAACTCCAAAACCATCGTGGCGGGCGTTTTTTTTTTTTTTTTTTATTCCTAGCGGTGCCGTATTGCTTGCACGAAACCGCGAAAACTATCGATTTGTGCTGTGTGGGTCACAAACTTCGTACGAAAAACCCGCGCGAAACGGGCACGAAGGCACTACGAGATGTTCGGTACTTTGGAGCGAGGTTTGCAGTATGAAGGAAGTAAGGAAGCCTGCCACTGAAGACATAAAGTACAGTTACATCACTGCGTTAACGGTAACTACGCCTAACCAACCTCACTAGCCTAACCCAAACTATTCTTTAACGCGTTTCCGAAACGTGTCACCAGGTGACGCCACAAGCTGTAGGGGCGCCCTGGCGGGAAAAAAAATTAAACCAGGAGTTGGCTGAAACTAAAGGAACTTTCGAAAGTCCCAAGAAGTTATGCGTCAAAAATATATTATCGCGACTTAATTTTTGTTTTGTTTAATCATGCTAATAGCGCTTACCTTTTGAAGGTGGTAACCACTGGTTACCAGAGGCTCTCGTTACCACTATGGGAGCCAACGAGGTTGTTGCGTATGTATATACAGTGGCGCTAGTTACCACAGCACTTAACTAGTCAAAAGATGGATGGGCGCGCATTTTGAACTTAGTTACTCTGGATACTAGCAAAAATACCCAAACCTAATTTCTAGATAATTGGTCTTTGCCAGTAATATTTTAGCCAGTAAGGAAGACAAAATCTAGCTAAAAAGCAAGCATTAACTACAAATCCCAAAGAGAACCAGACACATTAAAGTGCACAGCACAAACCGTTTATTCAGTCTCTCAAAGAAATGCAGTGAAAGGTTAATTTAGTTTTGACAGAAATTTTTGTTTCTGCGACAGTAGCCAGTGATGCCATCAGGCTAAGCACATCACAGTTCCATCACCCACAGATGCTCATCTGAGGAAGGACTGATCCTTGAGGTAGTAGCGCTCGATGAAAAGCGACTGAGACTTCCGTTCCATCTGCGCCAACTCCTGCACTGTCGGGGCCATTTGAGCCGTGTGAGTTTCGTACATGCTTCCTGGAATAAGGAGAGTTGATCACATTAGTAACATTGAGCAGATTGTCACTGTCGCAGAAGCGGTAGCTTCAGCAAAAATTACCCTACTAATTACCCTAATTGAGAAAATATGTGCATGAATGGAATATTGACACTTAACTAGGCAAACAATAAAAGTATCTGCCTTTGGTAATAGAATATGACACAGGAGTCACGGCTACCACCTACAGTAAGCGGAGCAATAAAGCAAAGTAATTTACACCGAGGATGTGCGGTCAATTGGCAGTGCTTGTTCTCACTTAGGTCCAGCCGACTTTAGGTCACACGAAGCTAGCATTGTCGTCTACGACACTGGCACTTTTTTCCAGTGCTGAAAACAAAAAGGCAAGCAGACAGTTTCGTTTCCAGGTTGCCAGATGCTAAAATCGTGGTTTCCAAACTGTGGGTGCCTTTGAAGGAATGGCAAATTTTTCCTATGCGGAGAGTAAGTTGTCTGCTTCTTGCGCAGGAGTTGTGGTGACAACAGAACAACGCCAAGCTTTGACTGGCTTTGATTGAAATGATAGTGAGTAGACCTAAATGCTAAAAGCCTTAAAGTCCACCCACTATTTTTTTTTTTTTTTTTGCCAATAAGAGTTTGGCATTTTGACATTATCGCAACTCCTGTGCAAGAAACAGAAGAACTTGCACTCCGCATACAAGCAGCTCTGGAAGCTTGGCTATAAGTCAAGTAAAGAAGAAAGTGGACACTGCATTGCGAACAACAACCCCAGTCAGTGTTTTCAAAGAAGCGAAATTTTCCTTCATGCTCATAGAACCTCCAAACCTCATCTATTAACTTCAATACCTCACATGTGTCATAAATAGGACATTTATACACATGTGCAGGGTGTGCAAAGTTGCAATCACTGTACAGGTTCCTCATTATCAATAGGGCTGGGCACTGGATTAATGATTTAATTGCGATTAAATTTTTTATCCGGTTAATCGGGTAAATTTTGACAAACAAACAAAAGGTTAAAATTTAACGCTTTCGCTACGCAGATGTGCACGTATACACCTGTATGAAGAAAAATTTTAGGTGAAATTTTGCCCTAAAGTAAACTGTAGGGGTGAGATTTGTAACTCCAAACAAGTGGAGAAGGTTATGCTGTCCCAGTCACTTCAATGCCATGCGAGCATCTGTTAACGCGGCAAAGGCTATTGTAAACAATAAAAGAAGTTTGCTATTGCCAGAGAATACTGTTGCGACCCCAGTTTCCCAGTCAAACTGCACGTTCCAAATTGTCCACCTACAATGTCCACACCAGACGTGTCACTTCGAGGCAGAGGGATTTTCTGCTCTACAGACACAATCACGGCTTAATTCGATCTCTGAGGCAACCTTTGACCACGTACCAGCCTGCGTCCTCTTCTGGCCATACACAACCTTCCCATCGAACTCGTCGGCAGGAATCTTCAGGTCGGGCTCCACTTGCTGTATGGTCACGTTAAGGTGGTCTTCAATGTCGGACAGGTACTGCACAAGCAAGGCGAACTGGTAAGCGTGGTCACGTATAATAATGACAAATAAAAATATTTATGAAGGGCCTGCCAAAAGTAAACCACCGTCGCAAAAGAAAGCAGCGAAGAAACTGCCAAATTCAGTGCAAGACTAACTCAATCAGTGTGTTTAACCTCTTATGGCAACAAGGGCAAAGGCAAATTTAAAGCTTTTTTAGTGCCAAACGAACGAAGGGCACCTGGCATGCCCCAGCGAAAGACTGAGGGTTAATTTAGACCACCTGAGAATCTTTTGACATGAAACCAAAATCTGAGCTAAATAGTGCCTCTGCCTCAATACAAACTTGCCTATGGGGGACCTGTAGACCGGCACTTCGCCTCGCACCCACCGTGGTGGCTATTCTCTTATGAAAATGTACAGTAATGGTACTGAAAACGAGTTATAATTTGCAACAACTTAATTTTGACAGATTTCGCAAACTACAAGAAACGATTGCAAGGGAGAGTTGATGTGTCACCAATGAGCCTTCGGTACAAAAAGATCTACGACGTCAGAAAACTAACGAGGCATTCGTACACAAAGACACAAACCCTAACTTGTCGCAGCAATGGACAATTTTATTTTTAGAGCAGAGCTGTTAAGGGCTAGTTTCCCCAAGATCGTGACTGTCAGCAAACAAATGAAGACACAGAACTCTGGACAGCTACTGGCCATCTATAAGCGGTGGCGGCAACCAGACAACCGGCTTGCCGGTTGTCTGGTTGCCGCCGTTGCTCATAGATGACGGCAACCTTTCAAGACTTTCCACTCTGGCTTGCTGACTTGCGGCCGGCCATTACTTCATTCCCACCATAGTACAGCTTCGCTGGTCTTCCTTCTTCATCAGAGTAAAAATTTGGCTGAAAGTTTTTGTTTTTTTTTTGTTTGTTTGGCAAGATACGATGGCTGGAGTGCTGATCACCCAGTGCAATGGGGCTATATGTATATACCGTAGAATACCGCACATCCGCCCATTTCACATTAAGCGCCCATACCCAAATTTGTTAGATCTGCGAAAATATGCACAGTACATTTATATGTAGAATTGATGACAAGACAAGCGCCCATCCCCCCTTTTTTCATGATTATATCGAAATTTTGAGTGGGCACTTCCCGGTATTTTACGGTAGTCACTGTTGAGGGGGGACACTGGAATAAAATACAATTATTTTTCAGAAAAAGCAGTTTTCAAATTTTACATTTTAGGCTCCATGCACATAGAAACTTTCGAAAGTGTATACTGAACGTTTACGTCAATACAAAATATTTTCGACGGGACGATAATGCACGACACATTTTGGTGAGCCATCGGCCAACAATTATTGACTGTTTTCAAGCATTATCCTCTCCGTGCTCGATGTATGAATTAACTCTTCATCGGAGGTGAAGAGCTAACTCTGGTGCAAGTTGACCAATGTTGTCATGAAAAAGTTGACAAACTATTATGCATGTGCATTGAAGCTGAATGACCCAAAAGTTCAGGTGATGCAAAAAGGAGTGTTTAGGAGCCTCCTGTACATTTACTCTACTGATGAAAATTCCAGCATGAGGTCTGCCTTCAAGAAAAAGATTCATTATGGCATCACAACCACCATGCGTCACTGGAGACAATAGGAAAGCCACAGCTCTACAGCCTTGCCTGCTCTGGGGGAATTGACAAGGAGTTTGTTCTTCTGTACGACCATATACCCTGGCATGACCTTCTCGAGAGATGTGCCAAAATGAAGGCTCATAGCCCCTTCCCCTGGAAAATAGCAAGCGCTCGCCAAGCGGATTCTTGTGCCCCTCGTGAGATGCGAGCAATCTCTCCGTATGCCGCTTGTATATCTGGAGCAGGTGGGGCGTTCGCCGAGCGGCTCCAACCGATCCGTGGGAAAGTGGCGGAGCGCATTGAACGGTCCGGAGTAGTTCTCTGTGCAACCTTTTTCGGAGGAGAATGATCTGTTGTCACTCGCAAAATTTCAGTTTTGTTATCAACGTTCCCGTGGGGGAGTGGAGGAGTTTCGCGGCTGTTTGTTTTGATTGCTGGTTGGGCTCTCTTGCTGTGCTTGCTTTCATTTCTCTTGTCATGAACGACTCGCCCGAGCATACTGCGGCAATGACATCGTTGCAGTTAATTTCAGTAGGTCTCATAAAATGCAGTGACAGCGAAATCAGCGACAGCAACAAAGATACCAGCTTAGCTTCAGCTCGAGTGACGACAAGGCAGTTGTTCTCGGCGAAGTGTTTGCCGAGTCGTTCGCCTTTACAGCGAAGAGGCTTAAGGGGACATGCGGGTCGAAAAACCGACTTTTTCCCGAAAATTACCGATTTTTCGTTTGTGCTTGTTTTATTATCTTCATACATCCTATATTTACGTATAAAAAAATCAGAACAATATTTGTACGAAAAGTTTATGAAAACCGCGTCTGAACAACTCGCGGCAGGCCGAGAAATCGCTAAATTTTTCGAATCTCGCCCATCTTTGAGCGGCTCCAACTCGCGATAGCGGCGCCGTCCGCCATTGCTAATGTTTGGGCAGGTAGCGACAACCTTCCTCTCGCTGGCGAAACATCCGTCAGTTTCGTATTTCCTCGGCCAATAATAATAAACTGCGCATTTTGCCGCGTCTTTCGCGCGTCTCTACTGGCTTTAAATCACGTGGTCCCATCGCGCGACCGCCATTGGCTGAGCGGCTTGCGGGACAGGAGCGAAGCCTGGGTGTTGCTCTCGTGTCGCTACGTCGCAAACAAGAACTACAGTGTTTCTACGTTTTTCCGACTTTATTTGCGATGGACAACTGTAAAAAGCGCGATTTTACTGTTCGAAAGTTCCGGAGCAAGTACAAATTCCAAGGAAGGCGGCGCAAACTCAAGCGGAGAACGCCAACGGCGCAAAGTTTACCGCTGCCCGATAGGCCTAACCCCAGCAACGATGGCTGTTCCGGCGGCTCCGAAGAGATCGACCCAGTTGACGCTGCGTTCACGTTTGTCAGTGCTTCGGAAAAAAAAATCGGGTTCTTCGAAAACGAAGAGAGACGAAGCGGCGATGGCTCTGCGAGTGCAGTGGTGTGTGACATTGGTGCACTGACGACACTAGTGAGCGGTGTGACTTGCCCCGCTTGTCACGAAGGCAAACTCTCCGTTCGGGAGTCGGCGGAGAAGCGTAAGGGACTTGCGTCGTTCCTCGAACTGCATTGTGAGAACAGCGAGTGCCCAGAGTCAGTTCTTTCGTCAACGTTTACGTCAAAACGTGTCACCCCCAGTGGAGCCGAAAGCGCGAACGGACGCCACGACAGTGGGAGCTCGCGCGACGGTTTTGCAGTCAATGTGAAGGCTGTAGTGGCCACGCGTGCGATAGGAGCCGGACACGAGCAGCTCTCACGCTTCTGTGCTATTCTCGGCCTGCCGAAGCCTATGCACCATAAGACCTTCAATTCGATCGGCAAGAAGGTTCATTACGCTGCCATGACAGCCGCCAGTCAGAACCTTGAGAAGGCCAGGCTCCTGACCAAAGAGGAGGTGGGTGGAGCGGATGTCGCCGTAATGTTTGATGGTACTTGGCAGAAGAGGGGCCACAAGAGCCACAACGGTGTGGGCACAGCCGTGTCTGTGGACACTGGTCTGTGTTTGGATTTTGAAGTTTTGTCAAACTACTGCCTTACATGTAGTCGGCACCAAGACTTGGGTGAAGAAGAAGAGGCCTGGCAGGCATTCCATAGTGTTGACTGTCAGAGGAATGTTGAGTGCTCCTCCCATGCCATGGAGACGGAGGCAGCAGTCCGCATATGGCAGAGAACCCCATCCTACAAGACGCCACTGCGCTTTACAAAGTTTTTGAGCGATGGAGATAGCAAGGCGTTCACAGCAGTGTCCGAGGCCGACGTGTATGATGGAGCAGCAATTGAGAAGGAAGACTGCACTAACCATGTGGCGAAGCGTCTTGGCACTGGCCTTCGCAAACTCAAGACTCCGCTACCACGTGGGGAGAAGCTCAAGGACGGCACCATCCAGAAGCTTCAAACATACTACCAGATAGCAGTGATAAGCAACAGAGCCGACATCCGCGGCATGTATTGTGCCATATGGGCAACATACTTCCACTCTTGCTCTACGAACACTGCTCACAGCCACAAGTTCTGCCCAGAGGGAGCGACGTCTTGGTGTAAACACAAACGAGCCGAAGCCCTGGGAGAGCCTGCGCCAGACCACACCCCAACCCTGACCAAGGCCCAGGGGAAGGCAGTGCTCCCCATCTACAGACGGTTGACTGACGAGAAGCTGCTGGCCCGCTGTATCCGAGGGAAAACCCAGAATGCTGCCGAGTCCCTGAACAGCAAGATCTGGCTGCTCTGCCCAAAGACAAGGTTTGCCTCCCGGACGGTCGTGGAAACGGCCACAGCGATAGCAGTCCTGTGGTTCAATGGGGGGCATGCAAGCTTCGAACATGTCTTGGAGGAGCTCGGAGTGCTTCCACCTAAAGGACTTCTCACACTTGGCGACTCCCGTGACGATCTACGGATCCGGAGAATGTCTGCCCGGCAGACAGCGGAGGCACGAGCCCATCGCCGCAGCATGGTCACGAAGGCCCGTCTCGAGGACTCTAGCCGCAAGGACCATGAGGGAACAACGTACAGTGCAGGAGACTTTTAGACACTCTGCATTCTCCCTAGGCACCCCGCTCCAGCCAAGTTTTGTGTAATTACTGTTGCTCTTTGACGGGAATACATCTTTTGAACTTTCAGATGAGTTTTCTTTTTGCAATTTCGGGCAATCTTCATAGTTTGTGCGCTTCTTTTTTGGCACTTAGAGTATTCACATCATAACGAAATTTTGTCCCTATGATCATTACAGTATGCAGAATGCTAGTATGTATTTGAAATTGAAATATCTCACTTATATTGATGAGTACACATATTTTGAACTTTCAAATGCACTTTTCTCATTTTGCAATTTTGGGCAATCGTCACAGTTTGTGCGCTCCATTTTTGGCACTTAGAATCTTCGCATTACAATGAAACTTTGCACCTATGATCTTGGGTATATGTAGAGTGCAGGTATGTATTTGAAAGTGCAATATCTCTGTTATATTTATAGAAACTTGAAAAAAACCTGTAAAGGGGTTTTAGAATAGAAGTTTTACCAAGATATTTTTTTTTCTTTCAAGATTGGAAAGTAGTGCACAGCTTCTGACTAGTTATTTGCAATCTACACTTCATAAAGAGCAAAATGAGCTAATGCCCAATGCTCCTTGTGAAAAATTACTATGTTGGAGCGTGTGCACAAAAAATACTCTTTTCTGTCGTTGGGTGTGGCACTAAACAAAAACTATATAAGCCACATTAAAACTGATTACAGTTCTGAAAAGAACAGGCAAAACTCTATAAATATCTAAAGTTTCATCGTCCTCGGGCAAAAATTAAAAAAAGTGTGCCTCCGAGTAGCATGTTCCCTTAAAGGAATTTCCAATATTAAAACAAAAGTACTGTTAAGATATTGCGTAACGTCGAAGATGTTGCGCGCCCCTATTCGGATGAAGAGCTAGGTATGTCCTTTTTTTCATTGTGTGGTCTCTGTAATGTAATTGGAACAATTGGAAAACAATACGCCAAATACTCCGCACATGGAAGTCGCCTTCGGAGATGACGATCGCCTTACTTAATTGCATCCTACGGCTCGTACAAGTACTTCTAGTTGTCTTCATTGGGTTTATATAACTGTAAGGAAAAATTAATTGTGTCTTAACATCGGGGTCATCGTTAATCAAGTATAAAATCTAAATATTTGTCAAAGCATGATGTTGGGATCAGGACTTCATGCTTTCAGCAAGATAGCAATGGGAACTGAAACTGTAAAAAAGCGAGGGCAGACGCTCTGAAAGCGGCGGCACTGGGAGCGTTACGCTTGATTTGCTCCGCAGCGCGTACCACTGGGGTGGATCACATGACCGATTGCTCACAGAGGCCAACCGCTAAACAACAGCTAGCACGGAGCGCTCGGCATCTGCCAGGGGAAGGGTCTATTAGAATGTGAACAAGTCATTCAATTTTCTGGAATAGGGGTGGTGTTTGAAGATGGACTTCGTGTATCGAAGAACAATAGAAATGACTGTTTTACTCGCAGTGGTCGAGTTAAATTTAGGCCCCGAGGGTTTTGACGGGGATCTTTTCGAGACGAGGATAGAGCCTGGGAGTCACCAGATGCAGCACTTTGACAGGTGCGTGCAATCTAAGGCCTAAAAGCAAAGCAGAAGGTGCGTAGCCACAATAGCAAAATAGCTGAAGACACGTGGCAGAGTCTTCCAAGCGGCCCACAAACAGGGGATGCTTCAGGCAATCCTAAAGAGACCAAAGAACCAGGCAGCTAAAGGACAGACCTACTCTGCTGGGACCTTTTAGAGGATGCAAATTGTGATAAATTAATAAAGTAAAAGGTCTCAAAGTTTGAATCCATTTTTCTCAGTTTCACTTTTTTGCTACAAACATCAAACAAAGGAATCTTTTGCTCAACAGTTCTATGACATGATCCAGGTGTTTATGAATTTAAATTTACTGGTGAATTGGGCTATCCACTTCATTTGGCATTAGGATAGTCATAATAAAAAAAAAGTTATGTATTGACAAATCAGTATGTCTAAGCTCATTACAACAGACCTAGTTACAACAGGCATTTGGATATAACATACCGACTTGTGAAGTTTGGTTGGTTTTCCTCTACATACCATTGACTCAACTTCGTACAACATACTCCTCTTACAACAGACCGAAATCTTGGCCGAAATCAAGGGCTGTTATAACCGAGCTTAGACTTACAAAACAAAAATGGACGCATCTCCACGTGGTGAATGATGATGATTGGGGCGAAGCTCTGGTGGTGCTGATGATACTGATTTTATTGTTCATAGGTAGTGCTGATGGTGCTGATTTTTTTTTTTTTTTATTGCTCATAGGTAGTGCTGAGTTCCGGGTTGCGTTTCGACTTCATTATTACTGCTTTATGGTCAGTGCAATGCAGAGCCAGTGGTTCTTCTAGCAGATCAGCTTGGATCCGCTAGAAGCCGTGGGAATGCACCTCCACCACTTAAGTCAACGGTCCATGTCAGAAAGAGAATATGTGGTATGGATCGTGGTTATATACGCAGCTGAGCATTTGACCGCAGCGCCCTCTCGTCTATAAACGTTGAGCCTATGCATGCAAAGTTCAACGCGATCATATACGCATTTGACCGCAGCGCCCTCTCCTGTATAGACGTTGAGCGGCTACATGCAACGTTAGAGTGTAGCGTAGTGGTTAAAGGACCGTTCACACTCTTGCGACCGAGTACGACCGAGAGAGACCAGACCGGTTTTTAAGCCTCTTGCGATCTCTTAGAACCAGCCCCGCTGCAGCGCACCCGGTCCTAAGAGGTCGCTCTCAGTCGTACTCGGTCACAACAGTGTGAACGGCGCTTAAGACGTCTCGTAAGCAAACGGTCCTAAGTTCAAACCCCCGTGCGGGCATATGTTTTTTTGTTTTTTTAAAGGTGGCCGATCCTGAAGGAAGTGCGATCGATGTGAGCACGGACGCCAGACAAGGCTAGACCCTAAGGAGCTTCACCCCTAAAAAATGCTTTTCATTTATAGGGGTAGTTTTTCCTTTGTAAATATTTACATTTTAATACGGTCGAATCTCGTTAATTCAAACTCGAGGGGGACTGAAAATTTGTTTGAATAAAGAAAAGTTTGAATTACCTGGAGTTTCCTCTCATTGAGATGCATAGGATGGGACTTGCATGTTAGTTTGAATTATTTGCAAGTTTGAATTAAGAGGGTTTGAATTAATGAGATTCACCTGTAATATAAACTAGATAGCCTGAAGTCCAAGACTCCCTACTTCGTATTCAAACAATAAAGTTGTAATTTATTGGCTTACCGTCAATACCGGGCAATAGCCCACTCAAAATTGAGAGATAATCGCAAAAAAATGGCGGATGGGCGCTTGTCCCGTCATCAATTTTACATATCAATGTACTGTGCATATTTTCTCAGATCTTACAAATTTGGGAATGGGCACTTAGTGTGGAACGGACGGATGCGCGGTATTCTACAGTAATTTGTATATCATAGATTTCTTAGGGAGGAGTGCCACAACTTCATACACAAATGTCTAGCTCCCAAAATAATTGCCCTAGAGGCGTCAGAGTTTGCATACTACCCTCTTATCTGATCCTCAGTATCCCCTGAAAATTTCATTCTAGCAATCTGTGGAGCAAGGACCGGATGCTTAATACCAGCCCTCGTCGTAACCTCACCTGCGGCTCGTTGTACCAGATGCAACATCCACCCCGATCGGTCAGGTTGGTGTTGAAGCAGTTGCGGCCCTTGCTCGAGCAGTTGGAGTGGTACCAGACCTGTGTTCAGTGATTGGGCATTAGCATTAAATAATGATGGTCAGGCAAAAAAATAAAAAAAAATAAAAAAAAGCACAATGAAAACATGCCTAAAGCAATTAACCTATCAACAGCAATCCAGGTGTGCAAATACAGCGACTATTGTTAGTATCCAGGACAGTCCAGGAGAGTGTGAACACCTGATGCTTGCGATGCAGTAGATTCCTCATCCCTGTCACGTAGTGAATTTTGTACCTTTACGACGACTCATCCTTATAAGTAACCCCCTGTTATCCTCATTATGATAATTCCTAAAACTTGTCAATTAACAAATTAAAAAATAAAAATGTTCTTATGCAGTAGACTTTTTAACCTTATACAGATGAATCTCGTTAATTCAAACCCTCTTAATTCAAACTTGCAAATAATTCAAACTAACATGCAAGTCCCATCCTATGCATCTCTATAAGAGGAAACTCCAGGTAATTCAAATTTTTCTTTATTCAAACAAATTTTCATTCCCCCTCGAGTTTGAATTAACGAGATTCAACCGTATATACTGTCGAGACCGGTTATAACAAAGTCAACAAGAATCGGGAATCACTTTGCTATATCTGCTATTTCGTTATAACCGACTTTGGTTATAACGAAGTGCAAAAGGGAATGGAAAATTGTGATCGCTTCACTGTAGCCGCTATTTCGTTATAACTGACTTCGTTATAACCGGTTTCTACAGTAGCTTTCTAAACAAACTGCACTAAGGCTTGCAACAATCCTTTTAGTAACACCATTTGACTTGCCTTTTCTGGTACGGCAGAGGCGAGGGAAATAGCAAGGCCCATCCTGCAACAAAGAGCAATTCGCGCACCATTACAAAACATCCAAGATTCATAACGGAAACCATCCAAGACGAGATGCCGCAAGACGTCTGCAACAAAAATGTTGAAAAGGGAACTGACCGCTCAGCCCTTCCGACACGGCCGATGCGGTGAACGTAGTTGGACTTCTCATCCGGCAGCGTAACGTTGATGACTGCAGATTTTGTGAGAGAAAGAGGGAGAGAAATAAATAGATAAAAAAAAGTCGGTCCGACAATTGAAGCGGGTGTCAGAAGACAGGAAACCGGAAAGATAGAGGCACAGAAAAGGCTCACCGAACGGGACGCCTGTAATGTCTATGCCCCGGGCAGCAACGTCCGTGCAGATCAAGAACTTGACCCCGCCCTTCTGCAAGAGCACAATGCAACGAGAGACAAAATTCCTTTATTAAAATTATTGAACCTGACACAAGCCCGCATGCAAAGTGACTGACACGGAGGTGCGTGAGAGGAATAGAACACGCAAGGGTGCAATGGTCACCCGACATTGAAAAGGGGATGAGCGGAGCAGACGACCCGACGACTTTCGTAGTGTCTTATCGGGCACCTGCTCAGGATGTCACGGCCACAAGCACAGTCGTGCTTTGCACATTTCGTTTCTTTCGCGCACCGTACCGTGGACGAAGTTTTGCAGATTTTAAATCGCGAGCACACAATCTTTTCCGTTAGGCGCTTAAATAGATGCACCATTATGGCATTATGTGCAGCTCCAGGAAGGACCAAAAGCATCCGAACAAGAAGCAGAGCTCACCTTGAAAGTTTCCAGGTTAGCCTTACGTTCCTGAGGCTTCCTGTCTCCGTGAAGGCAGACACACGAGAACTGGCTCTTGTTTCTGTTTGCTGTAAAATGTAATAAAAAGACATGCAAGAAAAATAAATAGGGTTTGTGCTATCGCTTCAAAATCAGTGTTCGATTTATACTTAGCAGCTATCATTGTACAGCCAGTGTATCACATCCACGAAAGCTAATCTCTCTTTAACTCTTCTTCCGTTGTGCCCTAGGTGTTCTCGTTTGTGTCTTTTCTACAAAATATATCATACTGCGAACCCTATCCTAAGAAAGAAACTCCTCCTCAACCTCTCTTACACTTCCTCACGCATCAACCATCAGTTCACAGTTGGCATTCCTCATTGCCAGGCTTCAGCCTATAACAATTCCTTCATACCTAAAACATTGTCAGAGCGGAACCAACTGTCCACGTCATTAGTATCAATGTCCAAATTTTTGCAACAACTGAAAAAATAGGCACACTGCATATGTAGGTAATATTATTGACCTAACGGGTGCCCATTCCCGAATTTTCGCGATTATCTTCATATTTTTAGTGGGTGTTTGCTCAGTATTTTACGTTAGATCTGACTAAAACTGCTCTTAATACTCCTTTTTGCAAAAGTATCCCGTGACAGTGTTCAACAAGGTCTAAAAAAATGGTAAACCGGTATTCGAATTGACTTTTGAAAACGTTCAGATATTGGCAATGTTTCAGCGTCTGGCCACCGGGGTGGCCAAACACTTATATCCAAAGAGCCATAAAAAAAACATACTTTAAGGGAAGGGTCACGATAAAAAGGGGACGTGGCACTTTCTAAAATTTTTGTTTTTCTCAGGTGGTGGCCACGGTGAATTCCACTCCTAAAGCGATTGTTCGGATGTTTCTTTAGCACGAGTCCCCTTTCGTGAAACAACGACCCGGTCCGATGTGCGAAAGATGGCACAAAGCTGACAAAACGCAAGCTGTCCTTTTTTTCTATATGTCTTTCCTTTTGATCTTACAGGTTGGGAGGAGGGGGGGGGGGGGGGGGGGGGGGGCTGAAGTGTTGCGAGCCACACTTGAGCTCCCTGGGTGCCTTATTTCTTTGGGTTAACGACACCTGACCATTTTATTTTGAACACTTTTTGTTCTTTCTTGTTCTAAAGTGTGTAAGAGCGTCCCCTGGCACGCGCTCTTGACGTTGACTGTGCTCTCGGGGCATTTCGTGTCCCGCAATTTCCCTGCACTTTTTCTGTGAGCACGTGTTATCGGCATTGGGTACTACAAAGGATGTCATCCCCCTAAAAAAAAGACACTGAGGAACCCTAGGCCCTTAAACAGGCGCACAGGGCTCGTGTGCCACGGTCCGGCCACCGCCACTTTATACAGTTTGTCATCCGAAGTAGTGTGGAGGTGAACTCAAGAGTTTGAAGCGACAAAACTAGAGCGCGCAGAAAAGAAGAGCACCGCACACCCGCTCCGATCTGGTTCAGATAGCTCTCGAGGTTGTCGCAGTCCACCTTGGTGCGGCAGAAGATGATGCCCTGGTCCATGTTCTGCTGCTGGATGGCCCGCACCACATACTCCCCCTTCAGCAGCTTCACCGCCTCGGAGAGGGTCTCCGGGGTCGTGGCACCCGGGCGTATGTTGTCCCGCTCGTGCACCGCGTCCGTCTGCAAGGAGGCACAGCTCGTCTAACCCTTTGACAGTCATCACTGCACGTGTACGGCGGCGATCACACGTTTGGAAGTTCCTGCCCAAACACGAGACCGGCGGCAATTACCTAAATGAAAGTTCCCGCCCAAAAACGAGACAATGCGCACCCTGGAAGGTGGTGCTTTTTGTTATGTCTTTGGGGAACTATAAAGTTATAGTTGCACCTTGTTTCACTTTGATGGGGCTATTTACTTCTCAAAATTAGATGCTCCGTGCGCGTGACTTGCGCTAGACAGTCGCTTCGCGTGTCGACTGCTCTGGCAGTGGTGGCAGTCGGAGTGCCGGTTCTTCCATTCCAGACTTTTCATGCTACTCGGAATTGAATCCGGAGGACGAGAGAGTTAAAGGGGCACTGAAAGGTCAAAATCATATTTTCATTTATTATCCGAAACAATTGAAAACGATGCCTGGACATCACTCTTGAAATTCAAAGCTTGGAAACTCGGTATTTGTGAAGTAAAAAAAGAAGTTAAACTTAAGTCCTCGCGCTATTTGCACCAGTGCACTGACGTCAAAGATTGAGTCATCCTGTAACTTGAGTTTCTCTCCCGCCCCTGCCGAACCGTCCGTGTCGTGTTCTCCCGCGTCCCGCGATCAACCGCGCTTCTCCAGGTGTGCCGCCTATCCCTGTGAGCAGACGACGCTTCACTTTCGAGTTTGTGAAGTTCTTTTAGGGCCCTTTCAGCGATCTCAAATTTTTTTTAAATGGTGCGAGGTCGAAGAGGACGTGCAGCGGACTTTAGTGAGCGGCACGAGGGGCCACGTCACGCAGGTGCTGCGTGAAAGGCTGTCCTTGCAGAGTCACAGCCATAACTACGGTGCACTGGCACCAAACCCAGTTGTTTTGACTGTTTGACGAATATTCTTTTCAAAACGCTGAAAAGAGAATTTTGTCCGTTTCCCCGACTCTCCGATCGCACTTACTGCTACATGAGCTGAGCGCCGCCGTGTTTTACGAAACAGGATAAAAACCCAGGAGGCGACACAATTCGGAGGATTCTGATTTTCAATATGTCAAAAGAAGGGGGCGTGTGTATTTGCAATTAGGTTAAAAAAAACATATTTTACGAATGCCGTTATTGAATGTTATAGAGATGTCGCTTACAAAGCTTCTAAATTTTAAAACGAATTACGTCACAAATTAAAAAAGGCGAGGAGGTGAGAAGAGAACGAGAAAAACGCAAACAATAAAAAGGCGCGTGCACACGTGGAAAAATCCTGCTTCTTGGTGTTCACGACACAAAGCCACCGTGTCGCATCCCTTGTAGGATGGAGGGAAGTAGAGCGCACATGTATTGCGCACCTCGGCCACGGGGGAGCAGGACCGTGGGTGCAGAGATGCGCACTGATAAGAAACCAAGACCTAGAAACGCGTCCAAATGTAGCGTCTTTATGGAACGTTCCTGCCTGCTGCACCTGCCTCGTATATTTCTAAAAAGAGTTGATTTAGTGGTTTTAGATGAAGCTCAGCAAGTTTCTAATTGGAACCACATGTCTATTTTCACTACAAAGTAAAAAGTTATTTAATAAATTTTACTTAATTAGAGCCCACTGATCATTACAATTAGCCCCCTATACTATGACTCCCTGGCTGTGTAATTCACCTGCACAAACTGGATAAGTGTAGCCTTCACGGCTCTTTTTAAACAAATCTGTTCAGCTTAAAACCCATATGTTAGGCTATGAAAATTTGTAAGTGGGAAAGGCTCAGTCAAATCACACCTTTGGGGGCCACTTGTCTGTGACGCCAACAACTCGTAATAATTAATCTCAAATAAAAATCAGAAAAAAAAATCTGAATTTCAAAATTTGGACGTACCACAATGTGCCTGCTCAGGTTCATCCAGGATGTGTCCTTCCTTGGATCGACAATGCAGACCTGCCCAGGTGAGGAGAAGGTGCTATAAAACCACACACTTGCACAAGTAACCGAACTACTGACAAGTCTAGCTAAAATTTAAACAACCTTTTTTGTGCAACCTTATTATTTTTACTAACAGCTAGATGCTGTGACATTTAAGGAGTCCCAAATTGAAGGTTGAGTTCACCTTTATCAGCTTCTGCTTCAGCACAAAGCTGTGGCGGCATCAAGTGACCAAAGCACAAGAGTGTAAGGATGTGCGAATAGTATTAAAAACTTTGAATAACTTGCCAATAGTGTTTACTGTTCAATTAAGATATGCACTGTTTTTAACCCCTTAATTAACCACTTTAGATGAGCCTGGCTCGTCAATGCGGGATTGTCCCCAAACCGTTCAGGGCAACGTTACTAAAACACTCAGTTGGGAAACTCGCCGTCGGAACCTGGGCCGCTGGCGTCCACCGAGACCGAGCTAAATGCGACAACAGCGCCACTCTTTATCATTTGTCTGTACTGTGGTCAGCTTGAGCTTTTTGAAAGCCTGTTTTTGCGTAAAAACAAATAAAAAAAGACTTTTTGTATGAAATTTATTGGAGTTTAGTACAAAAAGGGAGACGCGTTATGTTTTTAAAATCTTTAGTTCGCAGGGTTTTGCGGCACAATTAATATTGTTTTTATTCAACAATGCCTCAGCCGGCCTTTCAGGTAGCGCGTCCCGCCCTAGGTGCATTTTGACTTCGGTACTTGAACGCGGCGCGTCCGCCAAGGCGACGGGGGTGGCACCCCTGTTTTTTCGTTACCTCCGTCCCTGGATCTTTGTAGCGTACATGTTCCTATTGTATACCGGTTACTTGCAGTTTACAGTGTCAATAAACTTTTCTTTAAACCCTGTAACCTCTACCGCTGTATCTGTTCTTAAAGCCAAAGTGGATATCACGTGCACTTCCTCGAATGGCCGCTGCGGGAGAAATGGTGGCGTAGTGTTCGTCATTAGCTCGGTGCTCGGAGACAGATTGGGGCCACTTTTTCAAAGCTGTCTCTATGGGAGTTTCCCAACTGAGTGTTTTAGTAACGTTGGTTCAGGGCGAGTATAGCTCGTCTGCTTCCCCCGGTTCACGCACTCGACTGTTTTGGACGAACCAGGCCCACTCATAGCTTAGTTTGAAGCCCTGCCAACAGATGGCAGCACTGAATTTTTTAGAAGTTTACTACTATTCTCTGTGTCGCTAGAAAGTTGATTTTAAAGATAACAAATAAGCGGTTGAAGGTCAAAAATCCCCAAAAGACTAAAAACGGTTAAACGGTTAATGCTAGAAAAATTTGAAGTTTTTTAAATATTAAATAAGTTATAAATAATTTTTTCTCTGAATTTCCAGATTTTTCGCGTGAAGCTTCACTGCTTCACGCTGGTGTGCGCACGTCAAGCTTAACTTCTCTGTATCGGTGTACTCGAAGGAACGGCTTCTACGGCGAAGCCTCTCGGCTGCTTCGATGGTCTCAGAAATCTTTATAACTATTGTAGCTTCATCATCCTTGGTTATGATTATAGGTAGGGCTCCGTGTTTTCGAATAAATCCGAAAAACTCCGAAAAACACCCGCCGGTAAAATTTTTGGCAATTCGGATTTATCCGATAAATTCCTAATTGTTATGTGCCCATGCTCTCTCCTCTCCTCTCCTCCCCCCCCCCCCCCCCCCTTTCCCCCCCCCCCCCCCCCCCAATAAATTTTTTTTTTTTTTTTACATTTTTGGCAGCGCATGCTCAATGGTTCTGGGAAAATGACACCATAATTATCTTTCAAGTCTCGGACCGTTGTCAAAAGGGGGCCTTACGGTTATTCTCGTCAAGGTTGGTTCAGGGAAACAGGTCATTGCACCATTCGTGTCACGACAAAAGCCACTCTTTTGGTTTCCAGTTTGGGCCATGGGATTTAGGATTTAGAGAAAGAAGATGGGTATGTTTCTGGGGGTAACAGTGAAAGCTATGGACCATAGAGATTGTATAAAATAGGGAAGAGGGGCAGTTGAAACCTCTCTATTACATCCACCTCGCGCGGCTGCGGGATAGATTGATGGGATGACTACGAGCTTCCTTGCGGCTATCTCCGGCAGTTTATTGATTTTAAGGTATCGACGTTTATCGAAGCCACATCTGTGTGCGATTTTTGTCGTGGGACAAATTAGTATTGCCAATGACACCAACGTCAAATTCAACAGCGTGTTTTATTTTTTATCTGGCATACGTTTGCATCCGGTTATTATTTATTATTTTTAATAGGAAACACTGCGAAATTAATCTCCGAATTGCGGAGAATTGGGGATATATGAAAAATAAACTCCGATAAACACCGAATTTTTGTTAAAAAATAAACTCAGAAAAACACCCTCCGAATTTCACGAAAAATAAACTCCGAAAACACGGAGCCCTAGCTATAAGTAGGGCTCCGTGTTTTCGGATAAATCCGAAAAACACCCGCCGGTGAAATTTTGGTCAATTCGGATTTATCCGATAAACTCCGAATGTCTATGTGCCAATGAAACCCCCCCCGCCCCCCGCAAAAAAAAAAAAAAGGTTTTTTGTACAGTTTGATTAGCACGGTGTCAATGGTCCTGGGAAAATTCCACCATAATTATGTTTCAAATCTTGGACCGTTGTCAAAAGGGGTCTTGCCGCTTATCTCGTCGGGGTTGATTCAGGGCAACAGGTCATTGTACATTCGGCTAACGACAAAAGGCACTCTTTTGGTTTCCAGTTTGAGCCATGCGATTTGTGATTTAAAGAAAGGAGAAGGTATGTTTTTGTAACAGTGAAAGCTATGGACCATAGAGATTGTATTAAATAGAGAAAAGGGACAGTTGAAACTCTCTATTGCTTCCTAAACCACTCCACCTCGCGCGGCCGCGGCCTAGATTGATGGAATAGGATGGGATGACTACGAGCTTCATAGCGACTGCCCCCGGGAGTTTATTGATTTTTAGGTATTGACTTTTATCGAAGTAACACTTGCGTGCGACTTTTGTTGTGGAACAAGTTAATATTGCCAGTGGCAATGGCACGAACGTCACATTCAACTGAAGAAATTTTAATCCATACAAGTGCGTTTTATTTTTTATATGGCATACGTTTACATCCGGTTATTATTTCCATATTCATTTTCAATAGGAAACACTGTGAAATTAAACTTCGAATTTCGGAGAATTGGGAACCAAACAAATATAAACTCCGATATACTCCGAATCTTCGGCAAAAAATTAACTCCGAAAAACACCCTCCGAATTTGACGAAAAATAAACTCCGAAAACACCGAGCCCTAATTATAGGTCAACCCCTCAAATAAAAACCAATAAAAAAGTCAGTTTTGCAACAGGTCTATTCACGACGACTGTAAAATGTCACTACTGTCGTAACCACCGTTATCGCACCGCATCAATCTTTATCTACTACTTAGCTCACTCAGTACAGCGTGTCCCCCAAAACATTTAGGGCATTTTTTTCATCGCAAAGGTAAACCATACGTCGCCAAACGCTTCTTCTCCGCCCCAATGTAGCGCTACTGGCCTTAACCAGATACCAAAGTTTCAGAACTAACCGCCATCTCCTTCAGAAGTTGTACTGTAGGCGATTTTCTGAAAATTTCATTGGAAAAATGGGGGCCTGCTCTTCATAACGAGGCATCGATCAAATCGACGCATTTGGGGGCCGCCATTTTTTTGTGGAAAATTTCAGAAAATCGCTTCTAACTTTTGAATAAGATAACAGCAAGTTCTCAAACTTCAGTATCTGCTTTGGACCGCTGATGCTACGTTTGGGCGGAGAATGAGCATCCGGCGACGCGTAGTTCAATTTTGCGGTGAAAAAAATCCCATATATTCTTTTGGGGGGGAGGACACCCCATACTTCAGCCTAAGTAATGTCACGTTTTTAAAATCAAGATGTTACTTCCTAAAGCTTACGTGTTGCGTGCGAGCATTCAAGAATGCAACGGCCCCGAATGCATCCGCCTGGCAACCCGTTGTCAGAGTTGGCTGCGTGACTCACCACGTGATGCACCGTCTCGGGAACGCTGTCCTCTCCCTTCAGGTCCACCCAAGTCGGGAAGTGCATCAGACGCTCCTGAGAAAACAGCAGCGATCGTGAAAGCTTGGACAAATGATCAGATTGGCTGCGTCTTTGCCCGCCGACTTCCCAAATTCTCCGATTGAGGTGTTCGTGGGCCAGTGCCAATTGATGCTCTGCCCCAATAGAGACCACCAAGATTCCACAATTGCGGTGTTGATGACCTCGAAAGAGCGGTCCCCAGGCAGGTTCAATCGAAATTGGAGACAACCGAAGGATGCCGAATCTATAATGTCCTCGAATAAGAAAAGCTCGAGCTTCGCAGGATTAAGGCTTTATCTACAGCTTTATTTTCTGTTTGCAGGGAACAGACTCCTAAGTGAACTGTCCACAAGGCTACTCTTTCATTTGGGAACACCCTCTGTCTCGTTTGTTTCTCTTATAGGTACAGAGACGTTTTCCACACATTCCGGTCACATGCGAACGTGTCCCTGAATTTGGGAAATCCAACGCCTGCGTTCCGTTTTCTTTAACATGGTAGTCCCTGACAAACGCAAAATGCATATTTCAACGTCAAAGATTGACTTCGAAAAACAAAGAATACTATGTAAAAAAAGAAAGACGTTGAAAAACGTGGAATCTTATTTATGACTTTCAAATGACAGTTTTAAGTCTCCGAGCGGCGGCTTTCTGGCTCGCATACTGCAGGATCGTGCTTTGGTCGCCTTGAGTCACGAGATTTTGCTCAACAACGGTGAAGTGAAGACGTTGCCTTGCTATATACTCAACTTCAAATCTTAGCTATTTTTAAATGGAATCCAAACAGTAGGTCTTGCACGATGATGGCATCGATGTTCGACGGTTCAGCACAATGAAGTACAGATCACTGCCCTACTCACCGCCAACTTCTTGACCTCGAAAGAATGAAGTGTTGCCGAGCACACTACCATCTGAAAAAGTATAAACGTAGGGAACAAGCATAAGGTATAAAGGGGGCAAAAGCAGAAGACAGTTTGCACATATGTGTATACATCGCTTGACATAAAAAACAAATGAAGAGGCAAACAAATTTTGAACGTACAAACAAAGGTCATGCATCTTCTTTTGTGCAGAAGACACATACAGCCAATCCTTGTGTTCTGCACAAGAAATACTGAATACTGCAGTAAAAGAAACTATCCCACGCAAAAATTTCCATCTGTAGAGATAGCATCTTTGCGTGATGACAAACCCGTCGTGTTCACAAATAGGCCGAATATGATCAACAATGCTCGTAAATGACAATTGCACGTTTGTATTTTGAGCCTGATGGCTGCATTTTTCGTTATAAATGGCCCACTCTGGCAAGCGCTCGGAGAGCAGCCAGCGGAGAGAGCACGTCACATCCGCCGCAATCGTGACATAGTTTGTCTCGGGACCTTACATCCGGACGCAGCAGACGCTGCGAGCTATCCCAGCCAATACTGCTCTGTGGACGTAGCCCGTGATAAGCTTTCCGCGTGTCACTCTGCCCTCTCTCCAAGGTCACGTGACATTCACACGGCCTTGAATAAGCCCCGATGGCTCGTAGCATCTGCTGAAAGCGGCCGAAGCACACCACTGATCGGGCCACCACAAGTAACCCCAAAGCTGCCTTTGTAAAAATTTTGAGCAACGGGTTAATCTTCTATAATCTTGTAGAGGGACAATAGTGACTTCTAGGAAACACAAAAGAGAGTCTCGGGGAGAGGGGAGTTCATCCTTCCCCTCTTCTCTCGTGGTGGCCGGAGGCGAGACAGTTATCGTCACTAGCTGTCAAGGTTCCTAGACGGGCATTACAAACGAGGCGTTAGCGACATCCACCAGGTGCTCTTTGCTAAATGTTTAATTTGTTTTAAAATTCCTTTTTATGTCTTTTTCAACAAGAGATTGGTGTGTCTGATGTGATAGTGCTCCATTGAATTCAAATAGATTAAGAAATAAGTGCCAAAAATTCGTTGTAGTATCCCTTGAAGTCGCTGGGCTAGCTGTCGATCGCTATGACTGGCCACCCGCGTGCTCCGCAACAAAGTGGATGCACAGGCCTTGTACATATACAGTGTGTTGATTACTAAAGTAAATACTGTAAGAGGGTTAACAAACAATGAATGGGAAAGACTAACTATTTTAGGTTCAATTTTATGACAAGACGCAAGCATTGTCAAGTCAGGACCCAATTCTGAAAGCCGACATGTGCAAACTCATCTTCAGTAGAGCTGCAAATCTTCTTTTCTCTCTTTGCATTTTCCAATCGGAAGAAAGAGTCTTTTTCATGCTAGCAACTTGGAAGTTCAAGACATTTCAGAGTAAGTATAAAAGCAATGTTTGAAGGAATCTAATGGAAGGTATTCGGATATGGCTTCGGCTGCGACTACTATATAAAAAAAAATAGAATTTGAGATTAGCCTTCAAGCCCTGTCTTAGGTTGGATATAATTAAGTTTTCAACCGTTCCCAACAAAGAAATATATTTTATGCTTGCTAGTTGTTACCCACAAGTTCATAGTTTTTGGAATATTTTGAAAACATAGCAGTCAAGCAACCTACATTAATTGTTGATTGCGTTCGTGTTGTTAAAGTCAGGTGTTCAAAACCATGTATTCCCCACTGTTTAACTATTTTGTATTTTCCACTGTATTTGTTTATTTATTCACCACTCTCCTGTGTAATGCCCTTGGCCCTAAGGGTAAAAAAAAATAAATAAATAAAAATAAAAGTCAAATGCTATGCTGATTCCCTTAAACCACCTGTGACCCTCCCAACAGCGTTTAATGACCAGTTTCTTCTCAGAAACAACTGTCAACCCTCTAAAACTATAATATTGAAAATCTGGCAAATTATGTTTCAAATGAAGTGCCACTGTTTTGAGTAGTACTAAAGCTCCACAATGACGTCTCGGAAAAAGGCACAAACAAAATATGAAAGGTGGTCAGTGGCACCCTCCCCCACACCTGAAGACGTCGTCCTTCGGCCGTAATCTGCGGTATCTGGCGGTGGACTCGGTTGATCAGTTCACCGTTCCCTCCATTCAGAAGTCCGTCCTAAGCAAAACAGAAAGAAAGATGAAACTTCCACCTCCCTGTTAACCTTTGTATGCATGAACACACACATATCCGATTTACTAGAGCCTTGCACAACCATTCTATGAAGTTTTCGTGATGCATCAATAGAGGAAGAAAAACAATGGCTGCACCATCGTTTCATGCGACATTCCTTGTAGAATGTCTCTCGAAAGTGGCACGCTGATTCGAGCTACACAAGCGACAGGCCAAAAGCTCGTAGTCAGAGGCCTAGAACGTCTGGCTCCATCTTCAGACAACAGTTACACTCCATTCTCCCCTAAACCGAGAGTGCAGTAAGGGCTATGTGCTCCTTGGGCCAGTCATAAAGCTCTCTTTTGCCATGTGATCACCCTCCCGCGCCTACCCCCAAACAAAGAGCAAGGTCGGATGATGAAAAGAAAGCGGCTGATTGGTCCGGAGAAAGCGCAGTTCCCACTGCACCGTCAGCTTAGAAGTGAATGGAGTACAGTCAAGTCCAGACCAGTGGTAGCGAGGGTATAAAGAAAAAACACTCACCGCTTCGTCCAGGACAAAAAACCGCACCTGGAAAATCGAGCCGTGTTGCCTCCTTTTACTGAGAGGATTTGTCCCCAGACATACCGTAAAATACTGAGCATTAGCCCATTCCAGAAAAAGTGCCCATCCCTAAATTTTGTAACATTTGGAAAATACACAAAGGACATATCTTTACATACTGTTGACCTGGGGAGTGCCCATCCCCAGTTTAACGTGATTATCTCCAAATTATGAGAGGGTGCTTGCTCAGGACTTTACGGTAGTCATAATGGAAACAAGTTACAGTTCCAAAAATTGGTTGACTGAATTATGTTGTATAAACGAAAGGTTTTAAGCTTCTGCGAAGGCAAGGTCTAACCTCTAAAGTGAAAGGACAAGGCACAAATAGATTACAAACAAAGAATGTTTCTTTTTGCTCTTATCACTTGATCGCAGTACAATCACTGGCTCAAAATGTCTACTAGTCCTAATTCTTTTAAAACATCACGAGTATAACAAGTACCACCTAAAAGACACATAGCATACTGCCATAAGCTACACTTTAGGTAGACAAAAAAAAAAAAAAGATCAAGAATACATATTCTCATATGCCGCAGTACATATTGAAAAGCTTCAAAGCAAAGCACTCTAGCATTGAGCATTACCAACGTATTGCAGGGAAGCTATAAAGTGAAAGCTTTGGCAGATTGAGCTTGAAACAGACCTGGGTCAGGCTCAGTTCACCAGTGGAGATGAGATCTTCCAGACGACCGGGCGTCCCCACAACGATGTCAACCTGCATAAAAAAGTCGTGTCAATACTCGACTTCGAGGACATTGAAATAAAGAAATGGATGTCTTTCTTAACCAAATCACCTGCAGTTTCCCCTTAAAAAAAAAAAAAAGCATCAAGCTCCCCACTTATTCCATGGTCCTCCTTCACAAGACTAAATTTTAAAATGTCTCTTAAAAGTCATATGCTGCAAACAACTTATTGTTCACAATGACCCAACTTTCACAAACTCCACGACTTGAAATATATGTTGCAAAAAATTTATCATGCAAATACATCACACCCCATGGTTATTTTATGAATATATAGCATCTTATCCCCAATCGCAAATTACTGAGCATGCAATTTATCCCTAAAGCCTGCACTTTACAAAATTAGTGAAATATTAAGCACATGAAAATAAAGTTGTTTACAGTATACACTATCAACATACCACAGTATTTTATGTACGCAGTGCACTGAACAGCTTTGATGATATGCAGAGGCTAATCTGTTATCAACCAATGTTAGTACATACATACCTATACAGATAACTGCTATGTAACAGAAGTCTTCATTCAATTCGCACACTGCTCAGTATACACTCGTTCTTGCATTATGCTACAAAAAATATGTAGTATGTATACATCTACCAAAAAATTCCTTCCAAACCAAAGGGTTTGAATGATCTGCCTCCCACACAATAAGGTAAATCTTGCAAGTGAAGGATAAAAAAGAATATCTTTGTGTTGAGCATATTCTTTATTGAAGAATGCCAAAAAAAAAAACTTTTAGCCTTTCCACTTTGGTGAAGAATGAAGTAATGGCCGGCCGCAAGTCGGCAAGCCAGAGTGGAAAGGCTCGAAAGTAGTGTTGTGCGAATATTCAAATTTTCGAATAGTAGTTTAGAATATTACGCTATTCGATATTCGCTTTGAGAGCAGTTGTAATATTCGTGCTTTTCGAAGTGTTGGCAATCTCGAATTGCGTGTTTGTTTACTGTCTAAAAATCCGTAAGGAATGATTTCTAAAATCAAAAATATACTCACACGTTCGGCAAAACGGTACAAATATTATGGTCGGAACTCTCAAATATATTCATCGTAGTCATTTCATCAACTTCGTTTGAAAACGGGCAAAAGAAGCCAACCAATAAGCTCCAGCAACGCCTGCGCCATCTTTGCCAATCTTGGTGCCATGTATTCCAATAAATAAGTCATACATGAATTAATTAGGGTCTCATTCTCACAAATCAGCCCACTTAATAATTGCATGTCTGCAATAATTATCTTGTATGCCACTTTGCGGCCAAGATTTTTGAACTACAAGTATTCGATATTCGATTCGAAAATATTCGGCCAAAATCACTATTCACTTCGAATTCGATTCGAAATCAAAATCTACTATTCGCACAACCCTACTTGAAAGGTTGCGCCATCTATGAGCGACGGTGGCAAGTGGACAACCAGCAAACACATCACTCTGGACAGCTACCGCCATCTATGAGCGACGGCGGCAACCAGTTTTGTGTCGACATTTCTTTGCAGGGGACACGGTCCTGGGGAAACTAGCCCTTAAGAGCTCTGCTCTAAAAAGCGTTAACACAGTTTCACTGCAGAGACTAAATTATTTGAGACAAGCCACAAGTGTCAATCAACGCAAGGAAGTTTCACCAATGCAATGCCGTAGATATACGACTGCAATGGTAGGTTTCAAGACTCACCCCGTTCCTCAGCATCTCGATTTGCTCCTTTGCAGCTACGCCACCAATCACGAGCAACTCCCTGCAAAAGACGCGGTGAAGACGCCATGCAATCACGCCTGCAATCATTGGCTCAAGTATGAGATCTACCGCAAACACACTTGCCTCTACATTATTCTTAACAGTTTTAAAAATAAAACAAAAATGGGGCGTTGCTCTTAGCAACTAATGGTAGAAATCTAAAAATTTTCACATCTCTTTATAACAACTCTGTTACTGCAAATAACAGTAAGCATGCCCTGCATGCTTTGCTTACATGCCAGACCCTCACACTGGGGCTAATCCAGCAAGTTTGTTATCGCATGTGCATGCAAATGTGCATGTTACTACATGTTAATAATGTAGGACTGTCAAAAGCAAAAGCCAAAATGCGAGAAAGGGGGACCATGAATCTAACCTTACATGTTCTGGTGCAGGCGAACTAGATTCAACACACAAAGGAATCTTCATATTCGGACAAAGCCCAATATTATCCAATGCACGCACCCAGAGTGTTTTATAAAAATTTAGTTACGCCCACAGTTCCACCAAAAGTATAAAAGGCACCTTGAACCCCTTATTTCTACACTTCGGAAGGATTAAATAACGAGCCCAAAACATCAGTTTATTAATTACATAAAAAGCCACCTTTGCAGAAAAATGACGGGCCTTTCATTTATTAGGAAAATTTTTTAACCTGAGAAAACCCAAATTCTGATGGTTGTGATGAAGTAACGCTATCATTATTCCTCGAGCCTCTGACTGAAGAACATAACCTCATTTTTTACCAGTCAAAATCTTATAAATAGGATTTCCTATTTTCCGAGTTTATTTTTCGCAAAATTCAAAGGGTGTTTTTTGAAGTTTAATGTAACCATAGTTCATTTCTGTTAGATTTCCAATTCTCTGAAGTTCAAAGTTTAATATTACTGTGTTCCTCTTTTATTTTTTCAAATTTTGTGTCAAGCTTTATTGCTTTGCACCGGTGTGTTTGGAGGATCAGCTGATGCAGAGAAGCATCTCAGCTTGGTGGGTTTATAAGTTTGCTGAGGTGGGTGCTCGATATATCTTTTGCTTATAAAGGGTGCCTGAAATACTCGGGCTCGATTTAAAATGGACCGTAAAAATCGGCGCCTGCACGTAGCAATCTAAATTTTTTGTCAAAGGTCTATTTCACAGGTCGGTTTTATCTTGTAAAATTACAAAGCATAGCTCCCTTTCTGTAAAACATGAAGCCAAAAATCTTGCCAGGGCCAACGGTGGACGGAAACGCAGACGACAAAGTTGAGAGGCGGGGCGCATTTGGGGCACCTATTGATAGATGAGCTACCTCCTTATCAAGACTGATGGACATCATCTTTTTGTAATGTACCTTTGGTTTAAAAATAAAAACGGACAATGATAGCAAAACTTGAAGTAACAAGAATAAAAGAAAACGCAGTTGCATAACGATGGCGCCAACGGCGCGCTTGCTGCCGACCGATTTCGTCTGTCGTTTGCTGGTCAACTACATCTTTACACGCTGCTCCCGACGCCATCTATCAATATCTGCGCCAAACGCGCCCCACCACTCGACTCGGTCGTCTGCCTGTTCTGGCCCCATTTTTTACAGAAAGGAAGCTACACCTTGTAATTTTGCATGTTAAAAACAACCTGTAAAATACAACCTTGACGAAAAGTTTAAATAGCTATGTGCAGCCGCCGATTTTTACAGCCCATCTTAGATCCCAGACTGGCAAATTCAGACACCCTATACTTCAAATGTTTCAAAAGTAGGGGCTGGGCGACCACACAGTATTTTACGGTAAGTCCCTAGGCACAGTCTCCAATTTCATAGGTTTTTCTCTGGTCAGCGGTGGTCCTTTCGAACACTTTGAAACAGGTTCCACTGCATACTGGCAACCCAATTTTTTATGCAAAGGCAGGCCCAGAGACATCTCTGCTCGCACTCACCGCACAACAGGGTCCTTAAGGTGCTTCTTGAAGCTCGTGATGCACTTGAGTGTCTGCTCTGCCAGCTCCCGAGATGGCTGAGGATTCGCACAAACTCGGCGTTAGGAACGTGACAAACAGGTTTTGGGGGATCTCGCGTGCCAAACCAAAGAAGGGCGTCCGGCACGCCCTCTCGGTCACACGCCGACCCCCCCCCCCCCTCCCCCCCCGCAATGAACCTTTGACGGACTGCTGGCACCTCGGCCGGCATTCAAACCCACCAACTGGACGAATGCGACGTGCTCGAAGAATGCACAGATAATTACATAATTAATGGAAGAAAAAACGAGACTGGAACGACACAGCTCTTAAAACTGCCATACTCCGTCGCCCATACAAGGTTGGCTACTTGGTTTCTTCTCAAAGTGATTTGGTATTCGACATAGAGAGAAGAAAAAACTGGCGTGATCTGTGCATCTTCTAAACACGAAAAACGCCATCTTTTTTGGGGCTTGATGGGGATGCGCATTTTAAGGCAAAACGAAAGCTGCCTGTCTCTTTGGCATGTTCCAAAGGTGCATGAAATTCATAGCCTTTATAGGTCCTTTTTGCCTCGCTGCACCCGTCGTCCTTGCCGTACCATTGCTTCTCTGGCACGCTAGATGATGTACCACGACGTGACATTGTGAAGTCTTGTTGTTACATGATGTAGCAGTGCCACGCGACTCGATGTCGCAACGTCAATTCATAATGTAACCCGACACCACGGTGTCATGTGTCGTTACGCCATATGACACCGCAATGTCAAACCGCCATGACACTATAGTATTGTCATCGAGGATACACGCCAGCAAAGACACAAAAGCACCAACAGCTGGACCTACAAATGCTATGCATTTAAATAAAGAGACCCGAAACCTCAATGATGATGGCTTGGGGCGCATTCTTGACGCTCTTGGGGGCTCCCACCGAGGTTCCTGCAAGAAACGTGCCACAAACCAGTTTTATTTCTTCCAAACTCCTCAACGACGGGTTTTAGATATACAATGAGAACGAAAGAGGCCGCCGTAAAGAGTTGTGTCGTCTGTAAAATGTCCTATTTTTACGACATAGTGAAACGTGCCAAACAGCAATGGCCAGTTGCGAGCTTTCTCACCAGTCACAGTGGACTCCACGATGCACTCTTTGGGTGCTTCCGAAACTGCAACAAAGCCGTCCTGAGAAAGAAATTAGAGAAAAAAAGACATGAAGAGCAAGCTTTGGACAGCAAATAGGCCCCTCTACACTACAGTTAATTAACCAACAAAAACATTTCTTCAAAAACATTAGCCTTTTTGACGGTGACTCGAACTTGGGCATCTGCACCAGCCAACGTTGGCACGAGCCTCACAAGTTTGACACCAATTTATTTGACTAGAGAGAGTAGGTTCATTTTATAATATAGTACATTCATATCGTGAAGACAGCAATACACTATGTAGTAACGCGAAATTGAAGTAGTAAATTCTGGCAGAGTCCTAGAGTTAAATTTTTTTTACGGAAAAATCTGACTTCACTGTAGAGAAATTCCATGGTATAAAGACAATACTTAAAAAGTTTTCAACGTTGCTTGACACTAGAGGTACAAAGATTGGCAAAAATATGTGAACGTAGGAAAAAGTTACTTCGTAAGCTGACTTTACTATGAAAAGGCTCTACTGTATTACAAAATGCAAAACGTCAAATGTCCTGTCTCAACGTTGAGTTTCAGCGGCCATGGCATTGCCAGTTAAAAAAACGTTGCTCACCGCCGGCGGATGTTTGAACGGGGTGCCCCCAAGGTTGAACTCCATTTCAGCATTCTGAAGAGAAAAAGATGGGAAACTTTAAGGGTTTACACGTTAAACCAAGAAAAACAAAAAGGATGAAGTAAGGAATGATAAAGAGAATTCATGCGATGCAAAGTGATGCACGAGCCCTCTAAAAACATGTAAAGTGGCCCAGACGCTGCTCAAAACATTGCCAAGATCTCCCAGATTATTTTTCATCTTCATTCAATAAACTTTAGGGTTGAACAAATATTTGATTAATAACCTATTCTATATTCGCATCGAGATGAACTGCGATATTCATATTTTTCGAAGTATCGATCGTGGTGGGTTAGCCCCGTTGAGCGCGCTTCAGACCGCGCACGGGTGCACTGCGGAGAAGCAACACCAGAGGAAGCGAACTCCGCGGGTGTTGTATGGTGCTTGGTGTATTATAAAGAGACAAAAACTTTATGAATGTTGATATCTACATTGCAGTAAAATTTTCAAAATTAAACTGTGGCCATTATGCAAAAGCATGTAAGGCAGAGGTGCCCTCACCAGCTGCATTAATCACTAATCAGTGATTGTCTATATTTTTTTAATTGGAGATTGAAGACAGGATACTTGCATATAGCAAGAAGAGTTATAAATCCCCTCTGATTAGGTTTAGCTGGCCATCTGTATTAATTTAGCGTATGTCAAATCCGTAGGCACTGGATCTCCTGAGGCCACTCCATAAATATAGTTATACTAAAACTAACTTAGCTTAGAGATGGACAAGTGAAAGCTTGGGAACAACCTTCACGAGTTCAACTTGGTTTTCACTCAAGCACGGTGCAACAGGAGTGAAAGGCTTCGAGGAACCATTAAACATTCGATTCAAACATGTTCGGCCAAAACCACCATTCGCCTCGAATTCGCTCCAAACACACAAAATCTACTAATCGCACATGACTACTCAATTTCTATCGGGCTCTGCTCTGCAGAGCGAGGAGAGTCCTACCTTGAGGACGACTGCTGGGAAAAACGGGGACCTCTTCAAGTTCTGCGGGATCTGGAACGCTTCTCCGAGGTCGATGCCTGCGCAGACAACGATTCAGGACCATCAAGTTAGGATGCGACCGATGTGTCTGCCACATCCTAGCTTGCGATCCCTCGATTTCCACCCAATGATGCCATGCTCGCGTGGTGCCGTTGCCGGCCGCGATTTCAGCAATGGCACAGCGGTAAAACTGGGTACAGCAGACGCCCATTCTACCGTAGGTCACTCCCCAGCTTCCCAGCCCACGGAAATTTTGCGGCCAAGAGGTGGGACGCCGCGACGACGGAGACACTCGCGTTTGCTCATACTCTCTTGCCGGAACTTCTACGGCCAACTGCCGGTAAAGCCACCAACTAAGCTGTGCTTTAGAGTAAAGAGACTTTGGTCATCCTGGTGCCCAAAACAATCGTTGCCGCGGCTATCCCAAGCTTCGCCCGAAGCCGCAACAGGCGCTTTCGCGTCCTCCACAAAATGTTTGAACGGTACGCGACAAAACGAACTGACATCGCCCGGGATTTCCAACGTCGCACTTAGGCGCAGGAAGTCGCATTTTCGAGTTGTAAATGTGGCTGACTGCGCCCGCTCTGCACTGAGCACCAAAATGGCGGCACCCGCAAGAAAACTAAGGAACAAAGTGCCGACGCTCCGAGCGTAGCTTACTCGGTGGCTCCTAACCGCCGGGATCGCGATATCCGACGGCACGACGAGTCGACTACCGTAAAGCGATTCGTTGCCACTTAGGGATCGCTTTCGACGCACGGCTGACGTGGTACAGTAAACGCCCCAGCCGAAGGGGACGTCTAGGAACTGTAGTCGTGACAAGAGAAAAAAAGGGGCCCACGCGTTCCCCAGATCTACCGTTCTTGGAGAACTTGATGGTCCCCGCGTCAAGGTCCAGGTAGCAGCCGATGACGTCGTGCATTCCAAAGGGCTGTGAAGAACGTAGGAGTGGAATATTAAAGACGGACGAATTCACGGCTAAGCAGAGCGCAAGTTTATCTGCTTCTTGCACAGGGGTTGCAAAGACGTCAGAATGCGGGGCTCTTGTTGGCTGATTGAAAAGAATAGTGGGAAGACCTCAAGGCATCTAGCGTCGAGGTCTACCCAATATCTTTTCAATTAAAGCCAGTCAGAACTCGGCGTTGTTCAGACGTCACCGCAACCCCTACACAAAAAGCAGACGACTTGCTCTCCACATATATCAACTTTAGCAGTGCATGGTCGGTGGTTCTCAAAGTGCTTGAAGCTTTCACTTTTCCCCAAATATGGGCACCTATACAGAAAAACTGCCTGTCACTTTGGCACGTCCCAAAGGCATTTGCAATGTCACGGTGTCATGTAACGTCACCGTGTCACAAAAGCTCGTGATGAGATGACTATGTCATGTGACCAACGCATTGTCACAGTGCCACCTGATGTAACAATGTCACATGATGGAATGTCAGCACAACATCAGTGTCACAAGCTGTCATAGCGTCATGCGACACTACAGTGTCACGTGACATTACAGTGTCACATGACGACAGTCACACTGATGATGGTTGTCACACAACAGCTTGATGTCACCATAGTTATGTCCCAGACGCAGACATTAAGGTACTAAGAACAGGCCCTATGTATGCTATGTTTAATGCAGAGTTTTTAAGATATTGCTTCATCAATTTTCACATTTTTTGCCCGGTTTAAAAATTGCACCCATAAAGAGTGTCACTGTCGTTTCAATTGTGTCGTCACTATCTCGGCAGCACGTGTCATTGCTGAGTGCGCCAACAATGCCTTTGACAACGTGAGCTAAACGACCATGTCACTCTTCCAAGCACCATTAAGGGCAGAGCTTGAAGCTCTCTTTTTGCTTACAATTTTTAAATTGGGGGAAAACAAAAAACACAAATATTTATTGATTCATATTTTAAAAACCAATACCTTTTCACAAATTCTTTAAATTGGTCTGGCCTCTAATATTAATTGCCGTCAATACTGTAATTGCAGCATGGTCCCTAAAATCAATACTTGAAAAGTTAATTAATGAAATAAGCTCATTAGTCTACTTAACATGACGATTATTCCCTCATCTAATATCTGCCGAGCCTGATAAATACATGATGAAGACGGCACTCATCTAACTCTTACCCGTTTTTAGAAAATCTGTTTGAAATAAAATTTAACGCTTAATGCCCAAACATAGCCGATTTCCTTTAGCCATTTCCTGATTTGTCTTAAACTATTAAATGAGAAAGCTTTTTTAAAATGGCAGCCAAATATTTTTGTCGTCCTGCCGCTGACCAAAGTGTAGCTTACCTCTCCGTACGAATCAAATTGCTTTCCAAACGACTTCTTGCCAGTGCCTCCGAACCCAAAGCCCTGTCGGTCAGTCCCTATAAAAGAAATGTTGCTTGTGAAAGATGTCATATGTAAAGAAATTATTGCTTACATTACATAAATACATTTAAGACTACTTCAGTCACACAAATAAAGAGGTTCATACAATCAAGCAAAAGGTGAAATGCAAATTCCATAATATACCTAGTATTTTCAAAATTATATTTGTCTCAAATAAATAAAACATGACAACCATGCACACTTCCAGGCTCAAACTCAGTCAATGCTAAACCTAATCTTTGAAGAACAACCATATAGATCTGTGGTATCCACTACAGTGCATGTAAACGACCTGACAAAATCGGATAGTTGAATTTGATTTAAAAACCTAGGTAATACTGAAAGAAATTCACAACTTTCTCCGAGGTGCTCCAAACATCTTCTGTCAAAAATCTAAACGTAAATTCGAAAAAAAAAAAAAAAAAAAAAAAAAAGTCTTAAACTTTTTTAAGGCTCCCCAGACTTCTCCTGACAAAAGTTTAGCAAGAACCTCCGCTGACATTCTCTGAACTTCAGTGAGGTTCACAAAACATCTCCCAACAAAGCTGAGCTAAAAAAAAATGTATATATTTGCAAAATTTATTAATTTTTTTTTGAGCTCTTACAACTCCTCTCTTTGGCAGCAGACTCTACTGAAGTTTGCTCAGCTTCCCTAATCCCACAAAACTTCTCCACGGTTTTTGTTCAAAGTTCTTTAAACTTGTTTACCTTTCCCTCGGGAAACAGTATCAACCTAGGCCTCCCAACAGCCTACACACTTCTGTTGCATAACCACTAAAAAAAGAAAAAAACGAAGTGAGGTTGCCTTACCCAAGTCAAGGGACGCAGCCAGGGTAGACCAGCCAACACGGCAGAGACCTTCATCCGTCACTTTGGATTCATAATAGTACTTCCCTTTGATGAAGAGAAGAAATATTAGACATCTCAGCAACAGTCCACTGAACTGGTGACAACTTAGGAGACCAATATTTAACATTTCCTGATGAGAATTAGCACACAAGAGAGGCACCACAATTTTTGGGCTGCGGAAATAATTGACTGCCAACTGCCGGCAAACTGATTTTTCATTTAAAACCCTTAAATAATAAATACATGTGCATCACCAAACTACCATATTTGCACAAAAAATACAGATATAGTGGCTGCATGCAGTGCTTGCAGTGAAACTAAATGATAAAGTCTTATTAGATGGAGCTAAGATTAAGCCAATATCCACCCTGACTGTGAGCACAAACTGGTGCAGAAAACTAATCAGAAAAATATTTTGAAATACTACAAACAACTCCTGAAGGTAAGAATGGTGTGAGTATAAGACCATTCTCAAACAATTCATGGTTGTCGCCATGATACTACAAAACCTACCCCGGTACTGGAGTCCCTTTGTACACCGGCAACCATGCCAACCCTTCTGGTCTCTGCTCTGGGTTGTCAGACCGTTAGGACTCACGGCTGAAAAAGTCACAATAATATCACAGGGTGTTATTAACAGTGCGCATTGGTTCTGAACTGAGATAGCCATGAAAGCGAGCACTGGCTATCCTATATAATAAGTAGAGATGCCGCAAACCTTTTGCAAACCCAAGGTTCGAAGATTGAACCAAGGGGATTGAAAGGTTTGCAACGTTTCGAAGCGTCAAACTTATTACATAAAAACTTTTACAATTCTAGAACTTTCAAGATTTTTGCGCTGAGAAATTCAATTGTTTTAGAACTTCTGATCTTTTTTAGAAATTCTACAATTTCGAACTTTCAAACTTGATACAGTTGAATCTCGTTAATTCAAACTCGAGGGGGACGGAAAATTTGTTTGAATAAACGGGAGTTTCCTCCCATGGAGATGCATAGGATAAGACCTGCATGTTAGTTTGAATTATCCACAAGTTTGAATTAAGAGAGTTTGGATTAATGAGAGTCGACTGTATGCTAAAATATGCGACGAGTTTCAAACTTTCGATCCTGCCGAGTTCAAATATTCGACGAACTTCGAACTTTTGAACAAAGGTTTGACAAAGTTTGAATTAAGTTCACCATAGGTTTGAGGCAACAAATATAAATAATACACAAAATGTCAATGTGTGAAGTGGAGTTGAAATTGTATTTAGGGTCAGTCTTACTTAGCTGATTGTGGCACGATCAGCTAAGGGGGGGGGGGGGGGGGGGGGGGTGAATTGGGGGGTCAAACCCCCTCCCAAAATCATCACTTTCTTTTTTTTTTAGTAAAGGAAGACAAATATTGAATGACCACTGAATTGTTCCAGCCAGCCGGGGGGTTGGGGACTTGTGAAATGTACAGTGCAACGACTACTACATGCAAAAATGGGGCAAAGCCCTTCACCTCGGTAATGAAAATCCCCCACCCCCGAAAATAAATCCTGGCTACATCACTGTCCTCGCATCAAGGAAAGGCGCGAGCGGAGTGCGACGCCGATGCACTATAGCAAATGCTCAATCGGCGCTTCCTTCATCACCATTAGTAACCGGCTGCATTTTAGAGTGGCAAATATTTCCATTGATCGAAGAAGAAAAGTTCCAGGCAGCAGCAATATGGTTAGCCCAATAACAACCGGTCGTGACTTGATCGGCTGTATTAGGCCGGATGGTCCCCTAATGGTTGCATTCTCCCCAACCCTGACTTGTGTCGAGTGCTGTGCATGTGTTCAGTGTTTTCTCCATCCCACGGGTCATCCCGCCAAACATAAGTGCCCAGAGAAACTAAACATTTTTGGGAAAGCCTGGATGCCTTTGTGTGTATGCGGTGTCCCATATATTTAGTTGTCTTATGCCAGCATTGCATTTAGGTGACGTTTGATCGAAACGCTACTAGTTTTCAAAGTAAGAGGTATGTTCAACTTGGGGATTTTCGATGAATCGTTCAACCAGATAAACACTTGTTTCTTAAGTTAAGGAAAATAGAGAGTAATACACATAGTACCGTCAGTACCACAGCACTGACAAGGAAGGATTATGCTCACAGCATAAAAGAAATTGGCGACGTTTCCAGTAAAATTTGTCGCACATTTCACATTCCTTTTTTATGATTTCATGAAAACGGTTTGAAAGTGAGAAATTTGATCTGCTTCCGTGAAATTAAAAAAACTTCAAACTTAAATTCAGAACTTTCGAAGTTTTCAAATTTCTACCTCAAATAAATTCAAAATGTTTAAATTTTGCGAATTCAATCTTAAATAAATTTAAAATGTTTAAATTTTTCAAACAAAATGTCAGAAATTTGAAATTTTTGAGCTCAAACTTTTAGAAACTTTAATATTTCGAACTATTCAAATTAGAACCTTAGCGGGGTCCTAAAGTTGAAAACTTTTCAAGTTCGAACCTTAGCAAGGTTTAAAAACTGTGAACCTTTCGAACTCAAGCTTCAGGAGGTTTGTAGCATCCCTAATAAAAGGGCTATATCAATGCATGCAACAGCTAGGATCTCTGAAAACTCGCTCAGAAGTGTACCTCACCTAAGGCAGATCCTCTGTCGAAGAAGCTCATGCCCCATTTGGTGGCGGCTGAAACAGATAACAAAACAACAAGACAGAGTTCAAATTCTCCACGGAAAATATAGTAGCATCGATTCCTGTGGCACAAAAGGAACCGGCACACCTATCCAGCACGGGTTCAAGAGCACTGCTGCGGAATCGGGGGTAGAGAATTGCACTGTCTTCCTGCCCATCTGACTTTGATGGGTGACATGTTGCAGGCCACGGCTGAGTGGCGAGTGCTAAAGGTCCCCACCGATATTATAACCTTGTTAGTGACTTTCAGTAGAGTAGATTGTAGGGCTAGTTGGTTTTGGAACTTGGAATACATATTCCAAGTATTCCATCTTACAGACACCTGAACATGACAATGCAATCTCTCAGCTAAAAAAAAGAAAGTCAAATGTTGAGCAGTTTCTTGTCCCAAAACCTGATTTGGGCCCAAGACCCATGCTAGGACTAGTGTACGTCGGAACGTCGGATCGCATGCACCTTGGGCCAGATTCAAACCTGCCCACTTATACCGTATGAGGTGGTTAGGGTCTAAAGAAAGTTACCATGTAAACGCCGTTTTCAATTCGAAGTACCACAGAAGTTCCCATGAAATCCTTTGTCTTCACGTCTTTACTTATGCCGTGGACGGAGGAACGCTCAAGAAGGAGAGCATGGAACGCGTGCCCACTCACGTGCAGCGCCGGTGGCCCCGCCCTTCTTCCCTCGTCCGAGCTCTTCGTCCTTCAGGGTCTCCCACACAATCTGCAGAATTGGGAGGCAGAACGCCCCAGTCTTCCCGCTCCCAGTCTCCGCAGCCTAAAGGGAGAATTCGGGGCCAATGAGCACTTGCGATAATAACAATAATAATAACAATAATACTTTTCATTTACACGAAAACACAGACAGAAACGCGCTGGCTCACGAAAGTAGCAGAACGACTGTGCAATATCTCTTTTAAGAGGGACAGAAAATGCGGTGCAGTCTTCATTGTGCCGTTGACTTACCCTAAATTACCGAGCAACCCCATACCCAAAAGTCGACGATCGTAAGAAAATGGGAACAAGTACTTGTTAGGTCAGAGAGCAGAAGAGCAGAAGAGGCATGTGCTGGGGTAGGCCTTCGTTTGATGTCGTCGGTCGTGCCACTTTTGTTTAGCTTGCTTGCTTCATGGCAGCACTCACATTGATCCCCTCCGCTTTGCACCGGCGCACACGTGTAAAGTCTCTCGCTGCTCTGCACGAGCTTTTCGGAGAAGCAGCCGATGCCGAGGAGCACTTCGATTAGCTTGAGGGGCCTCAGAAGTTGGCTGGGGTGTGCACTCCATGTGTCCTTTGCTTATATATTTCATGTTTCATAAAGATGGGGGTGGGCGCTTAACGAGATGAGGGTGCATGCTCGGCACTTCTACGGCAATGGACCACGAGAATTGTGGCTCCTCGATCCAGCGATATGCATAGATTTCCACGGGCTGTTGTGGGGTGGTGGGTTAGTACTCTAGAACTTTGTGTGTGTGATTAGACTGGCAAACAACTAAATCTCAATTGAAAAAATAAAATAGCATTTTATTATGGCTGGGTATTTAGCTATAGAGCTGAAATGCTATTAAAAAAAGAAAATCATTTGTGTTGCTGAAACGTTTGATTTGACAAAAACCTATAGCGGTAAAAATGCCGACCTCCCCGGCTTTCTTTTGTGGGAACCATTCTGTCGGTATAAATACTGCGGCATATCTCAGAGGGATCTCATGGGCGAAGTCTGCTCCATTTCGGGCCTCAGTAAAAAGGTACCACATCCAAAGTCAAATTTGGGGGTTTTACGTGCCAAACCTACGACGGGCATCTGGCACGCCCCAGCGGAGGACTGAGGATTAATTTCGACCACCTCGGGATCTTTTGTCGTGCAACCGAAAGCTCGGTTACACGGCGCCTTCTCCGCAATAAGCCTCCGTCATATTGCGGGCACCTTGGTCGGGATTCGAACCCGCCACCTGGGAATCTGTAGGCCGGCGCTCTCGCCTCGGAGCCACCGAGGCGGCTGAGGTACCACATCCGAAAAGACAATTTTATTGCTACTTTTAGTTTTTTGCACAAGTAATTAAATTTTCTGAAACCTTAGAAACCAAAGTTCACCAGCTTTAGATGTGTCGTTACCAAAAGTAGGGTGGTCGACAAACGGGTTGACAGCGCAACACAACTACCTAATCGCCTTGGTAACATTCTGCACAGAGACTGTTACTAAACCTGCTGTTTGATGGCTTACTTTCGTCTGCGCATGCATAAGTGGCCGTACAACAACCAGAAGAGGAGCGCTTTATTCTCTTCAGACAGGAAAATTGACGAGCTGAATGCGTCATGCCAGGGACGCTTAGCGCAATTCACGAGAATCACGGATGAGAAAAAACGAGCCATGTCGCAAGCGTAGGCTACCGGTTTCGACGAAACACTGCAACGCAAAAAGCACAAACAAAAATATTTGTGAAGAAAAAAAAAATTAAACCTTGTTTTTGATTAGGAAGAATGCGTCAAAACAGCATTATTGGGCAGCTTGATGAGACGGTTCTGCAACGTGCTCCGAAGTATTTCCAAGAGCTTACCATGAGCACGTCTCCACCTCCGAGAATCAAAGGTACAGCTTCGGCCTGTACGTCGGTTGGAAGCCTGCCCAGAGAGAAGACGGGGAAAAAATTTTCATACAGGGTAGGCAGAAAGAGTACACACAGAAGATAAAAGGGCGTCCAACATTGTTCTGTCTAGTGCGTTTATAGTTTCTACGTACCCAGACCATCACCAGTTTGCTAATCAGTTAGCCAATTTTAAATAATGCAAACAGACTAATTTTTGTGGGCGAATATATTTCACAATATGAGTCCACGCGCTACGTTTTGCACATGTGCATCTGGGAAGGAGCACACTTTTGGTGTTTGGCGTGTCTTTTATTGATATCATCTTTTGCTGCTCGCTCCTATCATAGTCACCGCTGCGGCAATGATAGCGCTGCAAAATAGAAATGCATGTTCAAAGACACAGTTAGTGCGAGCATGGATTCGGAATTTTTTCGCTCAGTCTGTGCTCGAGCAGGTTATAGCGAAGACCACCAAATTTTTCTGCCCATAGACATTATAGAACAACAATTCTTTTGATAACAGCCTTTCAGCAATGAGAGACAATCAAGAATGAATGCTGATCACTTGTTTGCAATAACAATGTGCTGCTCTGTAGCATACCATGTTGATGCACCTAAAAAATAATAAAAATAAAAAAAGAAATGCTTTTTTTTTTATTATTATTAACACGCATTGACGAATTTGCTGACCTTAGGCTCTAGTGAGAATTACGACGTGGACCGCTTGGTGATGTAACAGATTTCTGAAACTGCTTCGAATAAACCTCGTTTCTTCGACACTGCATTTTATATCATGAGGTGATGTCATGCATTTCATTAGTTAAAAATCTGCATTTTGGAAGGAAACTTTGTTCTGAAGTCATGCTTGTGAAGGCTGTAACATATGCACGATACATGCGCCATTGCGATGCAGTGCACAAGCGGCAGAGGCATCTGCGTCTGCTTCTCAGTACCTGGTAATGGCAGCCGGCGGGCGGGTATAGGGGAAGTGACGTCACGTGAAAACTACATATAGCTTGCTCTGCACGTAAAATCAAATATTGATCCATGTGCACTTCCACTTAACTACCATGTAGGTGTCATTTCCGTTCTTTTCTTTTTTTTTTAATGTTCGAGGTAAGAAGTTGTACATTGTCTAGTGCGGTTAAACAATTAACCTTGCCACAGACGTTTTACCCGAAAGTCCTAGCTTGAAAGCATTCAAACCTTCTGTGATCAGTTGTAGCACGATTCTCCCGGTGACAATTCCTCCGTCCCAAATGCCACGTGTCATTTCCCCCGGGTGTCAAAATCTCTGCCGTAAAATCCTCATCTTGCCTCTCTCGAATGCCAATGTCCCCATGTCTGATTCACCCTTTCGTAATCATCGTTATCACCTTTGCTATGTAGTGAGAACCGCTGCTTTGCAAGTCAGTGTCAGCATTAATTGCATTTCTTCAGGGAGTTCTTTTTTAATCTTGATTCTTCCCCTGTTCAAGTTAAACTGTTTGCAGACGACTGTATGGTTTTTAAAAAACTGGCAACGGTCCAGGACCAGGAAATTTTCAACCACTGCAGGATAAATCTTCTTGTGGAGTAAGCAAAGGGGTATGGTAACTGATTTTTGTAAGACTGTCTCCTGCATAATTACAAACAAGAACAAGGTCTAAAACTTCCGCTACTTTATACGTGCCATTAAAGAATTGAAGTATTTGGGGATTATTTTGGCTAATACTCTGCGCTGGAATAGTCATGTGGATGACACCAGAGCCTTTTATGCTGGGAGAGTTCGAACAGTTAAGTTTCGCATCTGGAAACGTATGTCCTCAAGATGCGCAGGAAGCTACAACACACCGGCGCTCGCTTCCCGTGGTAGAGTATGTTATAAATCTCCTGTTTTGTGTGTGTGTTGAACTTTTTCTTTCTTGTGAAGACCGAAAGGTTCACAACATTCTGATTAATAAATAAATAAGTATATAAATAAATTAATAAATTTGAATCAGTCTACTATTTGCCATTATTTACTATTTTGTGTTTACTGTGTCAAACTCTCTGCCCTCAAAGAAGGTAGGGTGAGGGTAAGACGGGCCGGGGAGGAAGAAGCAGATGGAACGCTAAAGAGAGGAGGTTTCCCCCTCTCTTCTCCACCGTTCTGTCTGCTTCCTCTTCCCCAACCTGTCTTACCCCCGCCCTACCATGTTGAGTTACAACGGACTGCAATGTTGTTATCGTTTCCATAAGTCATTGAACATTCTCTGCATTTTAAGTATATGGTGTCCAAATTTTCTGCCATTCCATTTTGTACTTGAAATCCTTGCTTCCCCAGGTTTATGTGCTGTGGCTGGCATCGGTATACGTTTGTCCTTCAACCCGTAACGAGACTTGGGGGAGACGCCGTGGGAATTGATAAGGGGATAGGGGCACGGGGGATTCTGATGGCGGGGGATTCTGATGGCCGGGGATTTTGAGGACGGGGCAGATAACGCGGGCAATTTGCAGCTGGGGTTTTGACACGGGGATTTCGGGACTGGGTTATTTCGTGCACCACCCCGTTGATCGTGTATGCAATGTGTGCTCTTCAAACTAAAACGGTCAATGAGTAATATACTCACGTCCATTCCATGTCTTCGACTGCTCTTGCAATCTCGGGCAGAACGCCCATTTCTTTAAGAAAAAGTAACAACACCGTTACTGTAACAACTATTATTAATATTGAACGTTCAAGACATGCGACAGGCTTACACTCCAGCACGGCCTCATCGAACTTTAGAGGAATAATACGTAAAATACGTTTAATTTCACATTTACTAAAATATTGTACGAGTTTAAAATAACAGATATCAGCAGGTCACACGTTATGCACACATCCTGGTTTATTTGTAGTAAAAACATGTTAAAAACTTTTTTTTTTTCTTCAAGTTTTGCTTTGATGCCGGCATCGTGAAAGGGTGAAACCATCGAGGCACAGGCACGGCTGTTAAAAGGGTTTCAGAGACCACATGGCTAAGTATGTCAAAATGTTGCACTTGGGACAGTTACACGATAAAATTAGTAGAAGAAATGACGAGTTACCTTCGAAAGCAGTCATAATACAGCAGAGAAAACGTCAGGAATCCTAACACTGCGAACCTCAGCCAAAAACCGAAAACAGAACTTTGGCTTTGGATAAAGATCTGGATAAAGATCTGGATTGGATGTGCTGATGAGCCGAATTGTTTGTTTTTCTGACTTGAGATTTTAAATTAAGCTTTGCAACAATATTAACTTAAAACAACACATTCTTTATTATAAACACAATTATGAACAGAAGGCGACACAAATTTGAGTGTCTGACGCACTAATAAAACCAAAATAAGCACATAAAAAATACTACAGATTGCAGATATCACACAAATAGTGCCGATTATAAATTATAAATGAAACGATAAAGAAGGAACAAAAGGAACAGGGTGAGTCCATAGAGTAGGTGAGTCATCAACAAAGACAAACTGGACAAACCATAGAGATCATATACTAACGGACAAACCGCCAAACTGGTCGAACACCAACCTTGTGCCGCAGTTCATGTTTCGCTTCAAGTTTGATAAGCTAGGATGTTCTGGCTCGCTTGTGCTAGCATGTTTTGCGGTGCCTGATAAAAGAAAAAAAAAAAAAATAATAAGCTCACGTGATTGCATGACTCCGGGCGCATTGTGAAGTCCGCCCAGCGCAAACAGCGGACAGCTTTTGACCGTCGTCTTGAAGACGATCTTGTGGTGAGTGATTCGAGATGTCTCCTGCCACTACCGCCCCACATTGCACTGTTGCATGTCAACAGCGCTCTTCGTAACCACCTCCCGTCGCTTTTAAAATGTTCCTATTACTCAAGTAATTGGGGTTGTTTGTACAGGCAACCGTACAGCTACGCTTTTTCTGAGTTTAACTTCAAGAAAGAAAAACGAAAAATGGGGTTCTGAGGCAACGGTCGGCAAGCTAAGCGTTCTACGTCTCAAAAGCTGGTGACTTGTCAACGCTTGTGAATGACTGATTGAAGGAACGATTGCTCAAATCGAGGTGGTGTCAGTTCCGCCTGCATATTTCTAGCGTTTCTGCTTTCTTTTGAGCTTCAGTCGTACGATATCTGTTTGCGTTTCGGAAGTAGTCGACGCCTTGATAAACGAGGAACGCCTGATACAACTCCCCTCCCCCCCCCTCCTAGGTAGTAATAAACAAGGACTAGAAGGCATGTGAAGTTTACGACTTGAAACCGAAGAATAAGCTCAAAAAACATTCGCTACTTGGAAAAAAAAAATTGGGTTGTGTGTGTGTTTATACAGCCTAGAACTTGGTCTGCCTCACAGGGGCGACGAGTCTCCCAGCTGTAGATGAGAAATTTAGCCAGTGCGGTACAACCGCTAGCCTGGGGTCTTTAACGTGCATCACGCAGTAGTGATACGCGACCGCACGCCGGTACGATGCTCATCCAGATCGAAACGGGCAGGGGTGGGGCTCGAAAAATTGCTGGGATCTTTACAGATAGCTGTGTTTACTTTGTTTTCACGAGCGCTCGCGCAGGGGAAGCCCCTTTTCCTGAAAATCACGCGCCCACGACGCAGCTCAAATTAGGTATCGGCGGCATGTTACTGAATCGTATACTGAATGTCGGTCGCTGATCTTGGGGATTATTTCTCTTTCCGCAAGTGTGTGGAAATGTTTTGATCGCTCACGGCTGTCGCAATGGCAGTGTGCTGCGGCACGGTAACTGTGAAGGCCGATCGCCAGCTGCAATGTTCATTTAATTTGCTTCAGATGCGGAAGGCGTTGCAAACATTCAGCTGTTTCAAATCCGGTGTTTCCAAAATGTGGGTGTGCGTGTGTGCGTGCGTTAAGGATAGTTGCAGAACAAAAATGGAGCATCAGTGAAAGAAAAGGCAAATGTCAACAACAGAAGAAGAAAAAAAAAGAAAAGCTCCCGTGCATTTTTGCTTGTTTTCTATGAAAGACAGGTGGTAGTAAATAGGTTGCAGAAAACTAAACAGAAAAAATGCATTGATATGACCTCTGGGGTGTAAAAAAGATGATACTCGATGGAAGGTTGTTACAAGTAGGCGAGCTGAAGAGGTTCTAGAAAAAAACGAGTTAGAGGTGAATTCTAGAGCATTTTTTTTCTCATAAATCTAAATACGTATCACGTTTTTTTTGTTTTTTTTTTTTTGGAAGATGTAATTTAACCCAAAAATCCTCAGACTAATTGTTGCGTCATAAACAGATCTTTCGGCCGCCAAGCGCATGTCGCTCATGTGGGCAGTGCGTGCAATTGGAAGCTTGGCAGGTATATTCCCCCGCACTGACACCACTTGTGACGTCTCTTTATGACCTTTATGAATATAAGCAAGAGTGCACGTGCATAGCTTTGATAGGCGCTGAAGAGTGCGAGAGCGGAGATTCTGAAGACTTCTTTTATGGCTTAACGCTTCAGGAAGGAGGGGCTTCAGCAGTACTTTGAAATTTATTACCTGCTGCCTCCATGCACCAAATTGAAAATTAATCTTGACATTCATGATCTTGGAGGCCAAATGAAGACAATTTGAGTTTTTACTTGAATACGGAATCGCTTCAGCTTCCCTTTAATGACATATAGGACAGGCATACTGCATAAAAAATGATGCTGGTGAAAACCTGCGGTATGCTCACTGCCATCTCACAAAAAGGCAAAGTTTGTTCACATTTACTGCACAAAGTATTTTTTCAAGGATTTAATTACCAGCAAAGCATCTTTTGTGTCGGAGGAGCCGAGCCTTTTTTTGCTACAGTTTTTGAGACCAAACTGAGTATAGACAGCCAGTGTCGAGTTGAGAACCCAATAAACTCTCCACCTCCGGCTTGAGCATTCTGCCTTTGATAACGCTTTGTCGCACGCAGAGCAAAACCCGGTGTAAAGCAATGGGTGAAGCAGAATATTTGTTCGGGCAGAGTATGTAAAAAGAATAAACAAGGCAAGAGACCACAAGTATACAGTCTCCGTCAATGTGCAAGACCTACTTGGAGCACGGGGCCGAGACATTGGCTGATGGTTGCACGGCGTGCATTGTGGATAGTTCCACATTGCTCCAAGGGGAGCGAACTTCGATACTGCAGCCAAATTAGCTCGGCTTTCACTGACAAAGCACTTTCAGTTTCCTCAAAACAACATATAATTGCCCAAAATGCGAGGAGTGCCGCCCCCCAGCCGTTGTCTCGGCCACGCGCTCCATGTGGGACTTTAGTGTTGGTGGAGACTACCTCTTTTGTACACGTGCCACGTCCTTTGTCTTGTTTGTTAATTTTTTCATAGTACCCCGAAGAGATCGCAGACTTTTCTATTCTGCATACTATGTTCTTCTGGTTGTTTAATATCTCCTCTTGTATGGGTGCAAATGCACAGATTATTTGCTTTGGTATGTAGTAGAAGTTGAAAGCCCTTTTTCTAGAGCTTCAATTGGAATGTATTTGTTAATTTTTGCTTCTCCTCATACGTTCACGGGGCAAGTTTTCGTGGTATTGTTCTCGAACCACTGAAATGGTCGTCCTCATTGCCAAAAATAAGTACAGCATGTGAAAAAGAGTTACAAGGTGATGGGTTTTTCATGCCCAATGTTTCCTTTACCATGCGGCATGAACGAGACGATATACCTACACCAAAGGCTGTAGGTATTGAAAATGGCAGAGGTCTTGTACAAGACAGCAATGGCGCCCACCTCTTTAGCAAAAGGGTGACACATTTTTGTCGATATATACAAATATGCAACATTGCTAATGCATGTGTTAGTAGGCCCCACACTGGAGTTCATATTCGTAAGAAAAAAAAGAAAAATCGAGCCGCAGATTTATTCAAATTACTATGGCTCGCTTTTTTTATTATTTTTATATACTAATTTCAATTTGGTTGAAAATTAACCTCCACCCACTTTCAATAGCAATTCAATATTTGTGCAACATTTTGCAGTTGCAGGTCTCCTGTGTTTCGAGATCATCCGATGCGAAGCAAGCAGACATCCGGTCACTCTTAGCGTTTGTTTGCCAGAGTACATACCTCGGTGTTCGTTTTCGTGTCCTAAAGGAGTGCGTATTCACGGACGATCGTCTTGTCAACGAGTTATGGAGACTTCTGGGGCGTTTCCCGAGCTGCATAATTTTCTCGGCTGTCCCTGTCCCCAATGAGCACATTCTTTTATTTGAGCTCTATTTTAGCAGCCCTAAGCCGTCCATTTGTGCATAAAGGCTGGTGCACACACTTACGGCTTTTTACGACTGCGTTTCTTGAGACCTCTTAGAACCTCTCACGACGAGAGAACACACCCAATCGGGTAGTTGTCGAGTGCTTGCAGTTTCTGTATATTTCCTTTGTGTTTCTCGTGCTTCATTCTTTCTTAACTTGCAAAACTTTCAACAATTTCATGAACTATGATTTTTTTGTAGATAATGTGTACACACTTGATCTCACAAACACCAGAAAACCTTCAGTCTCGTAAAATGCAGTTTCAGTGCCGCCACATGGATCATGCCAGCAGGCTCTAGCGTGTCCTCTACATCGTAAGAGATCTCGGGAACTTGGTCCTAAGCAAAAACGCAAGTGTGCGAACGGGCCTTAGCTATGTGGCAGACATTCTCTCTAGTGTGTGTATTATAGGGAGTATTCACTGGTGGTCATAGCTGAGCTCGTTGCTGCTTTCTTACCACCGGGGAAGAGAGAGAGGGGAAAGATGCTTTTGTAAGAGTTTTGAGTGGCAAGTTAATCTTCTATAATCTTCTAGAGGGATAATAGCGACGTCTGGGGAAGCCTGGGCCCTACAAAGGAGAGTCCCGGTGATAAGAGGATTTCACCTTCCCCTCTTCTTGAGCGGTTGGCCGAGAGCTGACGGGAAACTCTTCCCGGGCATGTGCTGTGAGCAGTTACCTCAAATATGGCATCTAGTGAATACCTCCTATTCTTTGCAAGGCCCGTAGGCTTCTGCGGTGTTTTACCATGTAGGTCTGCTGGGACCTGAAGGGTTTCGTCGGCTGCTATTCGAGAGACAAGCGTTCGTTGGGGTAAAAAAAAGTTTCAGGAACCCCCGGTTGAAGGCAGGGTTAACGGGGGGATGCAAGCAGGTTGAGGTCACGCGTAAGACGACGGGGCTACTGGTTACGTGTCGAGTAGTCCTTTTTCGTTGTCCATTGTCTCCGGTTTAAATGCTGTGAAACTCTGATCTCGTGTGAAGAAGGCTGGTTCACACGCTTGCGACTGCTTATGACTGGATAGGCTAAAACAAGTTTTTCATCCTCTTGTGCCTGTTTACGACCATATGCGCAGCAGTTGTGAGCAGTCGTAAGAGGCTTAAAACCGGTTTTTAGCCTCTCCAATCGCAAGCAGTCGCAAGTGTGTGAACCAACCACCGGCCTTAAAGGGAAGCTGAAGAGGTCGTTGAATTCGAACGAACTGTAAAAGTTGTAATGTAAGTTTTCTTTTGATCTTACTAGTAGGAGCGTTGTAATAGTCAATTAAAATTTTAACATAGACCTGCCCGTTGCAGCACACCAGGGACAGGAAAGCGTGAGAGTGGAGAGAAAAACTAGCAAAAGTGACTTCATCGGCGAGGTCAGATGACCCTCGCTCGCTACTTGGCTGGCTCAGGGACGCCAGTGCCGACGTCACAACGCTCTAAACAGATAACAGGCAGCAGCGAGGATCGCCGTATGCTCTGCGGCAATCACTGCGCATATTTTTCAAAATAAACACTGTTTATGTTTACTCCTGCCCATGATAAGTGTGACAACTGAATTCACGGGACAAAAAGCGTAGAGTTCGCTCGGATTTCTTGAAAAGTGCTTCGGCTCCCCTTTGAGACTTTAAAAAGATTAATCATCTGAGTTGGGGTCTTTGCTCCTTTTGGTCTGCTGACGCCTTACAGAGTCGTAGAGCGACGGGCTTCTGGTGCTGCCGTCTGGAGGAGGGGGCAGGATGCCGCTGCTGTACTGCGTGATAGCAAGGGGCAGCACGGTGCTGTCGCGCTATGCCAGCTGTGCCGGCAACTTCTCCGAGGTCACAGAACAGATCCTGCAGAGGATATCGCCCGACACACCCAAGCTCACCTACTCCCACGGAAGGTGCATCCAACGGCTCGTCCTCTTTTTGCCACACGTTTTACTTGGACACGAATTGTACTAACAAGTTCTCTAAAGCAGTGATGTGTGCTTGGGCTTTTTATGATGTACATGAGCCCAGCTACCAAGGAGAAATGTGGGCAGGCTTTTTTCTGCATGAGAAGGGCTAGTCGAGAACTGCCTGCTCGTTATAATGATATGCGTTATAATGATGCGCATCATTATATTGCGCGTTATAATGATGCGGAACTAGAGATCTTGGAGACGTACTAAACTCCCCAAGGTACACATCTTCGATACAAGTACTAGTAAAACCCATAAAATGTGATTTGTGTACTGACATCAGAACATAGAAGATGTAATTATTGAAAACAAGCGTGTTGGTTGATAGATACGAAGACTGGGAAGTATAAAACAGCTCCACCTTTATTATCACTGACAATGACGGAAGTCGAATTCCTTGCACCGGAGATGACTAGATTACTGATAGCTCATCGTGATGCCAGCGCTTTTTAAACTTTTATGTTTATAATAAATTCCCTTTCCTTTTTAACAATTTTCTGCTTTTCTTCTTCGAGAACATTGAAACTTTTAGAGGGAGGTTTTTATATTTTATATTTTGTGCCATTGTATGTTGTTGCTCAATGAAAGAAGTCCTAATTAAAAAATAGCGCAAGCACGATGGAGGGAAGAACGAGAGACAGGAAAGAGCGCTAACTGACAACTGGCGTTTTATTTACAAGAGAAAAGAAGATGTTCAAAGAGATGGAAAAAGAAGAAGGAAGATAAAAAAGATCGGATAGGGAACAGAAGGATGCTTTTTGTAATTATATACTAAATATGAAGCAAAAATAAAAAAATTAAAAAAATTAAAAATAATGAAGAATAATTATAAACAAGAATTAAAAAAGGAAAAGAAAAAAGGAAGGAGAAAAACAATACAAGAAAAGAATAAGAAAAATAATTCAGTGTCAACATAGTGTGTAGGAAGGATCTTCAGGGATGAAGGCTGAGGTAAAACTGTTCTTTTTCTGATAAGGCTACTGAAGGAGCACTGACGCAGGCGTCGCCCTTGGATATTATGACGTGTGCTTCGAAGAGTTCTCTACTCCTCTGACCAGAAAACCGTTTGAGGACTTTCGTGTGCTCGAAGAGTGGGGTACACAGACAGTCTCTTACATGCACCGCAAGATGTCCCGCGGGAGATGACCTTAACGCTAAGGCATGTTCCCTTAGCCTGACATTGAGACAACGTCCGGATTGTCCCACATATACCTTTCCACACGAAAACGGTATTTCGTACACTACACCGCTGATGCAGGTGACATATTGGTGTTGATGCTTTACAGTACATTTTGCAGTTTGTTCCTGCTTGTTGTTGATTTTTGGGCATAGCCGCCTTAGTTTATCAGGAGCTGAAATCACAACCTGTACATCAAACTTGGATGCCGCCCGCTTCAAGTTATGGGAAATGCGGTGTATGTATGGCACTACAGCCGGTCGGCGTCCCTTGAAGTTATTTCTTGTTGTTCTTCCACTTGATGTAATCATGGATTCAGCGACATCGAACAGAATCGAACAAGGATATCCAGATGCCTTGAATTTTTGAATTTGGGAATTAAAACTCTCACAGGCTGTATGTTCACAGGATTTCTTGAGGGACGCACTTAAACAACTCCTTACGATCCCTCTCTTGATAGCTTTGTATGGGCAGAGTCGTATTGTAAGAGCATTTTCTTTGATCTTGGAGAGTACATCCGGCCAGCACGCTTGATCATCAAGAAACGATAACCGCAGATCTAAAACTGAAGAGAGGAGTTCGCCGGCAACTCATGCGTAAACTTGAGCCCCTGTGCTTGCTCTACGAAGGTGTTTCGTATGCTGTCGGTTACTTCCGTGTCATTCTCATTGGGTCGGTCTTTCAGGAGGGCAAGATAATCGTCAACATATCTAAATATGACTGACACCTGGCCAGTGTTGAGTGTGTTAGCAATGGCCCGGTCGCATTGGGACAAAAAAATGTCACATAACACAGGTGCCACGGACGAACCTATACATATACCCTTCTTTTGTATATATGTATTGCCATTAAACGCGACAACAGTTGCGGAAAGGTAGAACCTCATAAGTTCTAAGAAGGATTCCACGTTGATTCCACATTTGTTTTGAAAAGATATGGAACCATTAGCCTCGATACACTCACTTACTGCTGCAAACAGTAAGTGAGTGTGAATTGTGAAGAGTGAAGCCAGGGGCTTTGGGTAAGGAAGCTAGTGACAGCCTTTCCCCCTCCTCTACATGCACACTCTTTCATGTTTGTTTTTTCTCTAGAAGATTAAAAGCACATTGTCACAATGCACTTAAATTGGGCTATGCGTGAGCTCAAAGGATGGTGATGAAGGCGGGGACGTTGCACTTTCGTCGTTTGATTGGCACAACAAACTTGTTTTATTGGCTACTCTCTGGCAGTATGGCCATTCCTCGTATGTCCTCCTGCACCGGGCATATTATATTGATTTAGAAAGAAAACGCCAGCCGTCTGCATCTTGCGAGCACAGTTAGACCTTTAGGGGTTGTAGTCGTAGACAGCGATTTTAATTTGTGTCTTATTTTCAGCTACCTGTTCCACTACATTCTCGAAGAAGGGATCATATATCTATGCATCACAGATGATGTGAGTATTTGTTTTTGTGCATAACTTTCTGGGGTGTGTTGAAAGATGTGTAGGGTTGTCCTGGGCTCTAGCAATTCTTGACTTGACATGTGGATGCATTGATTATTTTTCTTTTATTATGCAGGAATTCGAGAGGGCAAAGGCATTTCACTTCTTGGTAGACATCCAGACCAGGTACCAGATGTCTCTTTTAGCTTCATTATTGTTGCATTTGATGTCAGGCGCAGTTCCGATCACACTTAACTGGTGCGTAGAAGTGCATTTTGTGGTAGAAAAAAACAAAAGCATACTAATAGCGCTTGGGCATTTCCATCCAAAGATGTAGAATAGATGTAATGGGACAACCAAAGTCATATAATTTGACGTCACAAAATTATATGTATGAGCATATACACCAACTCATGTTTACAATCGAACCGGAGCGCCCCTAGTGGACGCCACCGGCGCCGCGCATGCGCGATGGGGGTGTGGGCAAGAAGCTCGCCGTCGCCCATAGACAAACCATTGAAATGCGATGTTGTCGGCGTCGATGTGAGTCCCCCTGCCCTTTTTCTCGTTCGAATTGTTGATTCTACGTCTTCCTGGCAATGTCTGACTATCTTGAGCGGCATCAGCGAAATTACTGAGGCTCGTTACACCGCAAAACTTCGCGTGAATAATGTGCCATGTGGCGATTCATTCCGCATGGACGCCGCAGTATGTACGCTAAAGCCTGATTCGCATGATGACAATTCGCTCGTAATTTTCAGTCGCGACGTCGCTCAGGCTGCAAAAGCGTGAACCGTAGCTGAGATTGTCCATGTTTATACTGAAAATCGCAAGCAAAATTGGACCTAGTGAATTAGGCATAACAAGTCGCTGATGGTCACTGGTAACAATGATCAACATCTCCTTGTATCTACTGTTTACATCGAGCCTGCTTACCAACCTTCAAATTTGTCTTTTGAGGCCTGCACTTACTTCTTATCGAAAGTACCGGGCCAACATTTGGTGGGCCGACGTCGTCTAAGAGAGCCAGACGACAATCAGAAACGTTTGAAAGAGCAGACGACAGTTCGAAAGATCAGGCGGCCGTTTGAACTTGATGATGCACTGAACGTAGTCCGCAGGTGGTCTGCACAACTTGACGGATTTCTGGCGCTCATGTTGGAACAAAACAAATAAATCTGATGACCAGAACTATCCGTGAATTCAACTCGCCCAAAGTGCTTCCCGCCCAAGCAATCGCTGTCCGACGGCGTCTGCTTTTCCCTTTTCACGGCACATATCCAGATTCTCGGACGAACCGAGCACGTGAAATCTGACCATCAAACCTTTCTCGACACTTTGGGTACGGCCCCAGTCGTGGCGTTTCGACAAGAGGGCAGGTTTTTGTCTGGTTTCTTTCAAAACAACACAGAAATACACGTCTGGCATGGGGACTTCTGCCCACAGCCCCAGACCGGAAGTGCGACCGACGCGCCACCACCGCGCCGCGCGCGTGACGTCACAGAGTTGAGTTTGTGTATAAAAGCCGAAAACATTATGCCAAGAGTAGGCTTAGGATTTGCTCCCGGCAAATAGGATTAGGACTGTAGCAGCGTTCACAGCAGCCATGTTGTGTAAACATTGTAGAGCGCTATGGGGTGCTTATATACAATGGAACATTTGTGACATATCTTGAAAAGCAAACAGTCTTTTTATTAACTATATACAAGCAGGTGTTTTTTTTTTTATTTCTTGTTGGCAACTCTTCCACCAGTCGGAGTGAATTGAACGCACCCCCAGATTATGCTATCACTCTAACCAATGCCGAAATATTTTGTAACATTTTTGCTAGTTATCCCCTACGCTGTTTACTAGATACAAAGTTGCTTTCTTGTATTTTGTAACCCGAGTTTTACTTTTTTTTTATTGTTTGTATCATTGGTATTGTTTTGATTAATTCAATTTTATGGGTGACTTTAAATCCCTCGTGTACTGTTCCCCTATTAAAGGGATCTCTGATGTGTGTTAAACCCAAGCAACATGAAATCAAGTATTTAGACTTATCGGCGTTGTGAAATACAAGTCAGAGTGCCTAAATCGGATAAATTGCTTCCAGTACTATAGTTATCATCTGTTTAGGTCCGTATAATGTGGGATTCAGGTTTACAGTGGCCTACAACTGATGCAAACGCACATGCAGATTCCAGGCAACCTACGGCCGCCAGGCCCAGTCGGCATTGGCCTATGCCATGAACAGCGAATTTTCCCGGGTGCTTGCAAACCAGATGGTGAGCTGGGTTTTTTTCACACCTCCTCTTGCGTAAAAACCTTGAAGCAAATTAAGGAATTAATATGGGGAAGCCACGATGAACGTGCGAGTGCATGGTTCTCAAATATGCATTTTGTACGATTTCTCGTAAAGATGCCGTCGATGCCGCACCCCTCGTACGAAGTTTACGTATGGTCCTTGAACCTTTTTAAATTCACTCCTGTTCTTTTATCTATCCGAGTTCTTTACGTTGATAGGTGTGTAGAAAAATCTAAATCCTTCCGTTCGTGCCTGCTTGTTTTAAGTTATTTGCAATTGCAGGTGTAGAAACTAGGGTTTTTGTGCTTTTTCGTCTTTGAACGGTGTGCCTTTTTAAGTCCTAATAGCACTAATTACTGGGCGGCTTCTTTTTCCCTCATCGAATGCCATTGCAGAAGCACTACTCGGGTGACCGAGGGGCCGACAACTTTGCTAAGGTTCAGGGCGAAATTGACGAGCTCAAGGGCATCATGGTGAAGAACATTGGTGAGTGGTGCAGTTCACGGCACCGGTTTTACGGGCCTTCTTTTTACAACCTTTTACAACGTGCTCAACTCTCTCCCGTGGTGTGTAATAAAGACTTCTAGTGCACTGGGATCTGCTCATCTTTGGCAACTCGTGCTTGACTTCGACTTTTTTGTGGACGTTGTCGAGGCTAGTATAGTTTACGCAGTGCTCCAACCCTGTCAAAACTATTTGCACATACTTTCATATGCCATTGCCATATGCCTTTGCAGCACCATGGAAACTATGTTAGCCTTGACTACTTAGCGCAAAAAGATTGACACCAAACATGGGCATTAAAAGTTGGTGTACGTCATAATTTTTCAGAGCAAGATGTAAACTGGGCATGGATAATGCGTTTGCACAAACTGTTGTTGTTCCCCTTTGCCCCTTTTGTGTTGCACGGGAGTGAAGGCTGCATGGCAGGGATGGGAACTGCATATTAGAGTAATCTAGTAGGTGCAGATAGAGCTATCGAATCAACTATGCTTAGAGTATCGGCACTCCATTTCTCAATTTGCTCGCGGGTGCCGCCATTTGGGTGTCCACTGCAGGGCGTGCACAATTGGCGACAGTTACAGTGAGGAAAATGTGGCTTTCTGAACTTTAGGTACAATGTCAGGAAACCAAGGGATGTCGTCTTGCTCTGTCGCTAACCGTTTTAACATTTCTGGGGGACGGAAAGGCTTTTTTTCTTTTTGTCAGACGAAGGTTCAGATAACCGGCAACTATGATTTTAAATGGCAAGAAGGCTGATGCGTAGGATTGTACAAATATTCAAATTTGTGTATGGTAGTTTCGAATAATACGCCCTTCAATACTTGTTCTGAGGTGAACTGTGATATTCATACCATTCGAAGTGTCGTTTGCGATGGGTTAGCCCCGCCGCAAACGATCGCGACTGCTTACATAGGGCCCCTAGGAACGTAAGCAGACATGCCACATTGCATTTCGTTTCAATGCCAAGTGCCGCTCGTGGGAAACCTCATTGAATATTATCGCACACTGGTTGCATTCGACGAAGTGTCTAAGTTGGACGATTTGTCATTTCAGACACGGTCACGTCCAGGGGTGAAAGGCTGGAGTTGCTGGTGAACAAGACCGAAGTTCTCTCGAGCACGGTTTGTTGAGGTTTACATTTTTCGTTCCTTTCGTTTATTTTGCAAGTTCCGGGGCAAACGGCTTCAGATTGTTCTCAGCTCATCGGGAAAACGGCCACAAAATGATAGAACCTCCTGCTTTTTTTGCGGTAGACAAGCGCTGGTTCCTAAAGTATTGCGTTTTGTCGAAGCAATTGGGCGGGCTAGTTGGTACGTGGTTCGTTAAACAATGTGTGCCGTACAGCAGGAACAAAAGGAGAAGGGTGCAACACAAGTGCTACTTTCAACTGAATGTTAATTGGAAAAAAACTAGACTATTTATAGACCCTGTTGGGCTGCTCGCTGAAAATTCAAATTCCTTGGCTATTCGTTGTGATGGATGCCCATGCGCCCAGGTCAGTGTTGGATAAAGTACATCTAAAAAGTACTTCAAGTAAAGTACAAAGTAAATGAGATGTTATGTACTTCAAGTAAAGTAGTAGTACACTGGGTGCAATGTACCTGAAGTAAAGTAGTACTATAAATACAATGTACTTTCAAAGTAAAGTAGTACTATAAATACAATGTACTTTCAAAGTAAAGTACAAGTCTTTTAACACAATCTTTCATGGTGCCCTTTCATTCCCCTGTTCAGTGATTCTTTTAACTGGTATTCATTGCCCAGGTGTGATCAGGGGTGCATGACCAATTTTCAAAAACAGCAGCGAATAATTGATAAAGTCAAGTGGCCACATAGTAGTTATTTTCAGAAACAGAGCCAAATTCAGAAGTTCCTCTCCTGAATTTGGCGCCACTTGCACTGGATTGTTGCACCCAAGGGGTTGTATTAGGGGAGAGCATGACATCAGCCCCGTGGCTTCCGCAAGCAATCCTCTCGTAGAGGAGTGTCCTGGCAAGCGAGCTGGTTATAATTAATCATAATGTGACACCTGAAATTGGGGTGCAAAAAAACAGAGGAGCTTTCAAGTCGAAGGAAAAGACAAAAGAGAATGTCTCAAAACATTGTGATGTTCACCCTTTGTTGTCTCTTTCTTCGACTTGAAAGTTTAATTTTTCTGCACCACGGGTTCACGTGCTACGTTATGATTAATTTTGCTCCCCTAATATTTTAAACCTCTTGCCTTACGCTGACCAACCAAGAAGTAGAGAGTTAAAAAAGTTACGGGAAAGCCGCTTCCAGAACAAGCGGAGCGATGCGTCGTCTGCTCACGTTTTTAGTGATAGTAGAATATCCCTCCCAGTATTCCTTTGGAGTTGACAAAGCGTCATTTCGTGATACAAATTTAACAAAATCAAATTTGGAGAGTATACTTTGAAGTCAGAAATCATACTTTCCTCGGAAAGTATGAGAAAAAAATACTTTTAAGTAAAGTACAAGTACATACTCGGAGAATGTACTTCAAGTAAAGTACAAGTTTCCTAAACCTACTTGAAGTAGTACTTTAAGTACAATGTACTTAAAGTACTTCCTAAAGCCGGCTCCAGTTCTAGAAGGAACACAAATTGGTGGGACATTAATAATGAGCAAATTGCTGTGAGAAGTGTGCAGATCATAGGATCATACAGCATTAGATTGTGGGGACAATGGTTGTATGAGTGCGCCATCAGTTAACCTATCTGATGAGAAATTTGAATTTCTACACGAGCAGCCCAATACAGTGTGTTAAATAGTCTTTTTCTTTTTTCTTTTTTTCAAATAGACATTTATTTGGAAGTAGTTTTGTGTCGTGTCCCCGTCGTACGGCACACACTGCTCCTGAAGATTGCATCAAACTTTGATAATCGCACGGTCTACTCTTCTAGCATTCATGCAGAGGTGAAAATATAGTGCTGCATCAGAGCCAAAACCAAGAATTCTCTTTTGAATTGCACTTGCCGTCTGTACGGACGTGAGCGGGCCGAAGGCAGAAGGAAAATGCCAGGGCTGATGAGATGTCGCGCCATTTTCCCGCCACAGTCCGTCACATTCCGCAAGGCGAGTCGCAACCTGGCCCGCTCGATGCTGATCAAGAACATCAAGATTGCCCTGATCATCGCCCTCGTGGTTCTGGTGAGCAGTCGGACCATGGAGTTTATGTCTTTTACTATCGGTAAATTTAGCCTGTATAGGAATGCCAGTTTTTAGAGAAACTGTTTCTAAAAACTCGGTTTCTAAAAAAAGCTGAACTTGGTTTTTTTAGAAGAGTAAAGCTATACGCACTCCGGAGTGCGCTTCGGACGGAAATGGCTATACGCACTCCGCTTTTCTCGTATAAAAATAGTGGACACAACGAGTTTCCTAAGCGGTGCTATGGCGTAGTGGTTAGGGTGCCCGCTTCATACGCAAGTGGACGCGGGTTCGATCCGCGGTGGGCCTACTCTTTTTTTTTCTTTTTCTCAAACATTTTGTTTTGTTGAGGCATTTGGCGATATTTACGACATTTCCTTTTTTGCAATGAACAGTAAAAAAAAAAAATCGATTGTTGTCGAGAAACTTTGCAGAACTAAATGGTATCGGACTCCCTTTCCGGAGGTGCGATCGGGGACAGCGGGGCTTGGATTGCCGGCTGGACGCCGCGAAGCGGCGTGTACTGGTTACGCTTAGTAATTAGCAGCCGATACTGTCGCCGCGAAGCGGCGTGAACGCAGGCGGGGGGCTGTGTTAACGATCGCCCCAGTGATTCACGCGCCGTTCGAAAAGGGTGGCCCGAGCGGCATGATCTCTCGGAGGAGTGCGTATAGCCATTTCCGCGCGAAGCGCACTCCGGAGTGCGTATAGCTTTACTCTTTTTAGAAGCTTTAATGCACACATCGTAGTGCAAGTGCGTCGAAAATGCGTAGTCACGAAGCTCCAAGAACAAGACTGACTTCAAGAGTGCTGTAAAACACAAAAATCTTGCTTTATGTGCAGCCCCTCTCTTCACAAGAGCCTGCATTTGAGATTATTTACCATTTTTGTCGCTGGGGTCTAGGATTTTGGACACTTGTCTACCGTATTTATTCGCATAATGAACACACTTTTTTCTCTGAAAAATTTGCACATAGTCGCCGACCGATTTATCGGACTTCGCAGGGACCGAAAAAACGTCCGAATAATAGAGCAGTCCGAAAAATCAGCAGATTAAAAAACTTGCCTTTATTACTTCCAAATGGGCTTTAAAAAGCCGTAAACAGTGCCTTGTCTCAGTTACACCTCCGTTTGCGTTCGGCAACTTTCTGTTAGCTTGACAATCGCTGCCTTCTTTTCTAGCGTTATGGTCGAGTACTTTCTGCGCTTTTTAACGACACATCGCGGCGGCAGAACAACAGATCGGGCCATGACGTCCAAGCCAGCGCTGACCAAACAAGTTAAGAAGCGCAAATCCACGAGCGCAAAATGGCGATTGGCGACGCGAAGCAACGGAAAAGCAAAGCAAAATGATAATAATGATGATGATGATGACGTGCAGCTAAATGGAAAAAAAGGGCTAGCATAGTGTCACCTAGCGGTAGGACTCAGGAGTACTCAAGTAGCGCTGCCAAACCAAGCCAATCCATTTGCAGCCAACACAGAATTCAAAATGGCCGCTTCTCGATGATGTTTTCCGCTGATCGCTCGCGCCGATTTTGTCCGATTTTGTCCGAATAATCGAACTTTCGGACTTCAAGCTGTCCGAAACATTGGTCGTAAATAAGCACTATTTCTATGGGGTAAGTCATGGTTCCGCCTTTAGGTCCGAAATATCGAACAAGTCCGAAAAATCGGAGTCCGAAAAATCGGTCGGGGGGGGCATTCATTATGCTGGTTAAAGTTTTTGCATATACACACTTTGTGCAAATGTCATATTAGGTGTCAATATGACTTGGCAAGGTACTGTGGCACGTCTCCACTGATGGAGATGCACCTGTTGGCTGGTCGGGGGCGTGCCACAGTAACCATGCTTTATAAATTGCGAACCTCTTTAGGGCGCTTTCAACGTGTCTTTTGCCGAAGGAAAAGCATCCAAAGAAGCTCACTCAGCACGAAGAGCAAAGCGACTGTTTTGAGGCCTAACCACTTTCACAATTTCACTATCCGAAAGCAAACTACAGACGATGGCGTGTTTGTTGACATCAACGCATCCGATAGGCGAAGAATGTCTGGGACTAGGCAGTTCCTCGACCCAAGCTTCCTCAAATGTATGCGCCGCTCGGTTTCACGTTTGATCACTTCCGCAACTATTCACTTGCACCCATTACGAGAGCGGCTTGGCTTGGCTTGACTTGGCCTGACCGCTTGGTGGCAAAAGAAGATTGGCCTGATGACTACATACGCGAGGGAAAAAAAACTCCAAATATTGGTACCCGTTGTGGGGAGTGCTATAATGTGGTGGTCTGAGTAAATGTGGTATATAGCTCAGAATACCGCAAAAACATTTTACGATCTCTTTAATTGGATTCCGATGATGTATGCTCATGAATAGGAAGTCCGAACGATACTGAAATTTTTGATGCGAAAGCATTAACTGTCCCATGGAGCGAGCAGACGTCATCAGTTTGAAGCGCGAAAACGGCACCTTAAATCCTTTGTTCAAGAGCCAGCTCCCAGCTATGAAACCATGCAAAAAGCCTAGACGCGGCACCTAGTTTCCCTGATCCCAAAGGAGCAAAGTAAAGCTGATGGCTTTTCGGCTTCGGTCCCATTGGCTAGCGCGCATTGACGATGCTCCCATTCACCAGACACGCAGTGCCATGGGGTGGCCGGTTGTTGAAACTGACGCTTGACCAGCCACCCTATGGCACGGCACGTACGTCGACGCCATTGACGCAGATACGCTGCAGACGAAATAAGGGAGGGGAAGAATGATGACGAAAATAATCCCTGTAGAAGGGGAACAAGAGGGACGAAGGACACACACAAATCTCCAAACATTATGTGAATGATGTACATGCTTTTGCATTCACAACTCATAAGAAGTGCTTAGATTACCTTGAGCCTTTTTTTTTTGGCCATTTAACTTAATAAAGTGATTAAGATTATACTGCTTTTTCAAGTATTATGACTGTTGAGGTGTGGCCGTGCTTCAGAGTGTTCAGGCTTTTTGAAGTTGGCCCACCACCCCATTCTTCTGGTTAACTTGCCCTTGCTTTTGCTGTAGTTGACGATCCAAATAGACCATTTATTATTATAAAAAGAAAACTTGCGTCTGACAAAACGGACAACTGCTGCCTATTCCATACTTTATAAATATGAAGCTAATTCTACTTTAATTAGCCAAAGTGAGAAAATTATTTAACGATTACAGTCAAACTTTTTTAACAAAGATTTTGGGGCCGGCGAAAATTTTGTAGTGCAGGTAACTTTGCTGCTGTAGTTGAGAGCACAAAAATTGATCACGCGAAATCGAATTTGTGTTATTGCATATTGAGGTACCTGTGCAACATTTGAGGTGTTTTAGGAAAAAATATAGCACCAAACATAGCAGACCTATCGAAAGGGAGAACGGTGGCCACGTCTGCTGGCACCTCTCAAGCTCCGAGCACATGGGGCAAAAGCTCGTGCTGCAAAATAAAAAAAAACTCAATTACCACTTTGTCTTTTTATTTTTTTTTTAAGTGAAAAATGTGTTGGTATGCGTGCGTTCATGTACTCACTACTGCGTAATGCGATCGAGAGATACCAGGCTAGCGGTCGTACTGCCACCGGCAAAATTTGTCACCTACAGCCAAGACAGCATGGCGCTCCTTGCCGCAGACTAATTTCCCTCTGTCGAAACTTCCACACAGGAAACTTCACCGTCTTATCGAAATGTGAATCGCAATAATCACTAAACCAACGACATCGAACCTTCATCATGCGGCAAATAAGAGGCGCTTGCCGACTCTGTAAATTTGACCTTTTCAAAATCGTGCAGCACCACCATGTGTCATTCGGAGGAAGCTCTTGAATCGACTGTGTTGCTCTCATAGGAGCGGGCGTAGCAGCCATCGCAGAATCAAACGCTACAGCTGCGGGTAGAGTCACAGATCACGTTTCCTCAACTGCATGTCATCAGTGCAAGGCAGAACAATTTGGACTCGAATTGAGCGAGATTGGGAAGCTTCGATACCGACGAAGACCAACGCGTCGATCGAACAAGTGCCAAGATGGCATAAAAAAGTTGCAACTGCCTACAAAAAACTTTTTTCATATACATATATTTATTCTCATTCATGCGGGTTCTTTCAAATGCACCGACGTACATGCAAAATAAGAAAACGAGTGCGCGCACATTCGAACAGAGCATTGGAAAAAAAGGCACATACTCAATCGACTGTGAGCAACACGAAAGAATGCACAGCAGAACCGGCACCGTGCTGTGTGTTCTCGGTTTTGGGTCCAAATAATTTGCTAGTGTGCAACCTTGTGTCTAGATGGTGCTACGTGACAACGTTGCTATGTACAGGCTTCCTACGGAGCAGCATAGTCACGTAGCGCCATCTGGATGCAAGGTTTCCCACTAACAAGTTATCTACTGCAAAATACTAAAGAAACGCACCCCCATTTTATCGAAATATGCGTAAAGCCAACTATTGGCGCTTATTAGGGCACTTGATGTGTACTTGCCAAAATTTTCGAATTTCAAAAATGTTAATAGTGGGCGCTTGTACGGGTATGGGCGCTTCCTCGGTATTTTATGGTAGGCCCGATAACGTGCGACGCAGTGACAATGTCGACCGTTGCCGCAGTTCAGTCGCCGGCTGATTTTTCGGACACGTTTTATTATTCGGAAGTTTCTTGCCGAACCGTCACTTGCCCCATAGAGTTAACATATAACATTGACCGAAATTTCGGATGCCATAAAGCTTATTGCTCGATATTTCAGACTAATTTGCATGATTTACTAATTTTAAAGGCATAAAACGGCCACCTCCATAGCGCCAAGAGTTTTGTCACCACCATTTTGGTTGTTTTGATTTTGCCCTGTAACCTCAATAACACGTCCTACACAATAAACTAGCTGGGTTGAGGCTATAGTCAGGTTTTGCGGCTCCGCTATAGCCAACATGGCCTCCGTCTCCCAATTCTTATGCGTCTTCCAGTTCTCCTCGTGGTCCGTGTTTTTGGAGTGCAACCTGCGAGAAGAGTGGCCGTCTGCCATTCGTGTGGTCCTTGAGCGCGAAGGTTTTTTGCCTATAGGCTAAGTATTGAAGGGAGCTTGGTGGACTAAACATTGTCTACAAATAGTGCAAATGAAGGCGCCAACAATGCGCAGCACCGTGATCAAACAGATCAACGAAAAAGTGAAAAGTGAACAATATAAAGCGGAAATTGTACGAGAACTTAAACTTGACATCAAGTAGAGTCCAAAAGATCGGTCGGCGACTGTTTTTATGTTCTTCAGAAGCGTCACTTGAGGCAACACTTTCATAGAATCGATTGCTTTTCACCTAAAAAGTTTGTAATCCTGGTCATTTTTGCTCTGGTTAAAGGGAAATATTTGTTCGACAGGAATCCGTTGTAGTAGTCGGAGAATCACATTGAACACGTAGGAGATTGGCTAAGACTTTATCCTACTCCGTTAAACGGACTATGTCATAGTAGAGGCATTTGTTTTAAAGGCGTTTGACTGAAGTACTCCCAAAATATCTGGTTAGAGTGGCTAAACAGCCAGCCAGTGGACAATGCCCCCTTTTAAGATAAGAAACTCTCACACGCCGATGTGTATCTGTGCCTGTTTAATGCCTTGATAGACTTTGGTGCCTGAAATTGTGGATATATCGGTCTTCTCGGATGAGCCCTTACCAGAATCCGCCTCAACTCCAGCCTTTTTGTAACTGTACTCAGAGTATACTTACAAAAGTATTTACAAAAGTCGTGAAAGTATACTTTTCCATTTCCTCTTCAGCTGCTGATCTACATCATTGTGTCGTCTGCCTGCGGCGGCCTCAGCTGGCCGAACTGCGTCTGAAGGTGCTGCACCGCCGTACACGGGACGCCCTTTTACCTTTTGTACGCCTCTGCAGCTTCTTTTCCGTCTGTAGTCTATGTGCCTGTCAAGCACCGTCGTCCGGAAACAAAACCGCAACGAGGTAGCGTCGACCGAGCACTGCATTCTGTGTCACGCGTTTGGCGCTCTTGGAACCACCCCTGTAGTGACTCTTATCCAGAGAGAGCAACTCTTACCCACAGAAGGCAACCCTTATCGAAAGAGAGCAATTCTTGTTGAAAAAGAGTGACCCTCGTGTTTTAAAAACAAAATTGCCGGTAAGCGGCGCAGCATCTGCTGTTCGGCCGCCGCTGGCACGTTCCAGTTTTGATTCCCAGCGACCATGCGTGTACATAAACTTGCATTAACCCTGCGTTTAGGGCGGCACCACAAAGTTATTAGTATAGTAAGCTGAGAAGAGCTTGGGCTATTATCGCTCGTGGATGCCCCTCCAGGAAAAGAGCAGGTTGGGAACAGCCTTCGTTGATGCGCGTCCGTGTTAATTTGTGCGTGTGTTGTGCACGTGGTCAACGCCACATTGGTTTGAATTTAACTAACATGTTGCATTGCCGCCTCCTTTGGATTGGGAGGTGCCACACTTGTTTTAACCAGTCTGTATAAACGAGGGATTCGCCATTGTCGACCCTTTCATGCTTTTCGATTTTTTTTTTCTTGTTGTTTTGTTGTATGTGTATATATTTGCTAGGAATGCGACGGGCCAACAGTTACAAAGTTTATGGTTGCACGTCACGAAGTAGCCAGTATTGAAATAAAAATGGAATTGTGAATATGCGGCTGTGTGATGTCCTCTCTTTTGTTTTGGCACTTTCATTCTAAAGGGCCCATGAAACGAATTTTGGGCTGGGTTAAATCAATTTAGATTGGGATTTTACTGATAGCATATCGTTTAGTGGGCCAAAAGAAAGAAGGTAGAAAGTAAAAAGCCTGACTTTCAGTACGAAAATTTGAAACTAGCGGACTATTTCTTGCCCCCTTCCCTTCGAAAGCTCTCTGCCTTTTCACTGTGATACATCCGTGGTACCCTAAGTGTGTCACCAGCCCCAATTGCACGTCGCACGACACCGGACCGCACTTGCGCCCTTCACTTCTAAGCCGACAGTGCAGTGGAAGCAATGCGCTTGCCGAACCAATCAGCTGCCTCTCTCTCGTCACCTGATGTCCTTCTCTGCGCCTGGGTATGCGCGAGGGAGCGTCGCCATGTGGCAAAAGTGTGGCTGGCCCAACGAGTGCATAGCTTCCACAGCACTGCCAGCTTGGAGGTGAACGGGGTGGGGAAAGCAACTTGTCTGAATTTTGAGTGACGGGCTAATCTTCTAGAAGAATGCCTCTGTCTGGGTACACAAACAAGGGTCCAAGCAAGAGGGGACTCCCTCTGTTCCATCGTCTCGAACTGTTTGGTGCAATGCGCGATTTGTGAGTTGAGGAGGAAAGCTAAACAGGAAAAAGTTGAAAAATCGTTTCATTACCCCTTTAAACTGCAAAAATAAAAGGGCTTGCACCGCATAATGTAAGGTGTAAAAATGTCTATTGTGTTGAGCTTTTTTAAACTGATTCAGTGGTAGGGACCATAGAACATGCACTGGTTGTTTTTATAAGTATGAGATTCCTCCTGGATACTATGCTAGCAAAATGTTGGAACTGTGTTATGTAGCAGGAATAGAGATTTGGCATACTCTGTCGACTTGTGACAGTCAACACAAACACTGCAATGCTGTCCTTTGGACTTCTAAGCATTTTATACAGCTGCTGTTGGTGTTCAACGATGACGAATTTAGTGCCTGCAGACATCGCAAGATCATCTGTGTTTGTTCAAAAACAGTTGCTTATTGCAAACATCCCATTGCATCAAATGGTGGATCACAGCAGAGACATGGGCAACCTGAGCCAGTCTAAAACGGGATGTCTGTGTAGCACTGAATCGGCATGGTTAGTTTGTGGAAAGTGTATTGTGCCAAACTTGCTCATACAGTGAACTCATTTAATTGAAACTCCAGGAAGCCACGAATTTTGTTTGAATTATCAGACATTAATCTTAATATGATGGAGGGTAAAATTTATTCGCCATATGAATGACTACACATAAAAAAGCAGATGTTTGACGACCTCCTCTACTTAGGCCTACTGATCGTAAGCAGGTATGCCACGCATGAAACAGTTGTGAAATGTAACAGGTTTATTTATCACTCAAAAATGTTGTTTATCGTGGGCTGTTTAGACAGCAAACAAAATTAAGTTTGTTCATCGGGCCAAGGAGTTGTCTAATGTGAACAATGAAGCAAGGGACACGTCAGCGATGAAAACGTGCACCGCGCGGCAAACTTGCGCGGTCGCTGTGACGTGGATCTATGCCATGCCGCCACGTCACAGCGTCCGTGCAAGTTGCTGTGGAAATGGTGCCCGTCTTCATAGCTCATGCATGCCCTGCTTCAAAGCCGTGCTTGAGTCCCGTTGAGTGCGCTTCTCACCGAGCGGCGAGCACTGCACAGAAGCAACACCTGCGGAAGCAAACTCCGCGGGTGTTGCTTCTCTGCAGTGGACCGGTGCTCGGAAAGAAGCGCACTCAACGGAGCCGCGTGAACAAAAAGTATGAATTACACGAAAACGCCGTCCGGATTAAGCGGCTTATGAATACATTCAAAACAACGGAACCAAAATTTTGAATTATGTTTGAATTAACCGGAAGTACGAAATATACGAGTTTAAATCATCGCAAGCCTACTGTATTTGAGTAGGATTTCTGTTTCGTCCTCCCATGGTAGGACTAAGTTTTGGGAACTCCTTTTTTCTAATGCTTACAAAAGATGCACTAGCTTGATGATGCTGACATATGCCGGGAAGTACAGTGTTAGGAATGAACTAGGAGCATGCTATGCGTGTGTGTCATGACGTCACGTCCTGAGGTAACATGGTGATCGCTGTCGCATGACATATCGTGACAGTGACATGGTGTTGCATGAGTTTGTGACACCGCGATGTCATGTGACATGCGACACCATGGTGTAGCATGATGTCAGACCTTCGTGACAGTTTGTCATGAGAGTTTTCTCATAGAATTCGACTGATAAAACACTTTCCGTGTTAAAAATAATTGGTGTGTGTGCATGCTCAGTGGTGGTCCAGTCAGCTTTGAGTTCAAAACAATTTTTGGAGCAAAAAAAAAAAAAAAAATCTCATTATGGAGCACTTTTGTATCAGAAAAAATTGCCTTTTGGAGCAGCACATACGCAAGTTTGGAGCGATTCGGTGCAGTTCCTTATTATTGATACCGGCATGCATTCATGCAATCAGTTACACGATGCCCATTCAAAACCCAAAGTTGGCAGTTTGCTATACTATAGTTGGTGACAGGTCAGGGTAAGATTACATAAATGAGGCAATAATAAATAAGTCTAAATAAACGTTTAAATACTAGATTAAAAACAGCTTCTAAAAAAATGTAAGGTGGTTGATAGATATATACTTTATTTTTAAATGCAATATGCAGCTAATTATGGCATTAAAAAATAATTGTGACCTGAACCCTTTTACAATCAACCTTTCCATCTTCTCCACCAAAACCAAGGAGGTTAGAAGTACTAGGAGGGGGCACGTTGCAATATTGGTGAAGCCTAGTCCTAAAACGTTTAAACAATTTTGTGCCCAGCGTGACCGCAGATCTCTTTGGCGATTGGTGCGCGTGACATGTCACGTGCGAGACGGATGGTTCATTGTAGAAGGACTCCTTGCAGGCTTGCGCGCGCTCCGTCCGGTAGGTTTTATCAGATCGAAGTCTAGACTGTGGTGTATTCTAGTACCCCGTAGCAAGACGAAGGCTAGCTACGGTCACGTGATGTGATCACGTTGACAGGGTAAGTGAGGAGAGTAAGGAGGAAAATGAGAAAGGAGGCGAGGCATCAAGGGAGCATGGCTTGTGGAGGATACGGGGCCGACGTCATGCCCTCTCCTACCCTTCTATTCTCCATGACCAAAACCCTTGGCCAAAACCCAGGTCCCTCTCTACGTCACTGGATTCCCCACTGGATTTTCACAGTTGCCAGACGAAAACTCTTCCACACACCAATTCGTTTGCAGATTGGTTCGCTTTGGCACAGTTTGGCACAATTTTTCCCTTTGGGCGCAGCAAGGTGCACACAAATCAGGAATTTATCGAAATGGCACAAATGGTACAACTGGACAACCACTGCACGCTTCAGTTGTGCTGGCTGGTGTAGTATGACTGCTAACCTGAGGCCTTTAGCGTGCATCACACAGTCTTGATGCACTATCGCAGTGGTTCTCAAATGGGGGTCCGCGGAGGCATTCTGGGGGTCCGCGAAACCCTGCCTCATCTGTAAAGTCCGGCAATAAAAGTTGTATTTTCTTCCGATCGAGAAGGAATTTTTCCATTTACGGGCTAGTTTTCTCGTCTGTATGTCAATAAGAGAAGTCTACTTCACACTAGCCCTTAGCTAAATCCATTTATAATGTCTTTATTATATTCAATTTATACATTCCCCCTCCCCTCACCACAAAAAGGGTCCTCCATCATCTCCGCTGGTCCACAAGGGGTCCGCGAAACATCAGTGGTTGAGAACCACTGCACTATCGGGTACAAATGAAATGCAAACAGTGAAGTGCATGGCCTTGGATACATGCTGTGCAAGCTAGAGACAAATGGGAACTGATCTCTTCACCTTTTCAATAAACAAATTTTTTCTCTGATAAAGCTGCGTAATGGAAAGGGAGGCTAGGAGGGTGTGTACATCGAAGTAGACAAAAACCCTCACGGCCCCTTTCCCACCCTGATTATGCCGACGATGAAAGGACGGAAGAGAAGAGGATTACAGTGACAAAGAGGCGATTAGAAGATTGGTGGAAATTATCTAAAGAAAATTAAATGATGTACAACTTGTCCTGCACCTTGTCCTGTTTCCCTTCGTCTGTGTCCCTATATTTTTTCGGCGCTTTTTTGCTTGCGATGAACCAACTGGCCCAAATCTCCACTTTACTGCAGTTTATTTCTGCGCCTTGTCCTGTTTCCCTTCGTCTGTGTCCCTGTATTTTTTCGGCGCTTTTTTGCTTGCAATGAACCAACTGGCCCAAATCTCCACTTTACTGCAGTTTATTTCTGCGCCTTGTCCTGTTTCCCTTCGTCTGTGTCCCTGTATTTTTTCGGCGCTTTTTTGCTTGCAATGAACCAACTGGCCCAAATCTCCACTTTAATGTACAACTAACTAGCACAGCTGGGGACAGGCAGGACAGAGGAAAATTGAGACTCCGTCCCGCGTGGCTCTTGCCCAAAGTCCCAACCCTGTCCCCCAGTGGGCCCAGTGCTAGGGTAACGCCAACAGGGTTTGACCAAAGGAAAATTGGCGACTCCCTCGCCAGGAGAGAGAGGCGGGGGTGATGCTCTTTTGCTTGATCCCCTGGAGATCATCCTGGCGATATCCCACACTGCCTGGTGATAGTTAGGCATAGCCATTAACATCCATCCAACCCTGTAGTTTTATCAGTTCCTAGTTACCTCTAGATAGTGGAGCATGCATTGAAGGTCTCACATGCTGCTGTTTGTATTTCATTCATACTTGATTTTACGATGATCATGCAGATCGAAACGGGCAGGGGTGGGGATTAAACCCAGGATTCCTGGCTTCTGTCCAATGACAACTCTTTTGTCTCTTTTCCAATGCTCTAACCCTTCTTTGAAAATGAAACGTTAGTCATAAGTGCAACTCCACACAACAATAATTGCAGTATGGCAGGTCTACCCAGTGCATACGAATACACAGCGAGCAAGTTAATTAGTTCTCTTTATACTTCACACAAAAGTGCATCTTTACACAAGAGATTGCTATGAGAACAGAACTCTGTACAGTGACATCCTGATGCCACCAAGCTGCATGTGGGTGGTCGCATCAACACCTCTCGAAAACCTTGTACAAGTTTGGCAAGCTAGCCACCTGAAGAACACACGAGTTCTCTGCGAACTCCTCGGGCAACCTCAAACTCGACCTGATGGCCGGGAAGACAACATGTTCCGTCACCCACTTCCAATGTCCCTCGCGAACTTCTTGTTCCGTGCCCTCGTCGCAGCGTGGGCCAGCATAGAACCTTGCTGTCTCCCTGCAGAAGGTGTCAAAGCACTCCTTCTCTGAATCCCATTCGACTTCCGTCGCAAGGCGAAGAACATACATAGGTAACCCCTCTACAGGAGGGGTGTGACCATCCAGAAGAACCGGTATGGATAGGATCTCCCCGGACGCTCCAATCTCCATCGAAAAGTAGTCGTCCAGCATCTCAGACTTGGATGTGAGGAAGGTCTCCATGTATCGTGCCATTTCCTCCTTGGGTCCGTCTGCTTCTGTCCAGCCACATTCCTCCATGTCGAGTGCGTGCATTGCGAGGTCGTAGGTGGGGGCTGGCTCAGACAACTTGAACGCCGAAAAGTTCCCGAAGTTCTTCAGCATGATCTGGTAGAAGAGCTCTTCAGTGACCTTCCGTGTGTTGACCAGGTAGAGCTCTGTCTGGTGCTGGACCAGGGAGAAGCGCTGGTTGACACAGCCTACAAAGGTGTGGTTGCGGAACAGGTCATGCAGTCCCTGGTGACTCTTGGCCATGACCTGGTTCCATAGTGCCTGCACGCTCTGCAGCTTGATGCGTGGCTGTTCTTCCGCAACCTTTGACTGGCTGCTAGTGGCGTTCTCTGGAGTGCCCAATGCAGAAGTGGAGGGCCTGGCGGTTGTGAGGAAGGTGTCCAACTTCTGGAGGTGGGAGTCGGTGCGCACAAGATGGCGCTCGTCCACAACCGGTGCCGATACGTCTGCTTTCTTGGCGGCGACAGATGCCTTGCTGGTAACGTTGATCTGCGGCAGACGGCTCTGCGTGAGGTACGTCCTGGACGAATTGCACGCAAGCAGGGCACCGTCTACGGCTTTCTGGACGGCTTCGAGGATCAGGTCCTCATGCAGAAAGTGGACTTCTTTCTTGGTCGGATGCACGTTGACGTCCACGTTGGCCGGGTGGATCTCCAGCGACAGGTAGAGCCAGGGGTGCGCGTTTTTCGGCAGGTATGAAGCGTAGATGGACTCTATGGCCTTCCGGAGCGAACTGCTCTCGACGAGGCGGTGATTGATGAACAAAAGTAGAGTGCACTTTTTGTACGAACAGTTGGCGTTCGACACGAATCCCTTGAGTCGGAACTTGAGGTCCGGGTTGTCGCACTCGACCGGCAGGAGGTCCCGACTGACCGTCTTGCCGTAGATCGTAGCGATGCTCTGCAGCGTGTCGTCGTCCACCGTAGTCCGCACGTCCGTCGCCGACTCTTCAGCTTTCTTGATCGAGAACCCGACGCCCGCGTTGTGGACGGCGTACCGACTCACAACGTCCACAAGGCGGCCATACTCCTCCGCGGGGCTCTTGAAGGCGTTCTTGCGAGTCGGAACGTTGTAGAACAGGTCTTCGACGACGATCTGCGTGCCCTGGTTTCCGGCGCACGGCTTGGGCGGTCCGGTGGGCTTGCCGCTGCGGTACGACACCTTGAAAGCACACTGGGAATCTGCAGTCTTCGTGGTTATGGTGACGTGCGCGACGTAGCTGATGCTTGCGAGCGCTTCGCCCCTGAACCCGTACGTCGAGATGGTGGCCAAGTCTTCGAATTTGACCAGCTTGCTCGTAGTGAAGCGTTCGCAAACGATGTCTAGGTCTTCCTTGCGGATGCCGCAACCATTGTCTTGTATCTGGAGCAGTTTGAGACCGCCGGCCTTCGCCACGACCTGGATGTTAGTAGCTCGTGCGTCGATGCTGTTCTCCAGCATCTCTTTCAGCGCGTTCGCCGGTCGTTGTATGACCTCACCTGCGGCTATTCGGTTCGTGACGGTCTCGTCCAAGCGCCGAATCTTCGCTGGCTCCACCGTCGCAGCCATCGCGGGGTTGAAACAACTTCAGGAAAGACACGTACTCGCGTTATAAAAGCAAACGGGTACCCAAGTTCCCGCCGCCACTATTTTCCCGCGCACTTTGGGTTTGTTTTGGAATTTTCCAGAGCCCGTTCGACTTGTACCACTTGTACCCGCATACCACACATACGTAGTTTTTCGAGTTGAGAGTCAGCGACCCTCGTAACCTTTATAACCCTTCGTAACTCATTGTTTGCTTTAAAACCTAATAAAAAGTATCATACTGTTCCATATATTTTGAACATTGAAAGATAATTGAATACACACTCATAGCATCTTCGATCAACTCGCACCGGAATCGCCCTGAAACCGGCACAGTGCACAGCGCTCCTCGGTCGTGCAGCGCGATGTCGGTGCAACATCGAGGACAAACGACAAACTGCGCCGCGGGCACCGCGCCAGTGCACCGCGGCGAGCTCCACCTTGCGTCACTTCGCGTTTTGTTCGTTTATTTTGCGTAGGTCAGCGCTCGGTGCCCGTCTGCTGTCAATTTCTTCTATTTTTTTACTCGCGGATTTGACCGTCCCACAGAAATAAACATCGTGGACGTGATTGTCGATGGGGTCACGAAGGGGGTGACAATTCCACATGTATATGTTGGCCATCATTATTAGTTCAAGAAAACGAAACACCAGATAATAGCCGTACCTCGCTGTCATCAAAACGCCTCGCGCCGGTTTCCACGAAGTTCGTGCTTTTCGGGCGCTCCTTGCCACCGCAGCTATCACCAGTAATCGCGGCGATGGTGAGAAGCTCGTCGTCTCGCCGTCAGAAGACCCGAGGAAATCATCTAGCGCAGCTGCGAGGCGTGTTCGTTTTTGCAAGATCGCCATCTCGATAGTCTGCGCGTCTGCTACTCCCGCCATCTTCTCGATTCCCGCTCCTGGCCGCAATGCCTGATGGGACTGCCCCCCCGGCGCACCGCCGATTTTCTTGGTGCGCGTTGGGGCAACGAAAAGCCGCACCGGGAGGGTGCGCTTCGTTGATCGAGGACGTACGGTGCGCACCGGTGCACTTGATCGAAGATGAAGGGGCGCACCTCCGTGCCCCGGTGCGCACCGGTGCGGATGATCGAGGATGCTTTCATAGCATCTTCGATCAACTCGCACCGGAATCGCCCTGAAACCGGCACAGTGCACAGCGCTCCTCGGTCGTGCAGCGCAATGTCGGTGCAACATCGAGGACAAACTGCGCCGCGCCGGTGCACCGCGGCGAGCTCCACCTTGCGTCACTTCGCGTTTTGTTCGTTTTTTCTTGCGTAGGTCAGCGCACGGTGCCCGTCTGCTGTCAATTTCTTCTATTTTTTACTCGCGGATTTGACGGTCCCACAGAAATAAACATCGTGGACGTGATTGTCGATGGGGTCACGAAGCGGGTGACAATTCCACATGTATATGTTGGCCATCATTATTGGTTCAAGAAAACGAAACGCCAGATAATAGCCGTACCTCGCTGTCATCGAAACGCCTCGCGCCGCTTTCCACGAGGTTCGTGCTTTTCGGGCGCTCCTTGCCACTGCAGCAATCGCCAGTAATCGCGGCGATGGTGAGAAGCTCGTCGTCTCGCCGTCAGAAGACCCGAGGAAATCATCTAGCGCAGCTGCGAGGCGTGCTCATTTTTGCAAGATCGCCATCTCGATAGTCTGCGCGTCTGCTACTCCCGCCATCTTCTCGATTCCCGCTCCTGGCCGCAATGCCTGATGGGACTGCCCCCCGGCGCACCGCCGATTTTCTTGGTGCGCGTTGGGGCAACGAAAAGCCGCACCGGGAGGGTGCGCTTCGTTGATCGAGGACGTCCGGTGCGCACCGGTGCACTTGATCGAAGATGAAGGGGCGCACCTCAGTGCCCCGGTGCGCACCGGTGCGGATGATCGAGGATGCTATCAGTTTTGTTCGTTTTCAACTCACGTGATACGAACACGTGGTTTGGGAAACATGGCGGCCGCCATGTGAAAATAGGTTGTGAAAATACTCCGCTGGGGACAGCGGGGACTCGCTACGTAGTTCTAATTTTCCGCAGTTCACGGTAATACCTCTTCATATGGCCGTTAGACGACGAATCAAAGCGAAGTTCCGACACACCTGTCACGTTTAAAACGCTGATTCTTGTGTCGCCGTGTAGAGAGGTCCATCTGCGATCACGATGCCTGAGCTGTGCCCAAGCGGATTCGTCGAGGACATCGAAGACGTCGTCAAACCGGGATCGGATCCCGTTTCGGTTCCGACACGAAACCTTGTCGTTCCACGGATCAAGAGAAGTAACAAGGATATCGCAAAAGCTACAGGGGACAGTTTCCTGCCGGGTAAAGCTCAATGTCTCCCTTTCTCTGGGTTACTTTCTTGCCGTTGCTCGCGTAGTATACATCAGCTGTGTTCGTTGACACTTTCTTGAACTTGGAGTCATGTAATGTTTCACGGAATCAAATGAGTAGAGTATATACCTCACCGAATTGAGGCTGCTAATTTAATGTTTGCTAGGGCAGGTGGTTACTTCAAATTAAATCATCTTAAGTAGCAGCCGTGTTGGAAACCATTTGCTCAGTGTAATGGGAATTTAGAAGCTACATCCTCGAGTTTTCAATGATTTTCTGACTTACGCTGGTAACAACAGAAAATGATGACGGCAAAAAATTTTAATTATTATGTTTGTTAGTGAAAAACAGGATTGAATGAAATATCCATCCAGAAGTAATACCTAAAAGTGTCACACTACGACCAGTGCAGTCTGCTTCCGATGCAGGTACACACAAGATCTACGTCAAGACGTGGGGCTGTGCCCACAACAGCTCGGACAGCGAGTACATGGCGGGCCAGTTGGCAGCAAAGGGCTACTCCATCGTCGGTGAGTTACAACCCACTGCCAACATCCGGTCGCTTGCCAAACATTTTCTTCCTTTAGATGGCAGCGGGGATGGCGGCCCCAGCGTTGTAGTAGGGATTTGCTGAAATAGGACATGGATGTAGCAATAAAAATCTGTGGCTTTGGAGGAGCAAGGTGTACATTCTCTTGCTAAAACTTTGATATACATTCAGTCTATCACTGTTGATTTTGCTCTCAAAGTTTTCATCTAACGACAGGGTAAAAGCTTCTCGAGAAATTTTCTCACAAGATACAGGTGGAAGCGTGCTGGTGCTTTGTCAACACGTTACCACCTGATGCTGGACCTTTTTCGCAGATGTTTGCCGCATCTATCGAGAAGCATTTCTGATGGCCTTTAAAAGACTTTAATTAACTACAGCCCAGGCTCATTATAACAGACCTGGTTACAACAGACATTTGGATATAACATACAGATTTATGAAGTTTGATTGGTTTTCCTCTATGCACCATTGACTCAACCTCATATCTGAATACAACATACTCTTTTTACAACAGACCAAAATCTTAGTAAAAATCAAGATCTGTTATAACGAGCTTAGACTGTATTACGCCTAGTATTGTTGTTGCCTACGAAGACAGAACGAATTTGTGGTGTCTTACAATTAAACCACCGAACCACTCCTGGCTCCACAATTACTGACTGTTGGTACAGTCCTGCTAGCAGGATAAAAAAAAATGGCGGACACCCGCATCCGCTACAACTATGCGTGCGCGTAGGCAGCACCGGAAAGGCCCCATTTCCAACAACAGTGGTCCGGTATGTAAACTTTCACCTAGTGTCTTTCGCAGCCACAACCTTAGTGCGCTCTACGAGCAGCAAGTGGAGACGTAAAATCCAAAGCGCATTCCGTTTTCCAGAGGACGCGTCGAGTGCAGACCTGTGGTTGCTCAACAGTTGTACGGTGAAGAACCCGGCGGAAGACCACTTCAGGGGCGCCATCGACTCTGGGCTGCGGCAGGGAAAGAAGGTGGGCCGTCCTTAGACAGGTGCAAATCTAGGGTTCTGGGATGCAGTAGGCACGCCAGTCACCTTCAACAAAAAGTTTACTAATTAAGTGGATCGATAAGTTGAGGAAACACTTACCCGGTCACTTAGGTCATCAATTAACGTATGAATTTAATCCGTAAGTTCTCTTTTGCTTAAGCAACAATAGCTTCCTTAATTATTTATAAGTAATAAACAAATTGTCTTATTAGTTAATTTATTAATTTATAATTAACGGTAGAAAGAATTAGAGGACAGTTTCATGTTTGAACTTCATGAGAACTAATTTGTTTTGCATAAATTCCGTTCGCTGCTCCAGTTTCATATATAAATGTCCCCAAAAAGTGGAACACATAATTTCCACGCTAAATAGAGCTGAGAAATTTAATTTGTATGTGATGTTCTTACAAATTTTTAATGGAAATAACAGATGAAAATGTAATGAGCAGAAAAATAATTCCACTTGTGTAGTTCTGAAGAGTAAACAGTGTTTCTGTTTTTTTTTAAACCATTGTTTTGTTTAGAGGGTGGAGACGCCTTTTTAGAAATGGGCATTGTGTCGTAACGTCAACCCGTAGGAAAAATATGACGTCAACGACCACTTGGACTTTGTTTCTGAATTAGTTTCATTCGCGTTTCCACTGTGGCACCCGTATGACCAAGGGATGGGTGGGGGGAGGGGCGGGCAACAGTGGCGGCGCCTTGTCAAGCTGCTTCGTGCAAGAAAGTCGGCGGTGAAATCTTTGTCGCACGACCTAAACACCAATTTAGTTTCCCCGCTACATTTAGAGGTGAAATGGACACCACATGACCTATGTTCCCAGTCTCCCCACTCAGTGTACCGGGAAAACCAATCAAAATAAAGGTTCTCCATTACTCCCCGAAATGACAGTTTAATGTCTTCTAAATAATTTTAGGCAATCGCACCTTAAAAATTTTCATTTCACGCACCATAGGACTTAGGGAGACAAACGTCGTAGCCAATTTAATATTATTATCGTTACTATTGTTGTTATCATTACAAGTCCACCCGTTTCCTCTCTCCCGCAAAGGTGGTGGCGGCCGGCTGCGTGTCGCAGGCCACTCCCAACGTGGAGTACCTGAAGGGGCTGAGCGTGGTGGGCGTCCAGCAGACAGACAGGGTCGTGGAGGTCGTCGAGGAGACCCTCAAGGGTGAGATCCCGCCTCTTCCGAGAGACCGCCCATCGGTGGTCGTCGTTGGGGATGGCTCGGAATGCTGCCACTTTTGAGTGCCTTAGCGTCGCTCTGCAGCCAACAAGCTTGTGGCGCTGGCTGACAAGAGCGGCGAGGAACGAGGCAGGAAGTGTGACCGTTAAGCCACGCCCTGCGTTTCTTCGGCTGTCAGTGACTGCAAAGTCGGATATTTCGAGCCAAAATCCTGGCGTCGTCCAACGCGTGCACTCGAAATTCGGCCCAAGAGAATTCTCTTTTGTCATTCTTTAATTGGAACAACATTGAGATTTGCACGAAACGTGCCGGCGACGTGTCCCTCCGAATTGCTCGGCACGACGCGGTAATTTCGGTCGCCCCGAGGTGGAGATCTGCAGTGCCGTGTTTGTTTTGCCAGTGGAGTTCAAAGAGATTCGATCAAGGTTGAAGGCACGTCAACCGGCCACCACATCGAGCACGGTTACGCTAGGCACGTCACCGCCTCCGTTCGGCTATTTCCTCTTCGGTCCACTCCCTCCTCTTAACAAGGCACTGGGAAGAATACGGCGCATCTAACAAACGCTTTGTTCCGTGCTTGCGCTTGGTGGGGAAGGGTGAACGATGCACATACCTCACTTTTCTGTGCACGCGTTTCAATGTAAAGACCGGGCTCTTAAAGTGGTAGCTTTATAGGCCCAACCACACTTAAGGTCATTTCCTCAAGGTTGCATAATCAAGGTCACTTAATGCCTGTGGCTGAAGTGCAAGGTCGTGTAATCAAGGTTGCGTAGGCTCTGTTCTTGTAAATGCCGGTCGCGTAAGTTCGTAAGCGCTGGTAGCTGAAGATGACGTGACCTGGCGTGCTAGAGGTCGTCCTAGAGGTCGTTTTCAACATCGTCTTCGAGGTCCTCCTTGAGGTGGTCCTTCACATCGTCCTAGAGGTCGTCCTAGTCGCCGTCTGCGAGGTGTGTACATCCTATTACAACCATCTCATCACCATACCATTTCCTTAATCATTTTCATTAATGACGTTCTTGTAAAGCTATTGCATTACAAGAACGTCATTTCCTTAATCGTTTTCATTAGTGACGTTCTTGTAAAGCTACCGCATTTCATCGCATTTGGCCTAATGAATGTGCGTGTAATTGTTTGGGGGGTTGACTTAAAAGTGCGCTGCCACATTTAATAACCTAACTCACTAATTGTGTATTCTGTGTTGTAACTCGCACCAGGCAACTCCGTGAGACTCCTGGGCTCCAAGAAGGATGGGCGGCGGAAAGCGGGAGGGGCGGCCCTTACCCTGCCCAAGATACGACGCAACCCGCTCGTCGAAATTATTGCCATCAACACCGGGTAAGCTGATTGTGCTTTGGCAGGTGTTTGCTGATTTGTTTATTTTGTACCGATGAGCCCATGGTCACCGACGATACGAAAATGGCAGGACATCTCTTTCAAATGCCCGGCCTCGGCGATGCTTTGGCTGTGCACGTGCGCTCGATACTCGCCAGGTACCGAAACATTACCGAAGCTAGGAAGCTTCTGCTGGAGCGGGACAACCGGGACCTCCCTGCTGCTCTCGTCCCGCCGGTGACTATGGCCGCAATGAACCCGGCTACGGTGAACCATCTGCTATGCAGAACGAAAGTTGGTCTGTTTCTTTTGCAAAGGGTTGTGTTGACACCAGAATGCCGAGTTCTGATCGGCTCTGATTGGAGGATAGTGGGAAGACCTTAAAGCAAGCTGCCTCAAGGTCTACCCACTCTCCTTCGATTAGAACCAATCAGAGCTCGGCGTTCTGACGTCACCACAACTCCTGCAAAATAAGCGGACGACTTGCTCTCCGCATATAGAACACTTTTTTGAAATTGTGCTGAATTGTGCTGGAGATTTAACAGCAACGTACCGGGAAGTATTGCTGCATTGCACAAAGCTAATCCATCTATTGTGCTGGATGGATCCAACTTTGCGAGCCAGTCGAGCCTGTTGGATATCGACTTTCTCTCGGTTCCCTTAGTGCGGTTGCACTCATGCAGTCGCGAGAATATCAACTTTCTGAGCTTTTATTTTGGGCCGTTTAGCGACTGTTGCGGGCAGAAAGCTTTGTTTTTTTTAAAACAATTAATCACACGGGAAAAAGAAAAAAGCGTCTCAGTCAGACACAGTTGAGATAAAACACAAAAGAAAATCAGTTGCTGCTTCACGCATAAGTGTTTAAAAAGTTGGCAGCTGGTTTGCAATGGAAGCAAAAAAAGTTTCACAAATCCAACAGGCTCGTATGTCTTCATATTTAATTTATCTTCTATTTCTAGTTATGCAATAGATAGAAGTCCTTTGTTTTTATGTTTGAATTTCACTGCATTGTTGTACTCATTTTCCGGCATACTATCAGGATTGTATTGTAGTGGACGAAATGAAAGAAAGCCCTGCAATATTATTTTTTTTTATAAACTGGATATGATCATGATATTCACATGCTCCAATGATAAAGGCTTGAGTATGCTTGCTCAGGTCTTCTTTCTTCAGCTTCTACCGTATTTACTCGCACAATGAACGCACTCGCGTAATGAGCGCACCCCCCAAGTCGGCTCTCAAAATTTTGACATGTTTTTTCACTCGCGTAATAAACGCGCCCCCAACTGGGATGTCAAAATTTTGACCCCCTCCCCCCACGCGCGCGAAATGAACGCAGTTTTCCATCCTGGTGGAGCGAGGTCGCGAATGCATGGGCAGCGTGGGCGAACAAAACACCTTGCAAAAGGCGTTAAAAAAATTCGAAAAGATCCAACGGAAGCAAGAAAAAAAAACATAGAGAGGAGCTTTTTTTTTTTTTTTTTTTTGCGCAGCGCAGTTTGGACTGCGCTGCGCAAAGTTAGGGGGGGGGGGCGGAATGAACGCCCCCCCTAACTTTGCATCGATTTTTCGGAAAAAAAGTGCGTTCATTCTGCGAGTAAATACGGTATGTATTAGGTCAGTGGTTCTCATCCATCTATGTTTCGCGGACCCCTTGTGGTTCGGCGGAAATGATGGAGGACCCCGTTTGTGGTAAAGGGAGGGGAAAGGTATATGTTAAATATAGTAATGATTTAATAAATGGGTATAACTAAGGGCTGGTGTGAAGTAGACTTCTATTATTGACATTCACACGAGAAAACGCGCCCGAAAACTCAAAAATTTCTCCTTGATTAGAAAAAATACAACTTTTATTGACGGCCTTCATTGATGAGGCACGGCTTTGCGGACCCATAAAATGCCTTCGCGGACCCCAAAGGGTCCGCAGACCCCCATTTGAGAAACACTGTATTAGGTCATGCCAACTTCTAAGGATGCTGCACTAATTCTTTCTGTGCCTGCGCTCCTTTCCTCAAGATGTCTGAACCACTGCACCTACTGCAAGACGAAGCATGCTCGCGGGGATTTGGGCAGCTACTCCATCGAAGAACTTGTGGCTAGAGCGAAGCAGGCATTCCAAGGTGAGCTGTTACGAGAAGCTGCGTGTTTTCAAAATTACCCGGAGACATGAATGCCTCCTAAAATAAAATCTATGAGAAAGTCATTGCCCGATAATATTGCTCTTGTTTCTTCGAGGCTTCGAGCTAACACGCGTAAAAGGGTACAACGCACATCGGAAAGCTTAGCCGGCACATAACTTGCATATTTGTCTCGAACAATCTGCTTGTTTGTCACAGTTTCGTTTTTACGTTCTCGATTTGTTAACAGAAAGACATCTTGCATAATGTTGTCGGTGCAGTAGAACTGTTTGAGAAACGATTTGTGCTTTGTTTATGAACAGGGCCCGCACACACAGTGTTTTACAGGGCACGCGAACGACAAGTCGTAACCTTTGGACACAAGCCTCGCGAATGATGCGGCGTTGAGTGCCCGCGCCGAAAAGTATGGGCCGTTTCGGGGCACGTGCGAAGTCGTGCTTGGCGGCAAAGCATGAATATCGTTCTCGTTTTGGGGCTCTACTTCCACGGCGATTCGCCGGGCTCCTTTCACAAGCCGCAGCGGGGGTCGGCTAGACCAGTGTGGTGCGAGGAAGCTTTGTGCGCAGACCTCTTTTATTCTTAGAGTGAAGGTGGCCTTAGACATTGCCTCACATAGCATTTCAGACAGAAGGACCTACTATAGCTCACACTCTAGCGGGAGTGGAACGCAAGGTTTGCGTCTTTTGCAGTCTGGCGCTTCAGCTTTGACCCTGTTCGCTTCTCTCTGTTTCCTTTGAATTGTGTACGTCTTTTCTTCACCATTGCCCCCGGCACACTGTCATGGTGTGTGCGAGCGCAATTGCTCGGCAGTTTCTAAGCAAGGCCACATTGTGTTGGATTTTTCGACGTCGTCTTCCAAAGTGCGGTGCGGGACACCAATTGGAAATGAGTGGGGTATTAGTGCTTGACTGGGAGTTGGGTCCAACCACTGAATTCCAGCCAAACTAGGGTGACCACCCGTCCCGCGACTCGCGGGACTGTCCCGCATTGAGGGCTCCTGTCCCGCGTCCCGCGCGAAATTCCAAAATCTTCGAACTTCCCCACATTGCAATTCGCACACTGTCGTAAAGTTTACTCCGCAACTCATGGTGCTGCCGAATGATGGGGCACGGGGAAGCACGGAGGTCGCTGGTAATTGTGTGAATTGAAATGGTACGCAATTTTCTGTCCAAGCATTACGGGAAGCGACCATCGTTCTTGCAGAAGATCCGACGCGCATGTGCCGTTGTGCCTGTCCCTTTGGGAACAAAATAGTGCAAGACAAATTGCTCGCCAAAAGTTTAAATATAAAAGATTGTAATTATTTTCAAATTGCTGTGTCAATGCAAAAGAGTTTTTGTTTATTTTAGAGTGCAGCTCTTAGGCGCCCGTTTCCGGCTTGAGCGGCGTCGGCGTCGCCGTCAGCGTAACCGCCCGTAACCCTCGTGAGGGTTACGAGGGTTACTCTCACGAGGGTTACGGGGTTACTCCCGCGGGGGTTACGAGGGTAACCCTCGTGATCCTCGTGAGGGTAGCAACCCTTGTAACCCTCACGAGGGTTACGAGCGTTACTCTCACGAGAGTTACGAGGGTTACCCTCACGAGGGTTATAAGAGTTACCCTCACGAGGGTCGCGAGGGTTATGGGTTACCCTCACGAGGGTCACCCTCACAAGGGTTACTAGGGTTATGAGAGTAACCCTCGTAACCCTCACAAGGGTTACGAGGGTTATGAGAGTTACCCTCACGAGGGTTACCCTCACAAGGGTTACTAGGGTTATGAGAGTTCCCCTTTACAAGGGTCACGAGGGTTACCCTCAAGAGGGTCACGTGACCCCCTGATGTCATGTGACCCCCCCGCCGAGGTCACGTGACCTCAGAGAGTCACCTATCCCTCAGTACCCTACCATCCTATCCCTCAGTATTCTTCCATCCTTCTCCTCAAGAGCTGTGCTCTAATCCGGCGTTACAGGGAGTTGTAAATGGCTTTCATTTATTTATTTTTATGTGAAGACGGCTACACTCGCAACTATCAAAAAAGAACAAAATGTTAAAAATTTGTGTAGGACCATGTTGATAAAAGTAAGCGTTGGCAAGAAACAATCACCCAAAAAAGATTACTGTTTCTTATTTCCATTTGATGCAGTGAGTTTTGATACAGTTGATTTTTCTGTTTTCAACTTCGACACATTTAATAACATGTTTGACATTAAAAAAAAATATATATATATCACTGGGAGTGGAAATTATTTGGGCTTAATTGCTGCAATACAATTAGCAGGTGTGTAAACAGTACACAATAGTAAATGTGTTAACAGAGCCTCGGTTCGTTGTGTGCGTGTTAATAAACTTCCTTTACCCCCCCCCCCCCCCCCCTGCCTTCTCCGCATGTCCCGCATTTCGCTAGCGGGAAGGTGGTCACCCTAAGCCAAACAGTGTCACAGCACTCGTGTCCAACCAATTTTATGAATTTATTTCAAGATACTGCCAATCTCTGTTGCGATTTTTGCAGGTAATATTGGGGAAAAGAAAAAAACAAAAACACTATGAGGCAAATATGAATAGAACGAAGAGCAAAAATATTCCTTCTTTCTCGAAGCAGGAATCACATATCCATTCGAAAGTCTACAAAGTAGTTGGTTTTCAACTGCACAAATATGCAATTCAATGCTTGCGTAACTATAGTCGGTGACAGGTCAAGAATGGGGTGGAAGCTTCTCCCACCCCTTTCCACTTCAGCCAAGCGAATGGTGGAGAGGAGGTCACCTCCTCTCCAGTGTTCGTTCCACTAAAGTAGAAGAGGTGGGAGGAGCTTCCACTTCGTTCTTGACCTGTCACCGACTATAGGAAGGTGCCTGTCTAGAACATTCCAGTCTCTTACAGCTGGAAGGAAAAAATGAGTACCTAAAACTTATTATTGACGGAACACTCGGCACGACGCTCTTCCGTTACAGGAAGCGAGCGAGTGTTAGAGACGACGGAAAGACAGAGTGGTTTGCCCAAACCGGCCATCTCGGTGGCCCACTCCGCGTCGTCAATGCAAGCACATCGGGGCCCGTTCCCACACTCAAGTTTGTTCGGGACTGTGCGCCCTCAATAGCTCTCGTACAACGAGGCAACGCACTGGCACGCCGGCATTGTCTATGGGGTGACCCTGGAACTGCATTTCACTAAAGCAAAGGTTTTGCGGCATTGGCGAGATAAAATGTACATACTATCTATGAGAAACCGTCGTTTATAACATTGCCAGAAGTTTCTAAACAAAATAAGAAAAATGTGCAAAAAAAAAAAAAAAAGAAGGAAATAATTGGAAATTGTATGTTCCATGTCTACCCAATAGGTGGCGCCAGTATGGTCTCTCGTCGCGAGAAATTTTAAGAGGTTTTCAGGCACACGTTCGTGAGCGGTCGCAGGTGCGTCGACCAGCTTTTACAGGAAGTGACAAGGAACGAGCTAGAACCACTAAACAGACTACGCTTCAGAGTAACAATGCTGCAGCCATCTTAATGGTTGAAGTCATTGTAGCCAGTCATCTGGAGCTTTATCTGTATTCCCAGGAAACACTTCTCCATCCCCAAAAATCGCTAAAAACAGTCCGTGACGGAGCAAAACGACATCGCCCGAGCTTCCGGACGCCGTACCCGAAGCTTAGGAAGTCACGTTTTTTAATCACAATGACCGCTAATCGCGCCTGCTCTGCGCTGAAATGACGGCACCCCGAAGAAAATCCGGGAACGGAGTGTGGATGCTTTACGCTTGGCTTGTTTGGTGGATCTAGAGCCAGCCATTCAACGGATTCAAAGATTTTCCGTCCGCTTTCGTCGTCGCAGAGGGTGTCCGTGAGATCTGGCTGACCTCGGAGGACACGGGCGCCTATGGCCGTGACATTGGGGTGACCTTGCCCGACCTGCTGCGAGAGATGGTGGCAGTGGTTCCCGAGGGCTGCATGCTGCGCCTTGGGATGACCAACCCGCCCTACATTCTGGACTACCTCGAGGTGGGACCTCTCTTGCAGCCATTCCCCCGCTTTGACCTCCCGGCCCGATGCGCGTGCTACGTCTTGCGCTACATCGCTCGACGTTTGCAAGTTCGGGTACGGTGGAACGTCCCTATCGGAAGGCGAGCCTTTTTGGGGAAACATTTTACGGTGACGGCTGTTAGTGGGAACCTCCCCGGGGATTCGTGGCGACGTCGTCAGCTATGTCATCAGTCACATGATCGCTTTCAGCTGCCGCACCCAGCACTTGGTGTGCCCGCCGCCGCCGAGTTAATAAGAAATATCCATCAATTTAGCCAAATTTGAACCAGCGACCCATAGGTGATGGCAATCGTTTCTTCTAAAGTCAACCACTCTACCAACTGAGCTATAGATGGGACAAATTCCAGTGAATTAAAGACGGTATACATTACGCTCCTGTCTACCCTCGATCGCGCTTCGTCATCTCACAAGACGAGCGTGCACGCTCAGCCGGAGCATGGCGAAAGGCAACGAGCACCCGCTGGAGGCCGGGTGCTAGAAAGAGACGCCGTTCCCTCCTTGACAGTGACCATAGAACTTGTTGGCTATAGTCGACACCCTGTTGTGCGGCGCACGAGCACGACCATCCGAGCAGACAATCTTGCTTGACGTACGACCAGACCTCGGAAAGTTTGTGGCGGGTCCGAAGAATGCGGCATTCTGTTACGGCACGCCGAGGAGACTCACCGCAGACGAATTGCAGATTGGGCACGAAAGTGGAACCGAAAGCGGAACCGAAAGCGGAAACGAAAGTGGCACGAAAATCCTTGGAATAGTAGTGCAGTCCACTTATAACAATAGCACATATAACGATATACCGCTTATAACAATCAGTTTATAGAGTTTCTAGACTAGAAACAATCAATTTGTAGTCCAGATACAACAATAATCGGTTATAACGATTGCATTTTCGGGTTTTCTCATTATCGTTATAAGTGGATTGCACTGTAGTAGTAGTGCTCAGAAGGCAGCGCAGAAACAACAATGGTACCACAACGATGGCGAATCACACAAGCACCAAACCGCTGTCGCCGCGACGCGCGTTATGCGATGGCATAAATGCACTTGGAATTGTTTGTTGTTGCGGCACCTCGAGTGCCTGCGCTGGTATTACGAGCATACTTTTGGCTTCGCTTCGCTATGTCCGTGTCCTTGGTATCGAGATGTCTTGCTCTGGACAAAAGTAAGGTTTCTCATTTGCATCCTTGCTTTTAAAAAAGGAAAGGTTTCCCGCATGCTGTTTCAAACTCTGAAGCAATCTGTTTTGTGCTTGGTTCGATAGCGCAAAATCAAAAAGTCAAATTGGACGTTTAGTGATTTATACAGCGCAATGTCGATCTGCGAGGATGGGGCGACACTGGTTTACACTGTAGATGAGCAATTTTGCCAGTGCAGTACGACTGCTAACCTGGGGTCTTTAACATGCTCACGCAGTAGTGATACACGACCGCACGCCGGTACGATGCTCATCCAGATTGAAATGGGCAGGGGTGGGGCTCGAGCCCAGGATCCCTGGGTTGTGCAACGCGAGCTTTCGCTCCATGCGCGTCGAGCTGGGTGTACGCTTTAGCCCACTCACTTTCCTCTACAATTTCTTGAAATTTCTGTGAAAAAAAATACCTACTGCGATTTTGTTTAGTGCTGTACAGACAACCGAAATCACCGAACCTCATTTGTTTTCTACCATGCTTACCCGTCTGGAGATGAGGGTGGATTGTCAAGAAAGAAAAGTGCTGAGCGAGAGAATTGTTAAGAGAGAAAAATGTCGGGAGAAAATTGTTAAGACGCCACTAGACAACAGGGAACACTGTTCTGCGTTTTCTCGTTTGCCGTACGCTTCACCACTTTCCTTGGTGCAATCATTCTTTAATAAGTGAGGTGTTTTCTTTAGATGTTGGTACTGTCTGTGCAGTGCCGGCTACTCCATGTTGGTGCAATCCTTCCCTCACCTTTTGCCTTCCCCTCTGCAGGACATGGCAGAAATCCTGTCCCACCCGCGAGTCTATTCCTTCTTGCACGTGCCTGTCCAGTCCGGTAGTGACCCCGTCCTGGCGGAGATGAAGAGGGAGTACACTGCGGCGCAGTTCCGCATCGTCGTCGATTTCCTCAGAAAGGCGTAAGTCCCCGTTTCGCGGACTTGTTTGTGGAACGTGGACGCTTAAACTGAAGCGGAAGTTGCCTCGGCAGCTGCGTCCGCTTCAGTCTAAGCGTCACCGTCACATTCTTCAGATAAACATGCTCACTGGTCTGGAAGTTTTGGCTGTTTCCACCCTAGTAACATTAGTGACCACAAGCGACACTGATCCGGGCAGTGGTAAAAAAAAAAAGTTGTGAACAAAAAAATTACAAGCTTACAAAAAACAATTAAAAACATTTTGATAATTTTTTTTTTCTTTTTTTTTTAAAGCAGTTGTGGCATTTGTTATGTGACATTTCAATCATTTCGAAATAATATGACACCTAGGTTTTGAGTTTAGATGGCATCTCCAATCATCCATCGTTTCGAAAGGTCCGTGTGGTCAATGAAAAAGTTGACGCATCCATCAACTTTCTCCGCATTGACTCCTTCAAACCATTGTCCATCTGCTATTTGATTGGATGACTCCTAACGTCGGCGCACGCCTCAAATACTTCAATTTGTCCTTACGAAATTACGAAAAAATTCCAGACCAGGTAATGTGGTCACCATTTGCAAAAAGCTGCGTTGCTTTGTTTTCTCCCGTCCTCCGGAGCACATGGGAGTGCACCTTCCAATTCAAGCTCCCAAGTTTAGCTGGCAGGGAATAAATGGTATTTTAAAAAGGTAGGGTCAAGTAAATTTGTGCAAAGGCACTTTTTTTTGCGAGTGTTGAAGGTCAAGCGTGCTTCAGTCAAAAACTGTGGTTAGTGTAACGCAAATATCCAAATAGTAGTTTCGAATAATACGCTGTTCGTTATTCGCTTTTGAGATGAACTGCGATATTCATACTTTTCTAATGGCGCATTTACACTTGCAAATTCGCGGGTGGAGCTGTGCAGGCAGAAAGTGGATTTCAAAGCTGGGTGGCGAAACTAAATCGTTGCTGGCGGGAAGTCTGGATCAGTTCAAGACTTGTATCCAGATTTTCCGCCAGCGATGAGTCAATTGAGCCGCTCGGCTCCAAAATTCACTCTCCACCTGTGCGGATCCGCTCATGAATCAGCAAGTGTAAGCGTGCCAGAAGTGTTGATCGCGGCGGGTTCGCCCCTTTGAGTGCACTTCTCACCAAGCACCTGTGCACTGCGGGGAAGAAATACCCGTCTGTGCACAGGTGCTTGATGAGAGGCGCACCCAAAAGGGCTAACCCAAATTCTTTCTTATTTTAAGGCGAAAGCCTTACTTCTCTCATAATGCGAAAAAGCGACGGTGTCGTGCCCGAAAGTTGGTCACAGCATTATGTCATCAAGCACATGCATCAGAAATAAAACACAAAGAAAAGCACAGCAACACAGATGCCTCGTCATGGAAGCTGTCGTGAAGCCGGCAGAGTTCGCCACACCTGCGCAGTGTGGGAGCGGGATGTCACTGCTGGAGCGCCATGTGAAAAAAGGAGACGTGACGCGCTGCTTGTAAGAATGTGCTGCATGTAGGAATGCTTTTGCATTCCTATACCTAAACAGTCTTAACTGTATCTGCCGAATTTTTTATTTCTACTTGGAGAGGGGAGGCAGGGAAAACATTAATTTGGGTGTTGCTTGACAAGCGGCCGCGATTATGCAACCCGCTGCGCTTATGCAAGCTTATATGTTTGGCAGTTCAATATTCGATTAAAAAATATTCAGCCAAAACCACTATTCATTTCAAACTCAAAATCTACTATTCGCATGTGATCACTGGAGGTCAAAAATGAAATTTTTCCATAAAGGGCTGTGCAATCTTTTTTTTTTTTTTCCTGCTAAGCAGTGTTTCTTTTGGGGGGGGGGTGATCGAACCAGGCTCGAGGGAAGGTAGTCGAGCCGAATCATCTGCCACCCCTCCCTCCTGTTTTTGTTAAGTTGAACAGCTGAGTGCCCCAGGGCCACATATCTGGAGTACCACAGCAATTTCCAGAATTGCATAGCTCTCCACGAGATAATCATTTCTTTTTCCATTAAGGTAGTTTTTTTGTTTTTTTTTATTTTTGCCAAATTAGTGTTACCATGTAGTTACACATAGTCAGTCACAGGGTGTCTACCGACCAGGAAAACCGGGAATTGTCAGGGAATTTTAAGACACCTGGAAAAGTCAGGGAATTGTCAGGGAAATTTCCAAAAAGATTGCCGAGTCAGGGAATTTATCCCATGCTCGCCCGCTTACGCTAGAAGCGGCAGGCACGGGCAGGCATAGCCACGAGCGCAGTCAAGTGCGACGTCGCGACCCCCTCCACGCGCTATGCTTCACACGAGAGCATGTGCGAAACTGGGGACTCGTCATTGTTTTAGTACACTCTAGAGCCACTAAATAATAGCGAGTTCGTTTTACGGCACTCGTGCCCACGCGTGCCCACTCGCAGCGTGGAACGGGTTCGTTTCGGCCGGCGCTCCACGAGTGGTTGCACTCTCCGAGTTTGTTTCAGTGCTGACATCCCACGCGTGCATGCACTCGCTGCACCGAGAAAATCGGGAGTGCGCCAAAATGCAATCCCGTCATGCCTCGCTCCGGCCGGGCCGGCGAGGAGCGGGAGCAGATGACGAGGGTTCGTCTGCTATGATGTGTCGCGGAACCGAACGGAAAAAGAGTATTTCTGAAAGAAATCGCGTCCCGCGGGCAACAAAATCAAACGCGAGCTTGAATTGTGAGCATCTGCTATTTCACGAAGGAAGCAATTGACAACCCGTGATTTATTTGCAGGTTTTAAATCGCTCTGTTGCCGTACAAACGCTGAAATATACCAGTGTGTAAAGAAATGCTCAGAACAAACGCAACAGCGGCCCCCGAGATGTCGATCACCATCCGTGTGCGGGTGAAAAATTTAACATTTGCCTAGTCGTATTTTTCAAAACTGCGACAAACGCGGTCTTGCCTTCCGCGTCAGCAACGGGTGTTTTTTGTCCGGTGGTAACAATAGTGCTTGTAGGGCTCCGGCAATGCGTCTAACCACTGCCACGGAAGCTCTTAGCCCCTCTGTGAGGACGTGGGTGGTGGCTTTTTATTGAAGAAGGAAGTTGGAAAGGCCGGGGATCATGTGGCGCTTGAACACTATAACAACTCATGGGTCTTTCCGTTCAGCGGCAGCGTCTGCCTCGCTGTTTCCGTTGATGTTCCCCATGTGTGAGAGCGCCAGAAAAATTCAGCTTGGAAAAGACAAAGTGGGATATACAATATGTCGCGGGTATCGCCCCCTAATTTCAAGACAGGTTACTAGCAAGCCTCTCTAACGTGCCATATCTGGTGATTGCTTTTGATGAGTCACTGAACAAAGTAACTCGGAGAACAAATTGATGTACTGATCAGGTGCTGGGACCAAACTCCCTGAAACAGTAAACCCGGGTCAATGCTGTATTCTAAACATCTTCTAAAGTTTTCTTTATCTAACCTAAAGAAAATATTTTACGTTGTGAATAGTGTCTATCTATCATATATTGTTTTGGTGTCGGTAGTTGTGGGTCAGGGAATTGAATAAATAGTCAGGGAAAACCTGGAAAAGTCAGGGAATTTGAAAAAAACTATTTGGTAGACACCCTGAATCATTAGGTGAATAGATTTTTATGGTCATTTCGATGCACACCATAGCGTGCTGCTAGCAATTGGGCCGTAGTCGTCCTTTCTTGTAGCCATAGCGTTACCAGGCCGACATCCCGTAATTTGTTTGGGTGATCTTAACGTTACTTGGTAACCATTTTTCCAACAGTGTCCCAGGCATCACGATAGCCACGGACATCATCTGCGGCTTCCCGACCGAAACGGAGGAGGTAAGCCTTCTCGCTCTCCCTCAAGGAGGAGGAGGGAGGGGGGCGGCAGGGGCAGGCAGGCAGACTTTGTTTCGTGTGGGCTCAAAATAATTTTTACAATTTTATAAGCGACCATTTTTCATAGAAGGGGCATAAGTTTGGTCTCGCCAATACTGCAAAGCCTTCAGTCTAGTTATACCGTGTGGATCGGATAGATGGAGCCACTTGTGTCCTCTCGTCGTAAGCGGCTGCGAGCGAGCTCGACGCGTTTGAGTATACGCTCAGACACAACTGTCTGGCTCGATTCTAGTGTACACCGTATACATTGCAAACTCTGACAAAACTGCGTTGCCACCCTTTCTGTCATCACTACGACCCCCAAAACCTGTTGGGGGGTATTTTTAGTGCAAAGCAAGAGAGTAGTTTTCCCTTTGCAGGACTTTGAGGAAACGATGGCGCTGGTTCGGGAGTACCGGTTTCCGTCGCTCTTCATCAACCAGTTCTACCCGAGACCCGGCACTCCGGCAGCCAAGATGAAACGGATACCCACCCACGTGGTGAGTGCTGCCAGTCGGCAAGGCGTGGCACATTGTTAACTCTCGCTTGAAAGAAATCTTTGGGGTTTCGTCACACTTGGCATGTTCCAGGAACTTGGGAGGGTACCTCCGGGAAACCCCGGAGTAGCAGCCAACGTTTTGTATTTTCTTTTTTTGTCGCGAGTACGAACGAAGAAGCTACGAGATCGAGTGCAACGCTTTGATCAGGACTGCCTTGCACGCGCACTTGTGAAATTAAGGCTTTGTTTTATACGGTACACTCGTGCTTGTAGCGTCGGCTTTGCTCACACTTATGGCGAAAAGTTGTATGAGGGACTTGGCCCAAAGGAACCTCTTTGGGGCCCCTTCTATGACTACATGGTACCTTTGGGCACTTAAGTTGATCTGGAAGACGGAAGAACCACAATACATTCTGGGTAGCGGTTGGCCAGTCGGGCTAGTTTGAAGGCCAAAACATTGTGTACTTGAAACGTCTACGAGACGTTCATGCCAGAAAAGCAGAACTAAATGTTTCGTGTGGCCTGCGCTTTACGCGCAATCTCGCAACAACTTTTTATTGAAGAGCCGATCTAAACTGCATATGTGTCACTCCCCATCGTGGCCAACTGGTTTCCAGAATGCAGTGTGTGCAGCGTTGCATGCTGGAGTTTTTTCAGAAGTGGTCTATCCGGGGACGCTAATTGCATGAACAGTCACGACGTCAAAATTGACAAAATTGAGCATATTTGCCCTTTAGCAGCCACTCTGAATTCGAAGCAGAACAAAACCAGAGCAGTGTTGACAACGCTCGCAAAAGATGCAGGTATCGGTGTTACACTTGCGTTCCTTGGTTTTTTGTTCTTTTTTTTTTCTGCTTGCACGTCGGTCGCACTGCGGCGTACGGATGGCCGAGCGCATTAGGGCATCGCAGCTTGGGGCACGTGGAGCGAAAGCTTCTTGCTGCATAACCCAGGGATCCTAGGTTTAACCTCTGCCCGTTTCAATCTGGGCAAGCATCGTACTGGCTTGCGGTTGTGTATACCACTACTGCGTTGTGCACGTTAAAGACCCCGGGCCAGCAGCGGTACCACACCAAACGAATTTCCCCCCTACAGCCGAGACACCGGACGACCATGGGGGGGCGACCAACTTCCCGACGTCTATATTTACGCGCGACAGTTATTATTGCTGGTCACACTGCCGACCTAGTACATACTGGACGCTTGCCACCGTACCACACTTTTTCAGCATGTACTCGATTCTCCGTGCCTCTGTTTCGAGAGCCACGTGGCGCAACCGCCGTCTGCTACGGGACCTTCGCATTTCTCCGCTCGCAGGTGAAGGAGAGGACAAAGAGACTCAGCGAGCTGTTTCAGTCGTACCAGACCTACGACGGCCGGGTCGGGGAGAGGCAGGCGGTGCTGGTCACGGAGGTGGCGCACGACAAGAAGCACCTGGTCGGGCACAACAAGTTCTACGAGCAGGTCAGGACTGCAGATCTCGAGCAAACACTTATTCATTGGCCGGACTGCACAAGCCAGTTTTGCCGTAGGATCAGACAGCTATGCTATAGTATATATTCACCCTTTTTGCAAAGCCCAGCAAATAGCCCTTAAACAATTTCGGTTTCGAACGAGACAAACAATTTTGCAGTATTTGTGAGATGAAACGTATGCACCATCTTTGGGAAATGGTTGCCTACGGCACCGCCGGACGTAATTCACTCTTACGGCGAAAGAATTACACGTGTCAAATTTAGAAATATGTGCGGACTGGTAGTGTGCCGGGGATTCCCAATAGACGGCACCACCGAGTTTGTGGCCAAACAACAAAAGGGCAAATATAGCACCGGCCAAGCGATTCAAGCCATCTAAATTAATAATGACAGTCAGTTTGGTACGGTAGGACCAAGATGCAAGAAACACTCGTGCCAGGGAGCTAGGCTGGACACCTTAATTTACCGCTTGACCTCACCGAGGTGGTGTTTTGTGAAAGAATAAAAGAGACCTCCCAGAATATTAATTTTGCAACAAAGCGCAAATATTGGACGGTTACATACTACTATTATTACCCGGAAGAGGCGGGCATATTTCCTCCTCTAACGCTACCACTACGGTTGCCGAAAAGGCAAGAATGGCAGGGAGGAGCTTCGGTTGTCACGAGCGCGTCTCGCTGTGTTTTGAGACGGGCGCGATGCCGAGCTTAGGTGTGCCTGCCACTTGGGTCGAGTCGGGTGTCCGCTGCCGACGGTCTGCGATCCGGAGCCGCTGACTAGGCCGTAGTTCAGAGTATGTACCCATGCTTTGGTCGTGTTAATGTTTAAAATTACGCTCGCCGCTCATCCGACACCTCGTCTTTTATTGCGGGAAACGCCCTTCTGTCCTTCGAAAGAGCGGAAAAACAACCTCGGGACGGAGCGAAACAGTGTCGCCTGAGCTTTCCCCCAACGCCGCGTCTAACGCTCGACAAGCCATATTTTCCAGTTGTAACTACCGCCAATCGCCCTCCCCCCCCCTCCCCCGCTCTACACCGAGCACCAAAATGGCGATGCCCGTCGGCAAATGGGGTACTCGATGCGTTGTGTTTATTTATTTCTCGTGAAGATCGTAGGGTGTTCTTGGGAGTTTATTTGTTGCTCTACGTTCCAAATTGTTCAAAGTTCATATTTGATGAATTTTTAATTTTCAGAAATTCTCAGTTTAATTTTCCTGTTTTCCTGAATGTTCGACGTCCAAAACAAAAAGAAAAATATCCGGACATACTAGTGCGCCAAGCTCGTAACAACTTGCTTGTATCGAATGATACTTCTTCAGTGGGATTCAGTGTTGGCCTCCTTGACATGAGTACTACCAACTGTCCCACGATGCAACTTGCGAAAAACTGTAACTTCGGTAGACGTCGATACTTTAAAATCGGTGAACTCCTGGACGTAGTCGCTGGGAAGCCCGTTTCCTTCCCATCCCATTCCGCCACTCCCCCTTCTTCGCATTGGAGAATTAAAAGCACTAGAAAACAAGGACCAGTAAAAGAAGACACACACGCAGTAGAGTGTGTCAGTTTTGGGTAAAGTACACCTAAAAGGTACTTGAAGTAAAGTACAAAGTAAATGATATGTGATGTACTTTAAGTAAAGTAGTAAGTACACTGGGTGCAATGTACTTGAAGTAAAGTACTGTAATTACAATGTATTTTAAAAGTAAAGTACAAGTATTTTAACACAACATTTCATGACGTTATTAATTCCCCTATACAGTGATTTTTAATTGGTATGCATTGCCCAGGGGTAATCGGGTGTGCATGACCTATTTTCAAAAACAGTGGCGAATATTTGATAAAGTCAAGTGGCCACAGAGCAGTTATCTTCAGGAATGGAGCCAAATTCAGAAGTCGCTCTTCTGAATTTGGTGCCGCTTCCACTGGATTGTTGCACCGAATGGGGTTAAACATACTACGAGAGAGCATGACGTCAGCCCTGTAGTTTCTGCAAGCAATCCTCTCGTAGAGGAGTGTCCTCTCTTTAATGAAAAAAACAGTGAGTGTGAAAGTGAGCTGGTGATAACTAATCATAATGTGACACCTGAGATTGGGGTGCGAAAAAATTAAGGAACTTTCAACTCGAGAATGTCTCAAAACATTGTGACGTTCTCCTCTGTTGTCTTTTTCTTCAACTTGAAAGTTTAATTGTTTTGCACCACAGTTTCAGGTGCTAGATTATGATTAATTTTGCTCTCATGATATTTTAAACCTCCTCGCTTACGCTGACCAACTGAGAAGTAGCGAGAGTTAAAAAAGCTACTGGGAAGCCGCCCCCAGAACAAGCGGAGCGATGCCTCGTTTGCTCACGTTTCTGGTGAGAGTAGAATATTCCTCCCAGTATTTCTTCGGAGTTGACAAAGCATCATTTTGTGATATAAATTTAACAAAACCAAATTTCGGGAATGTACTTTGAAGTCGGGCATTGTACTTTCCTCGGAAAGTACCCGAAAAAAATACTTCAAGTAAAGTACAAGTACGTACTCAGAGAATGTACTTTTACTGGTCCTCATATTTTAGCGCTTTTAATCCTGAAATGTACCACCAACTAGCCCAAGTGAATACCCTTTTAATGTTTCCTTCTTCACGGAATGGAGTGCCAAGTCATTTCAGCTCTTCAATGAAATGTATGAGTTCATAGCTTTCAGTTTTATAAAACTGAGCCCCTCTTCCCTCTAAGAAGCACAAATGGTAGGGTCCAAACTGGAAAATGGATCAGTGGCTTTCGTCGTGGCCCAGAAGTACAAGGGCTGAGTTTACATGGATGCGATCGTAGCGAATCGAATCGAGATTAACCGCCTATGATTGGGTAGACGAGGAAGGGAAAGGAGGATCGCGGGCGCGTGGCTGGTCACATCTCGATTCGATGCGCCATGGTCGCATCCATGGAAACGTAGCCAATGACCCATTGTCCCGAATGACACATCTGAGGAGATAAACAACAGTACACCCCCTTTTGTCAGTGGTTTTGAGATTTGAAAGGAAACTGGAGTGGCCGCTACTCAGGATTGCTGGCTGGCCCTGTACCAAACCTGTTTGTAGATTACCATTTTTTTTCAATGCGAAAGCATTAACTGTTTTATGGAGCGAGCTGACGTCATCAGTCTGAAGCGCGAAAACGGCAGATAGTTTCCTTCGGTTCCATTGGCTGGCGCACGTCGACGGGGCTCCCATTGGCTGCTGTGCTCGTCAGTTTCCACGACCGCTCACACCATGGCGCTGCGTGTCCATCAGCGCAGAGCGTCCACGGTCACCAGGGGAACACACGCGCCGACCGGCGACGAAAAGTATGCAGCAGACGTAAAAGGGAGCGGACGAGCGGCTTGCATGCTTTCGTCTTCACAACTCGTAAGAAATGCTTAGGTGTGCCTCAATTTTTTTTTTTATTTGAATCACTGCGATTTAGAAAATTCAGATTTTGTCGGATAAATCGGAATTGACGAAAGTTTGACCGGCGGGCGTTTTTCCGAATTTATCCGAAAACAATGAAACCCTAATTGTACCCCTTGGTATTTAAGCTATTTCTTACCACGTCCTCCGTCTTCGCAGGTCTTGCTGCCAATGAACGAAGACTACATGGGGCAGTCGGTGGACGTTGTAATTACGAGTGCCGGGAAACATTTCATGCATTGCGAAGTACTCGGACTGGGCTCTTCCATGGACAAGACTCTTCCGAGACCGTTGCCAAAGGGTCAAGTTTCCGGGATGCAATCGGACGCACTGACGCAGCACCGTCTCAGAGACGTGCGCCTCGTGTGTAGATCTTGGTCCGGACACTGGCAGTGGACTGCCTCCGTATTTATTGCTCTGGTCAGTGCTTTCCTGGCATACGTGTGTACAAGAAGAGGAGTAACGTTATGAGATTTCCCACTAAATAAAGAGTTGGAACTTAAACACGAGGGATTGTTCTTGCTTGTTGGAAATTTGTTCCGGTGCAGGGACGGGCAGGACAGAACTACGGTCGGCGACAGGTTAAGAACGCAGTGGAAGCTCCGCCCACCTCTTTCCGCTTTAGCAAAGCAAACGCTGGAGAAAAGGCGACCTCCTCTCCAGCGTTCGCTCTGCCGAAGTGGAAAGAGGTGGAAGGAGCTTCCACTTCGATCTGGACCAGTTGCCGTCTGCGACATGTTTCAAGTCGGGGAGGAATGGGAGGGGGCTACTGAACAGCCGGCGCTACAGGTGCCACTGTGCTCCACCGACTCTGTCATGGTATCAGAAAAAAAAAGAGTGGAACCTAATCACATGGTCATATGGAGTCCCACAGGGTCAATGCTCTATCCCTAGAGCATTGTTTTTTATTATTTATTTTGATGGCATTGTGAAACTCGTCTTGCCAAGATGTAGTCATGTACGTCGACGACACTAGTCCTAAATTTAACGAGATATTAATATTGATTTAAAACTGTGTCGCGAGCTTGTTTTGACAGTGGGTAGTCAGCCCCTATGGATGTCTGATGTCTCTACTGTCGAGAAATTTAGCCAGTGCAGTACTACCGCTAGCTTGGGATCTTCAATGTGCAGTACAGTGATACACGACCGCCACACCGGCACGATGCTCATCCAGATTGAAACGGGCGAAGGCGAGGAGTGAACCCAGGACACCCAGGATCTGCCATACAAGCTTTCGCTCCACATACCACGAGCCGCAGAGCGTTGACACACTCGACCATTGATTCCCCATATCTATTTAAAAATGCTGAAGGAACAAGATGTGCTTTAGAGCGCAGCTCTTAGGCGCCCGTTTCCGGCTTGAGCGGCGTCGGCATAACCAAGGTCACGTGACCCCCCCCCCCCCCCAGGTCACGTGACCCCTCCCAAGGTCACATCAAGGTCACCCCAAGATCACGTGCCCCCCCTGGTCACGTGACCTCTCCCAAGGTCACCTCAAGGTCACGTGACCCCCCAAGGTGACCGCCACGTGACCTCCCTCCCCGAGGTCACGTGCCCCCCCTCCACCTCCCCCCGAGGTCAGGTGACCCCCCGGAGCATATTAAAGAATGAGGGGAGGAGGAGGAGAAGGAGGAGGAGGAGGAGTCTACCCTCCCCTCAGTACCTTCCTCCCCCTCCTCAAGAGCTGCACCGCAATTCGGCGTTACAGGGAGTTGTAAACGGCTTTCACTTTTTTTTTTACCAAAAACAAGAGAATTTAGACAATAAATCACTGTGTCGTAGAACATATGTCCGATTAGAAATTTTCAGGTGTATATCAGCCGAGTGCTGAGTCATTGTATTTGTTGTCCCCATCCGTGTAGTTGTTAAGTTAACCGCTTGGGGCGTCACGGTCTGTCCTCCTCCCCAATAGCTTGAAAACCCGGAGCTAGCCCCGAGAGCGAACACAAGCGTCGCTGCGGTCGCCGCGCCCTGATTGGTTGAGGCATACCGTGACGTCAGGGCGATGACTCCGCTCCGCGATCTCGCATCGGCTCGCTTCCCAGCACCGGTTTCCTGGTTTGGCGTTTTGTGCCGCAAGCTCTTCGAGGAGCTCGACTTCGTTTACCCGGTGTACAGGACGTTGAGTTAGGCCGATATTGACGTGCTTCCGTACATTTTATAAGCCTGCTTGTCCCCTTTACCATTAAAATTGGGTTACAAATCTCGAAAGCAATCGGCGGAGGCAATTCCGCCGATGAACCTCCCCGCCCGTCCACACGACACAAGGCAATTTTGCGAGAGATCGGTGAAGCGGTGGCGCAAGTGTTTCAGACGCTGGAATTCTGTTCTTTGCATGTTCATGAATTAGGACGATATTACATCCCGCTTTCAAGGCATTTAAAGTGGCATTTATATACGGGCCTTTGAGTGGTCGGCAAATTATCTCGCGACCCCGACTTTGCGCTGCGACTCTGCATGCGCTGGTTCGCAGATGTTTACAAGGCCCTGTTTCTGATTATCTTTGAAGTGCTCGTGGAACAAGGTTGTTTTACATAAATGTAGCTTCTTCGTGAATTAATTATATAAGTTATACACGTATGCAGGCATATTTCTTAGACGATGCACAATTACTGGAAATTAGTTTGTATGGTAGCAGCAAAAACGGCTGAATTGTCCCCAGTTGTCTGTATGATATGTATTGAACTGCCCAAAATATGCACCGGAATAGTGCCGTAATTTGGAATGTTTATACTCTTTCCTGACATTTTTATTCCAGTCTTGGGTATTCAGAAAACACATTGTCATTTCCAATTAAAAAAGACACTGCAGCAGGTCCCCAAAAGCTTCCTCAGCCTCCAAACTCCCTACAGCTGGACTCTCTGGCAACAGAGGAAGACAGAAGTAAAAGCAAGCATTCGAACGTCTGTCCAGTGGTAGATGCAGAACTAGCAGCAGAAAATATAGAACCTGTGAAGGGCGAGAGTCTGCGTGAGAAAAGCTTCTGGTATTTTAGCTTCAGGACAATTTGATTTAAGTAAAATCTCAATTTTAGGGCTTAAGGGACTAATAACGAGCTAGAAAGCTTCGCTTACGTTTGTTATACATTACTTGAGGGTTGATATAAACAAGTCCACGGATACCTCTTGTGTAGTGTATTGAAATACTATCCGAATCCAGCAAAGGTCAAATGTGAGCAATGTATATAATAAATGTTCCTTGAAAGTAAACATCTTCGACAGAAATCTGTCTGGTTTGGGGAACAATTCGAAAAAAAGAAAACTCAAACCAAAAGTTTAGAAACAGCAGTTCCCAACGTTTCGGGGTCGACTTGACTCCTTCTTCAGGGGTGACTAAAAATGGAATTGGACAGCGCGAGCTTCGACCTCTCCTTCTTCTTCTACCGAGGTGATGTTTTCTGAACGTGACGCAGGCCATGGACGTAAATAGATGGTAAGGCCCCGAGGGACCTGTTAATGTTCCCCGGTGTATTCTGGATGTGCCACGACTCCAAGAACAGGAGTCTTCGAATGTGTGGCTCCGTGTCTATCACGTGTGCTTTTCCGAAGTCGATCCGATGATCAAACACCTCACAATGTTCCGCGACGGCGCTACGCTCGCGATCGAAATTGCGCACATCGTTCTGGTGCTGGCGCATGCGTTCGGGAAAAGATTTAGTTTCACCGATGTAGGCGGCGGGGCACTCCGCACACGGTATCTTGTAGACCACGCCCTGTGCTTTCTCTTTTGGGAGGCGATCTTTCGGCCTTGGCATGAGCCGTCCTAATGTTGACACTGGCTTGTGCGCCACTTGGATACCTTCTTTTCGGAGCACGCGCGCCAGTGTCTCGCTCGTCCCTTTTACATAGGGGACGCTGATGCGCGCGATGGGGCGGGGCTGTGTGTCACCCGACGATCCATGGTTATTGCGCGTGCAGCACTGTCGACGGGCGACGCGTTGGACAAAACTCCTTGAATAGCCGTTTTTTTTGGAGGTCAGCAAGTATGGTCTGATTCTCCTTTCTTCTGTCTCTTTCCGACGAGCAGATGGTCGTTGCTCTAGACAGGAGAGTAGAGACCACCGACGTCTTGTGACTCGTTGGGTGGTTCGAGTCATAATCAAGGTAGCGTCCGGTGTGTGTTGGCTTCCTGTAGACCGTGAACCCCAGCTTGTCTCCTTGCCTTTTCACCAGAGCATCGAGGAACGGCAAGACTCCATCTCTCTCGTATTCTACAGTGAACTGGATGGCCGGTTCTATGGAATTCAGGTGTGCGAGGAAGTGGTTCACCTCTGATTTCTTCACGATGCAAAAGCAATCATCTACATAGCGCATGAACTCTTTTGGCCTGTTGGCGAAAGTGCTAAGCGCTTTCTGTTCAACCACTTCCATGGTGAGGTTTGCCGTCGTGACCTAAATAGAGGCGCCCATTGCCGTTCCGCTGACTTGTTTGAAAAGCTCACCCTTGAAGCTGAAGTACGTACTGCCAAGGCAGTACTCGAGAAGGCGGCATAGCTCATCAACACTGAGGCTGGTTCTTGAGCCCAATGTTTCGTCTTTCTCGAGAACCTCTCTGGCTGCAGCAACTGCTAAGGGAACTGGCACGCTGGTAAAGAGCGACACAACGTCGAAAGACACAATCGTGTCATCATCGCTGAGTCTCACTTGCGAGGCACGTTCCACGAAGTGGCCGGTGTTCAGCACATGTGTCGGCGTATTTCCAACAAGGGGAGCTATAGTCCGGTGTAGGTAATTTGACAACGCTCGGAGCGGTGAGGTCGTAAAGTCCACGATAGGTCTCAAGGGGACGCTAGGTTTGTGGGTCTTGGGTAGGCCGTAGAAGCTTGGCGCAGAGCCATTCCTGCAGATGAGATGCAAGTAAAGGGCTTTCGACTCTGGATATTGCTCAAGCAATATCCAGAATCGAAAGCCCTTTACTTGCATCTCATCGAAAGCCCTTTACTTGCACTCGAACCACCCAACGAGTCACAAGACGTCGGTGGTCTCTACTCTCCTGTCTAGAGCAACGACCATCTGCTCGTCGGAAAGAGACAGAAGAAAGGAGAATCAGACCATACTTGCTGACCTCCAAAAAAACGGCTATTCAAGGAGTTTTGTCCAACGCGTCGCCCGTCGACAGTGCTGCACGCGCAATAACCATGGATCGTCGGGTGACACACAGCCCCGCCCCATCGCGCGCATCAGCGTCCCCTATGTAAAAGGGACGAGCGAGACACTGGCGCGCGTGCTCCGAAAAGAAGGTATCCAAGTGGCGCACAAGCCAGTGTCAACATTAGGACGGCTCATGCCAAGGCCGAAAGATCGCCTCCCAAAAGAGAAAGCACAGGGCGTGGTCTACAAGATACCGTGTGCGGAGTGCCCCGCCGCCTACATCGGTGAAACTAAATCTTTTCCCGAACGCATGCGCCAGCACCAGAACGATGTGCGCAATTTCGATCGCGAGCGTAGCGCCGTCGCGGAACATTGTGAGGTGTTTGATCATCGGATCGACTTCGGAAAAGCACACGTGATAGACACGGAGCCACACATTCGAAGACGCCTGTTCTTGGAGTCGTGGCACATCCAGAATACACCGGGGAACATTAACAGGTCCCTCGGGGCCTTACCATCTATTTACGTCCATGGCCTGCGTCACGTTCAGAAAACATCACCTCGGTAGAAGAAGAAGGAGAGGTCGAAGCTCGCGCTGTCCAATTCCATTTTTAGTCACCCCTGAAGAAGGAGTCAAGTCGACCCCGAAACGTTGGGAACTGCTGTTTCTAAACTTTTGGTTTGAGTTTTCTTTTTTTCGAATAAATGTTCCTTGTTTTTTTTTTTTACTTTGTCCCTGCAATTGGGCTGTCTTGTGATTCTCTCCCCATGGCCCAGACTGTATTTAGCATGTTGCTCGAGCAGCATGCAGCTTTTCTGCTTCGGCGATCTCGTTTAAAAACGGATACGAAAAAAAAAAAAAAAATATTATACATAACCTGCCAATTCATTCAGACCATCAGCAGCATTTATTGTGATGCTCCTGCAATTGTGGCCATATATCTTTATTTTCATATACCAGCTGCGATTCATGCGTTACCTGCCCTGTCAACCAAGCTTAAAATGTTGGTTGAAGTTTCGCCTGTAGCTACAGGCCATACCTCAATAAAGGCACATATAAAAATTTACACTTCCTGCAAAAAACACGCCAAAAAAAAATTAAATAAAAACAAGCGCGCCGACAGCTAGCGTCGTCACAGCCTCCACAGGGCGAGCGGAACGAGTCGGGGAAAAATTCTCTCCTCGCCGTGACGTCACCCCGGTTTGCCGTAAGGGGACGCCACGCAAACTTCTCGGAGCGCTTAGTTACTAAATACACAGGCTAGATGGCGCAAGACGCAACCCAATTTCAAAAGATATATTATATTTATATGCTTATCCATTCAGCTGTTCCCAGGGAAGCAGCAGCAGCGCAGCAGTCTGTCGGACTGGTCGGACCACCCGTCGAACCCGACTCCGACTGCACTGGCTGCGATTCTATGCCTGGTCTACACTCCTGGTAATCGCCCCCCAAGAGCCTAGCGGACCGCAATGGCGAGCTCGACCGACGGCCCGAGGGCCGAGTTCGTCGTCGGCGGAAAATACAAGCTCGTCCGCAAGGTGGGCAGCGGTTCGTTCGGAGACATCTACCTGGGCATCAACATGGCGAACGGCGAAGAGGTGGCCGTCAAACTGGAATCCTGTAAGGCCAGACACCCCCAGCTGCTGTACGAGTCCAAGCTCTACAAGATACTGATGGGCCACGAAGGGATTCCGCACACAAAGTGGTTCGGCACCGAGCGCTCGTACAACGTCCTTGTTATGGACTTGCTGGGACCGAGTCTCGAAGATCTGTTCAATTTCTGTTCGAGACGCTTCACTATGAAAACGGTGCTGATGCTCTTTGACCAGATGATTGGGCACATCGAGTACGTCCACATGAAGAACTTCATCCACAGAGACATCAAGCCGGACAACTTTCTCATGGGCATCGGCGGTCACTGCAACAGGCTGTTCCTCATCGACTTCGGCCTGGCCAAGAAGTACCGAGACAGCAGGAACAAGGTGCACATCCCGTACCGGGAAGACAAGAACCTGACGGGCACGGCCCGCTACGCGTCCATCAACGCGCACCTGGGCATCGAGCAGAGCCGCCGTGACGACATGGAGTCCATGGGGTACGTCCTGATGTACTTCAACCGCGGCAGCCTACCCTGGCAGGGTCTCAAGGCCGCCACCAAGAAGCAGAAGTACGAGCGCATCAGCGAGAAGAAGATGTCGACCCCCGTCGAAGTCCTCTGCAAGGGATTCCCTGCTGAATTCACCATGTACCTCAGCTACTGTCGGGGTCTGCGCTTTGAGGAGGCTCCGGACTACAAGTATCTGCGCCAGATCTTCCGCATCCTGTTCCGGACTCTCAACCACCAGTACGACTACATCTTCGACTGGACCATGCTCAAGCAGAAGGCAGCGGCCTCGGCGGCCGCGTCTGGCGGTGCCGCGGGCCAGTCTGGCACAACTCCGGCTGGACTACCGGCCCCTGGACACCGCTAGAGACGCTTTCCCCCATGGGCGAGGGGGGCGCGCTTGCATGTTGTAAACCTCGTGACACAGCTTGTACAGAATAAAGCTCGCTTTCAAGGTCGCGGGCTATTTTGGGGTAGGTTTAGCGAGCCCGGCGAATCGGTGTCGGCGAGCTAGCATGGTGCAGGTGACTGCAGTCATTGTCCAGTTTAGGATTTACTCGTGCTCAAGCTACTGCCCACGAGCATGGCTACCTCCGAAACAGAAAGTAGGCCGGTTGGCCACATCCTAATGGAACAAAATAAGTGCGCCTCTCAGATGGCCTCGTCCCAACAGTCTAGCGAGCCAGGTTCCCTTGCGGCCGTGTTGTAGCCAATCGGATTCCCAGATGGCTCCGACCTTGAGCTCCCTTTGGCAGCCATTTTGCAGTTATTTTGTTTCTTAGGTAGCCATTGTTAAGTGAATTGAGACATTTTGGCAGGCATGTTGTGTCAATTCAAATCCTAGCTGGTGAAACACTCTTAGCTACGTTACAACTGATCAAACGCTTACATGATCGTGATCGCTCAAATGGACCTTTCTGGAACGTAGCGCGCGCCCTCGAGTGTTGTGTCTAAGGCATTATGGGAACACTGAGAGCCGTTGCCGTACCTTGTCGGTCGATACGTCGCAATCATTCTCTTAAACTCCTTGTCCTTTGGAAATGGATGCCACGACAGGTAGTGATCTTTCGGGGTGATGTGGTCGCACCCTGATACGCAGCACGTCTGTCCACTGCCTTTTTTTGGATGGGCTATTGTTTTGAATGGGCCACCATTCTTTTTTTAATGGGCCATCCCGTGCAGGGGCTATGCACCAAAAGAGAGGTAACATTCGCATATCCATGTTTTTTTATTTTGCTATGGGGATCGGTTGAGCTAGTGGTTTCCTTTCCCAAAACATAAAAGAAAGAAATGTGTTCCGTCCCAACATTGTTTGAAGACCATCAGCTCACCTGTGTGCTTGAATTCACTAAAACTAATGCTGCAGTTCGGGCAGTTGCGTGCGCCACCTAGCATGGAAAAGCTAGACTAGGCTCGGCTTGCCTTGGCTACAAGACGCAACACCTTCACTATTCCCATAATGTCCCGGAGCGCTCACTGGTGGCACTGGCGTTTCCAGAAAGGTTCACTGGGTGTTTTTGCTAGCAAGTTGGTGGCTATTTAGGTTGTAAGCAACCATATAATGCCCACCAGCGTTGTTTGGTAGGCCACGTAGAGAATCAGGCTCTTCGGTGATCAAACTGGTAAATTGTTCTTTTGCAACGGTAGCCATATTCCGACCATTCCGATACTTGTGCATATGGTGCCAGTCTCAAAGTTATGGTTCGTACAACTCGTTTCCGGGTACTCAATGGTATGTGCAAGTCATCCGTCCTCGCAAAAGAAAGGAACCTTGAACGGGGCTTACCCGACAAAGAATATACCTATTTATGGCAGCCAGTTTCCCCGATTTGGGTTGGCATATTCTGTTCATCTCGGCTGCACTCTTTTGTTTCCTTTGTTTTCATGCAAGAACTTCGAGCTGACCGTGTTCTTGATAGCACTGTAAACGGAATTAGCTTTATTTATTTCAAATGCTGCCGGCCCTTTGGGGTCACTGCAGAGAAATGTCATATGAAGGAGTGACATTGCAGTATTTAACATTTCCCACGATGCAGTACTCATGGTCTGGGCATATTGGGCGTGGGAAATAGTTGTATGTGCTTGTTATGTCTCAATGTTTCGTCACTGCCTTCGCTCCGAAGAAAGCCCTTATGTTTCATGCAGACTCAATAAAAGAAAGTAATGCTTGATGTAAGAGTTTGCTACATTACCAGTGTACATAATCTAAAATGCACCCATCCATTGGTCTATAGCATGTTGCAGGTTAAGAATACCAGTGCAAGCTTCAACCTCAAAGCCCTCCACTCTTTCTACTATAGCAAAGCAAATGCTGAACAGGAGGCGAGCAGAAAGGACAAGAAGCACCAATCGCAGCAAGCAGACAGTTTTGTGGCAAGGGCTTGTCCCGCTATTTTAAACCTGCAACAAACTACAGATGTTCAGCATAGTGTTGCCAAAGATCGAAGTCCAACTCTCACAAAGCTCAACGTCGGGAATGTTGCAGCGACGCGTCCTGAGCTTCCCTTTTTCCCCTGAAAGCTTACTAGCCGCCCACCCATGCACTAACAAAGTCGCACGCGCCAAAAGCTTTGTGTGGAGTACAAAGCCGTGCAAAATCGTTTATACAAGAGAACTCCAGGAGTTGTCCAATTCAAGCAATGTCTTTATTTCTACTTGGCACATTACACGGAAACACCTGCCCGGCAAAGTCGGAAATCACCAGACACGTCCAGTGATACGTGAGGTTGGGCATATGCGAAGCAACCCTAAAATGCGTCTGCTCCAGAGAAGCAGTTACAAAGGAAAGCAGCTTCTGGTTTGCAGCGTCTCAAATTTTCACGCAACCTACCTGTCAACCACACAAGCGACAAAAGGGCGCCGCAAGACGATTACCACAGCATGCGTCACACCTTTTTGTCGCTAGTGTATTTTGAGCTGGTGTAAAGCGTGAAAAAACACTCTAAAAACTGCCCCATAAAACACACTAAATGTAGAGCATACAGAAATGACAAGAGCGTGCAATACCTAACCACGAAGCCCCTAACACACACACAAGCAGAAAGACAATTGTGACATCAATGTAAGGCTAATAAATGCTTGGCAGACTATGCAAGACACTACAAGTGGCAACCAGTGTAGTGCCGGCACGTTGCAGCCATAGTTGCAGACAGATTGAGAACAGCAGGGAGAAGTTTCAGTCTAAAAGTCGCCTTGCCGTTCTTGTCCTGTCAAGCGACTACGGTAGAAAGCATTTCGGTGGGAAACATACCACACTTTTTTTTCTTCACGGCTACATGCAACACACTTGCTTGGAGCGTCCATCGCTAAAATTCTTACAACAAATGTTTAAGATAACATTTCTTGGGGGTTATAAGTGGAATTTTCCCATAACTGCAGTCCTGCCTCACTAAAATTGCAATAAGGTATACGTTCACAAATATATAAAGAAGGTAAAGTATGGTGAAAATGTAATGCAAAATGGCAGATAAAAAAGAACATTGGTAAGTCAGAATGGCAGACAATTATGACAGCAAACATACGAGGAAGACGTATCGAGCGAGCAACTGTGAAAAAATGATTCCATGTTATCAAGTGACAGGCCTCCTAAGCTACACTCCTAAAGAGCAAATGTGCCCAAAAAAGCTCTGCCAAGTCGGAATGTGTTACAAACGTAGCTTTTCTACGATGAGACAAACATCGGGAATTCTTATGTTGTGTCGCATCACGCGACAATGAAGTTGTGCTACGTGCTGGTGTATTGGCTGCACCGTGACAACACAACTTCTTACTTTTCTCTTGAACCAATCAACAAGGTTTTAAGAGGCCAAACGACCTGCTACCATGTGCAGTGCTGTGTTACGTCGGCTGTAGCACGGATACAGTGACTGTTTGTACTGCCAGCTTCGCACAGCAAGCACCGTCTGGAACACAGCAGACGCCGGGCACGGCAGAAGACATTTTCTACAGCGGTGATCAGACCCGCACATCCGGCAAGAACCGACATGTGGCAGAGGCAGTACAAAGCGGCCGTCGTTGCATGTGACAGCCAACAAGACTCGACACCGTACAGCTGCACACAAATGAAAATGCGTCACGTAGCATAGTTTCACACTGGCAATCACACACACTTTGTCTGTTTTGAGATGTAGAAGAATCCTCACGTGCTCATCTCACTTACTGTCACTTTCCGCTTGCAGCCCCAATGAGTCATGCACAAACATCGGCTGCGCATGTCAGCGTTTTTGTTTGCAATTCTACCTCACGCAAAACGCTTCCACCTCAACTGCATCAAAACACGCCTTTCACCGTCCAACGCAACAGACGCCGATTGTCGTCTGCCGACGACACAAAACCGGTTTTTAGGCAACCCGAGTGACCTTCTGCGGCTCACAAAGGTGTTCTTTTCCGACTATATCCCATTTCACTCCACGACAGACTTCAGCCAAAGCTACGGGCTGTCGGGTCCAATTGCACGTGAATCAGAAACTGCGCAATACATCGCTCCAACGCGCATGTTGGCGCATCATACTGGCACACCACATGAGCAGCGAGTCTGACTTATGATGAGTCTGACAGCCTGTAGCTTCCGGAGTAGTCCATCGTTGGGCGAGACGAAGTACGGTTGGCGTCGCTCGGGCCTATAAGAGCAAGTCATAGACAAGGCGCATTCAACGAGCCTGCCAAAAGCGTCCGACGCCCATGCGGCCAATGGAACGAAGCCCCGCCTGAAGCCTTACATCGAGTTGTCGGGTCCGTCGCTGCCGCCGTGATACTGGCGGTTGTGTGCCTTGAGGTGCGTGTTGGTCGCAAAACCCTTGCAGCAGCTGTGGCACTTGTACGGCCGCTCGCCGGTGTGGACCCGCTCGTGGACCACCATGTTGGACCGCTGCGCGAAGGCCATCGGGCAGTAGTGACACCGGTACGGCCGGTCTCCCGTGTGGGTCCGGATGTGGGTGCCGAGCTCGCCCTTGGTGGCAAAGGCCTTCGGGCAGACGGTGCACTTGAAAGGTTTCTCGCCTGTGTGGACGCGCATGTGGGTCATCAGGTTGCCCTTCATCGAGAAGGACTTGGGGCAGTGCTGGCACTTGAAGGGCTGCTCCCCCGTGTGAGTGCGCTGGTGGCTGACCATGCCGCCCCGCTGCTTGGTGCTGTAGCTGCACAGCATGCACTTGCGAACGCCGTCCTCCATGACCCAGAGGACGCCCTCAGTCTTTTCGAGGCAGAATGCCTCATCACCTTCAGGGGTGGGGGGAAAGCAAGTGGGACGTCTGTTAGAAAGGCACCGAGTAGGTAGAGTAGCAACATATGGCACGGTCATCTCGAACGCGTGATCGGCACTCATTCAAGCCATGGACCTGCCAGGGACCTCTTGCTATAACTTGCCCACTCCATGCACTGTCGGCTACGCCAAAGATGATGCAAGCAAAGTACCGTGGAGGAACGGGAGTTTGCTTCTGAATATCCTGTTGTTTGTTCTTCAAGGTTTGTTTGGTTAGCATGCTACCTTTAAACAGTTCCAATTTTGGGCGAAAAATAAATTCACAGTTACGTTGCTGCGGCGTAGTGAATGACCGAGACAAAGCCAAAGTGTCAGGCGACCACAGAATGGTGTTGCAGACGCTGCTTTCTGAAGGTATGGCAAGATTTGCAAGTCACAATTATACTTCCTCAAGACTACGTAGAGGCTACGTGCGATCAAACTGCCTTTTCAGACCCCACGACAGCAACAAACTGCACCCTTGTCTTCGCAATCAAATGTGTTGTCTTGAAAAATACACTTACGTGCCAGCAGATGAAGAAAAGGGCGCTGGAGCCATCAATGTACACATACAAACATACACACACATCAAATAATTATAATTTCACAAAACCTAAACATGTGCAGCTCTGATGGTATCCATAGATTGCTGAGCTCCTCAAAACAAGCCTAAGAATACCTGCAAAGATTTAAACTTTGGAACACAACACTTGGAATGAAGGAACCTCTAGAAATATGCGACATGAGGAGAAATAAATAGGTTCACAAAAGGGATGAAGCTCTATCGGATGTGCAGAGTAGAAAACATTTTCAAATTCATATATCACATTGCTAACAAACAGAACAATCTCCAGAAAAACTATTGAAAGACATATTTATGCTCTTGGAGTCTGAATCACCCACAAGGTTCCAATCACTGAAGGAAAGCTGAAGGGACCTGCAAAAAGAATAAACAGTTAAAATACAACAGAAAGGTAAACACTGTTTCAATAATATATTACTGCGGTAAAATACATTTCGCTGCTTTGTTACATTCCTTACGACAAAGCATGAGACAAATACACCCCTAAATTTAACAAGGAAGCTTTTTAGTTAAATTTAGCGAGAAAACATGTCATACATATCACATACTATTCAGTCTGCATACTTTTTTTTTCACATGCAGGCCAAATGGCTCTCGCGAAAACCACGCATTGAACAGAAAATAGGCCGACTCCGTGGTGGCCTTTGCCAAAGGGCTCATTAAGGAAATTTATTAGAGTTCAGTATAATGATTTAATTAACTACATTTTAGTAATTAATCTTTTAATTATTAACTTTAAGGGTATAGTTTTAACTAGAACCTTGATGCAAATCATCCAGAACTACCAAGTCCAGCCGTATTACAATGATATAAGGCAGGCGCAGCATTTTACGGCGTTCCAAAGAAGTGCTCAATTTGGACGAGTTTCGGTTCCTTATTGGAGCGCATTTCCGCGCCAGCAATTCCGCCTACCGTGGCCAAAACGCACGTGCGCTGCCACTTTTCGCACGTAAAGGTGTCTTTTCCCGCTGGCACCAACGTCAAAAAGCCAAACATCATGTGGCAGTCTGGCTTCCTTATCTAGCCTCTTCTACGGGCAATGCACTCCGATAAGAAATAGAAACCTAGAAACGTGTCCTACTAAGGAATTCTTCGGAAACATTAAAAATTAATAAAAAAAAATTAATTGCCTAATTGACACAATTGTTAATTATATAGTTATTGTTAATTATATTGTTAAGTATAATAAAAGGCTATTTGGCAGACCATTATGGCATCAACGTTTTCTCTGCGCGATGCATAGTTTTCGCAGGAGCGATCAAAACTAACAGACATAAATGCATACACACATATATGAACAGAGTAAAAACAAATCCCGGATAACTCTGACTTTGTACACAGGACTGAGG